AACGCGTTAAGATTTTTATCTGCGTGGCAATCAGCCGTTTAGTTTAGTGGCTAGAGCGTCAGGCTGCGAATGCCGAAGACGTGGGTTCGATTCCCACAGTGGCGACAATCTTTGCGTACTTTTTCTACAAATTTAATTCTTTAAAAATTTTATTTTAGACCAGGCATAACATGTTTGCCATTTTAAAACGGTGATATTCAATACGGGGGACTGTAACAGACATATTGATATTGCCAAGTACAAACAACCTATCGGTAGTTTGTACTTTAGGCAAATTTGACGATGATTATATTCTGTGATATTTCCCTTCTACATATGTATAATTTTCAATAAAAACAGCAATTTATTTTAGCTAGTATATTTTCAAATAAAACGCATCTAAGTAATTTTTAAAATAGATTCCTTCCATGGATCGCGCCCAGAAGGAGGTGCAAATGCATCGTCGAACATTAAGGTTGATTCGTTCATATCAGAACATTTTCTAACTATGACAGCACCATGTAGGTACACACATTTAGAATTTCATTAGCAAGTAAACTTTCATTTGCTAAATTCGTATCCGTTGTCCCAAACTATTAGGTCCAGAATTTGTCAAATAGTTGAAATATTCCTGCTACGAATTCTTTTTGTGGACAAAATCCGTTCAAGAAATCATAAAAGCATTGTATTATACAAGAATTGTATTATGCATTTGGTGCTATAGACCGGAACCTGTAAGAAATGTGACGTAAAGATCACGCGAAATTGCATTGTTCAAATCACGCCGTAGAAGCCTATTAAAATTTTCAAATTTCGACTGTTTTGGGGGAGGAGGGGATGCACGTGACGTTGTGTTTATATCATATTTTCCATCCGGCAAAGCTTATTTTATTACGTCGATAGGTCGCCGCCTAACTTCGTTGGCTGCCAGTGTGAACAATTTGTAACCGCCGCGTGTGATAAAGTTTACTCAATTTCCAACTATGTATCGTGGGAATAAAGGCCGAAATGTATTGGCCGGCACACGGCTTTAGGTGAGATCGCAATCCATACTGCGCTAACCTTATATTCTTCAAAGAATGGTTGGTAAATTTTCAATACTCACTTTATTAGGGCACGGCGGAAGGAGGGTGAACGAAACGGCCTTTATTAGATTTTCTAGAAACGTGAGCATACGACCAATTGCATTGAACTCTGGCAACACTTATAACAGAAACTATTGCTCGCTGTTTCGACATTATATAAGTTTTGTTAAAAATTTACCATAAATTGTTTTATAAGCTTTATAATAATAAGAACAAACACGAAATACAAACGTATACCTAAACTATAGAATACATTTGTATAATATAATATCGTCTTAAATTTTAAACTTAATCTTAAGTTTATATATGATGTTTTATTGTAAAAATTGTGAGTCACGATAAATTTTAGTAGTAAGTGATTGCTGTGAGACAAATGGACAGACTCGTTTGGGGAAAAAAGGCGAAGTATAACTGTTTGAGAGTAGAAGCTGATCTGTTTATATTGTTGCATTTCGTCTAGTGAGTAAAGTAGTGTAACTGCAACGCTATGGGTTTCATACCACCATGCATTAAAAATAGAAAAAAAACATAATTTACAATTGTATACTTTTTAATTGAGACGAGATTGATGAGAATTTTATCTGTTCCTCTGATCATAAGAGAGATGAAAGAGATGCCTGATGCTATGGACCTTGCACCGAGCTTAGAATACGTTTATAAGAATATTTTAATTGGTAATAAATCCAAAAACATGAAATCTCTGGGATCAAACTCGCAAACTTAATTCATTGCAGCCGCCCAGGAACTTTTCTATAAGGCGCAAATAACTTCTTAAAATTATAAAGCTATTTCTGCGCCAAATAAAAATAAATTTAGGGGTAAAAATATTTAATCTATATAAGTAATCTAAGATATTAGGTGAAATATTATTCAAATCCTTTCAGCTAGAATGGACACGAAAATTTTTTCTTTGGTTTTATCAGTCTTCTGACACTTTTCATTTGGAAGTTAACTGATAGGCTTCACTGATATTTTCGGACTCCCTGATAATACAACCAATTTTGTTTATGATAATATGTTCTTACGTTATTAAATAATTGCTCTTTTTCGTCATCAATCGTCATGGGGCAGGTGGCGAAGGAGTAACCGCTTTATGTCATGGTAAATTGATTACCACCGTCGACAAACATTCGTTACACCAAAGTTGCAGTGCCAGCAGCCTCACAGGTAGAAATTATAGACATAACCCTAAGTGCCATCTAGAATAATAATCTATAACTCCTAGAAATGGTGACTTGATAATACTTTTTCCAATAGATGGCGCTTGCAATACAAAATCTACCTCCGTGAATTATTTTTGTTAAACAGTAATACGGGGAAAGGAAAATAATTTCTCATTGCACTTTTGATAATTTAATCGAACAAATATCATATTGCAAGGTTAAACTACTAGTATCATAATACTTTTGTAACCAACTTTGCACGAGATTTACACTTATATAGGATATTACCATTTGTAATATGGCTAATTACATAGGAGTTCATAAGATTTTCATAGTAAAAAGTCTTAATACAGTTTAAAAAAAGTGTGTACGCCAAAAAAGTGTAACTTGTACATAAGTACACATGAACAAGTTACACTTTTTTGGCGTACCAAGGTAAAAATCTTTTCAAAAATTTTATCTTTCGCCTTATTCTACGTTTGTAGAAAAAACATCATTTTTCCCTAACGCGCCAAACGAAGTATAACTTCATAGTTACAGGGGAATAAAATTTTCTATTTAACTTTTTATAAGTAGGTACCTGTCTTTTGTTTCCGAACAGATTAATAAGAAAAGCAATTGATGTAATATTTCCTTTTTGTAACTAATGCTAAGTGTAGCATAAAGTAATACTAATAAAATATCTCTGTGCGTTCCAAACATAAGAAATCACGATTCACAGCATTCCATCAACTGCTAAAGCTAATAGGTCAACACTATAATAATAGGTTGTTCGTTGTCCAATTTTTGACGGACGTAACGCAGCCGTTGTCCCGACACGTGAAACGGTTGCAAAAAACAGTGGTCAGTGCAACTATTTTAAAGACAGCTTAAAGGGCCAAACTTATATAACGTTATCAAAGTGTTCGTCGAGTAAAATAGTTGCAGTTTCATAGTTATTAAAATATGTATAGGGAATTGGCGGTATTCTTCCTCCATTAGCGAAGTAAAAGTTCTGAACGTGTTTTATGTTTTAATGTGTTTACTTTTCAGATGGTTCCTCAAATTTGCTATTGTTCATCTAAAGCTTAATTTTTCGTGGCCTAAATAGCATTTCACCTTTTTTTTTATTTTCATTGTCTTTATCGAAATAAGATCATTATATTATTATACCTATTTAGAATTTACAACTATTTTCAAATAAAAAAACAATTACTAAAGCCCTCTTTACGCGAGCTGTTTTTTACGACCAAAGTTTAATACGCACTCGTTTGGTTATAAGTTTATTTACAAAGATTATCAAGCACGTTGGCGAATTGACACCGGCTTAACTTAAATTTCTTTGCGAACGTCAAGTGTTGGTAGGAGATATTACTGATTGAGTTACAAATCGAATTTATCACACTGTCAGATGCTTACAATGCACACATGATATTAACAACGAACAGGGTATTGATTGTGTAAAAACGTCGTTTTCGTGGTCTCAGCTATACTGAATCACTCTTCTTAACCCTTTCGAGTGTACAAACGTGATGTTATATTGTGTGATTGCGCAAAACAATGTATATTTATGCGATAGCAGTAAACTTGGTTGATTTGCGTTCAGTTTTTGAGGAGTTCCGTTATCCATCTCCGAAACTCATCATCCTATATAAATGAAATTTAAACGGGACCTTTTCGAAATAAAACTCTTTCGAACAAAAAAAGAATTTTGCAAATACGTCTATATATGACAGAGTTATGGCCAAAAACACATAAAAAACATATAAACATGCGAATTGATAACCTCCTCTATTTTAAAGTCGGCTAAAAATGCAAACACTCACTGGGAATACTCATCGGTGGACCTGACAAGATTTTCAGTGCCACCTTTTTCAAAGAAGTTTCGCTTTCTTAATTTTTTTTGTCAATTTGTGAACACAAAGGCAGAGATTATTTTGCGGCTTATTATAAATATTATCGGATTTTTTTTTTGATGTTTAAAGTGTCTTTTTTTTTGTAAATTTATTAATTTGTAATTGTATAAAATGTACAATATTATTTAATCAGCTGTCAGACGATTAAGACTCGTTGAACGTCGTAGCGTCATATAAAATCCGTTCATTCATGCGAATTGACAGCATCACATTAACTAGTTGACGAATTTAACTACTTGATCAGCTACAACGACGTGATGACGAACATGAATCAACGTTGACGAAAAACCTTCAACGACCCATCGCTAGTCTTCGTCGCTTACTCGCATGGATGGAATTTAATGCGCTGAACATGACCGATCACAGCGCGTGAATGCAGTTTCAGTTTCAGTAGGTTTTCTTGCTGAAACTAGACCGAAACAAAAACCGAACTATCGGTCGGACACTAAACAACTTATTGACTGGCACAAAAAATATAAACAAAAATAAAATAATATCCATACGACGCGTCACTGTGCACCGGCTCGAATTCCAGGAAATTTAATGACTATTCCAACTCATTGCTCATGCAATTCGACTTTGAACTCTAGGTCGACTTTTGATTGCTTTTGCTCGACTTTGACCTTTGCATCACGAATGACAGCATGGATAACATTATCAAAAAATACAATTTTAATTGCAAGAACTTGTTATATAAACGCACCAAGTAAATCGCACCAAGTAATTCGAAAACTGATTTGTGCAACGAACGTATGAACTGAGGACGTAAAACGGTTTCATCGTCAGAGAACTGAAAACGGTCTTTTTAAAATGTAAACGCAACGCCCACCCCTAGTCAACAATTTAAGAGGTTATGCATTTGACATTTAAGTAAGTGTATGATGTGTCAAAACTCAATAAATTTTAGGTTTGTAATATTATGATATTTAATTTAAATGATTTAAAAATATATCAAGATGGCAGTGGTAATAGAAACTACTCTTGGTGATATAACAGTGGATTTATACTTAGAACAGCGACCTGTTACGTGCTTAAACTTTCTTAAACTATGCAAAATGAAGTATTACAATTTCAACTTATTTCATACTATACGCAGTGGATTTATTGCTCAAACTGGTGATCCCACTGGCGAAGGATCTGGTGGTGAATCCGTGTGGGGGCTTCTTGAAGGCCCTGAAAAACGGTTCTTCTCCGGCGAAAAGATGCCCAAAATACGTCACACTGACGCTGGTTTAATAGCAATGGTGTGCACAGGAGATATGATGGTTGGTTCGCAATTTTATTTCACGCTAGCTGCTGATTTAGATTCATTAGACGGGGTGCACTGTGTCATTGGTGAAGTGACTGAAGGTCGTGAAATTTTAAGCAAACTTAATGAGGTCATTTGTGACGAAACTCATCGACCTTATCAGGATGTTAGAATCACTCATACTGTTATACTCGATGATCCATTTAATGATCCCCCTGGACTCATTCCACCCTCTAGATCTCCTTCACCAAGTGCTGAACGCTTACAAGGTGGCAGAATTGCCCCTGATGAAGAAATAGATGAAACACAAGGGAAAACAGCTGATGAAATACAAGAAATGGTTGAAGAAAAAGAGGCAAAAGCTCGTGCCACCATACTTGAAATTGTTGGAGACTTACCAGATGCGGATATTGCTCCACCTGAAAATGTTTTGTTTGTTTGTAAGCTTAATCCTGTAACAACTGATGAAGACCTAGAAATTATATTCAGCCGATTTGGCACAATTGTTAGTTGCGAAGTTATAAGAGACAAAAAGACTGGTGATTCTTTACAATATGCTTTTATAGAATTTGCTGATAAGCAGTCATGTGAGGATGCCTATTTTAAAATGGACAATGTTTTGATTGATGACCGTAGAATTCATGTGGACTTTTCTCAATCTGTTTCTAAAATGAAATGGCTTGGAAAAGGTAGAGGCGTAAAGTACCTGAATGATAATGAGTCTAAATCAGATTATAGGGCAAAGTTAAAAAGGTCTAGGAGTAGGGAAAGAGATAGTAACAAAAACTCAAAAAATGATAAAGAGAGACATAGAAATAACAGCAGACATGAGACGTCAAATAAAAGTTATAATAGAGGTAGAAAATATAGTCATGAAAAAAATTCATCAAACCATAGAGGCTATAAAGACAGGAGCAGAAGCAGGTCAAGAACAAACAACCACAAAATATTATCATCAAGGAGAGAAAGGAGCTCCCATTATAATGATAAAAATAATTCACCTAGAAATGAAAAATCTAACAATCATAGCTATGCTAATGAGAGAGATAGACATTTTAATCATGACAGACGAGAGTCTTCTAAATCTCCTGACAGAAAAGAAAAATGTAGTAAGCATGATAAAAGCAAGCATAATTCAAAGCATGAAAAAATTTCTCATTATTCAGAAAATGAAAATAAAAATAATAAACTTAAAAGAAAACTATCAAAAACTAAAATAAAATCGGATAGAGAAAAAAAACCAAGATATGACAAACAGGGGGAATCACGGACTCCATCACCAGCTGCTAAAAGGAAGGCCAAACCACAAAATGAGAAGAGTTCAAGTAAAAGGAATAATAAAAATAGTAAGAAGAAGCGTAAGCCATCCACTTCTACCGATACTGACTCTTCAGACACAAGTTCGAATAGTAGTAGTACCTCAAGTTCTTCAAGTGATTCTGACAAGAAAAAGAAATTGCTGAGGAAGAAAAAACGAAAGGTATCTACCTCCAGTAGCAGTAGTAGTGACTCAAGTTCATCAAGCTCCTCCAGTTCTGATTCAACAAGTAGTGATACAAGCAGTTCAAGTTCAGATAGTGATCACAAAAAAAGAAAACAAAAGAAAAAAGGGAAAAAGGTAGTCAATAAAACAAAAGAAAAGTTATAGGGTCTAGTTTGCTTTATGCTTTACTTTACTAATAGTACAATACAATGGTTTTCAAATGCGACAAATGTAAATTGTCATATGAAATCATATGAGGTTTTTATGTGTACAAATATATTCCAACCATATTTTAATTGATTCGACAAAATGTCTTTTTTTATTTACTTTCAACAATACTTCTGGAGAACATTAGAGTCACTGTTAATAAAGTTGTTTCATAACATTATTCATGAGATCTTACTTTTAATTTAATCATTTTCTCAAAAATAATATACATGTATGAAGTCTGCATATTATGAGTTATGTAGTAAATAACTACAAGTACTAATTATTATTCCATTGTGGTTGTCTCATAACAAAAATAGTAATCAATTAGATATTTTTAATGTACTTTGGTAAACTTGTATAATGGTTGTTTAAATTAGCAGTTTTCTTATTTTTAATTTATATTTGAAAGTGGATGTATGGCTTGTGACGTTGTTGAAATTAAAGTAGAACTAAATAACTGCATCAAAATGTGTAATACAAATTTTCATATTGTTTCTAAGGTTTTATTCATATGGAAAAACCCACTGTTAAACAAAGCTTAAAGTTTATTTGTGAATTGTGTATACTCAATTCGAATAAGTTATCCCTGTCTACCCCATCCAGACAGCTGGCACCACGTAGTAGTTATTTTCTGTTTGGGTAGCACCTAGTATGTTTATAAAAGATGACAGTGCCGACTCAAGAGATTCGATAATGTCCTAGTAGATGGCGCTATTTCACATTTTTCGAGAAAAATGAGTAATATGACACCGCTCAACTTTACATATCTATCGCCGCACATAGACATCCACTAGTCCTTTGTTGCGGCCTTTCGTTACTAGCTTTTAAATAATTGGCCCCCGATTACACGAAACGCAAAATTCGGTCTTCAATGAAACTGTGGTGTAGATTCATGCAAGATCAAAAGCTGCTGCATGAACCTACCACAGTAGTATTAAGTAATAGGTATTTCAATACCTGCGTTTTTTTAACCGACTCCAAAAGGAGGAGGTTCTCAATTCGACTGTTTTTACTTTTATTACCTCAGAACTATTGTCTGAGTGAACCGATTTTGATGATTTGAAAGCTGGTGCTTCCCATATGGTCCCATATTAATTTCATTGGTAATGGATTTTTGGTGCCAGAGATACTTAGGAAACTCCTGAAAATCAACTATAAAATGAATACAGAGCCAAGATATTAGAAGTCGGTTTTGTTTTTCCTTAGTAAAAAAATGACTTGTACAAAATCACGCACCTATAAACATCAAAATTATTTATATACAGCAATACGATAAGAATTGTATGTATTGTTGTAGGTATTAAGAAACATTGAAACACTTAGGGGCGGATTTCCCTATAGGGCAAGTAGGCCCGGGCCTAGGGCGGCAAAACATTACTGAGATTTTTCTTTTAGTACCTACCTAGTCGCAAATTTCGTCTCTCGCTCCTTCGCGTAGACAATTTTAATAACATTTTATCAATTTCGTCTTTATAAATGTGATATTCATATTGCAACTACAGACTACTTTCACCGACCAATAATGTACAGAGTACGCTGGTATCTCCTCCTAAGCCTACGCAACAGAAGATTATTATTATTTTTTTAATGTGAAAAATTGCCAAACGAGCAGACGTCTGATGTTAAGTGAATACCGCCGCCCATGGACATCTGCTACACCCGAGGGTTGCAGATGCGTTGACAACCTTTTGAAAATTGTGCTCCGGCCACCTCACTCACCAGACGAAACGCGAAAGTATTATACTTACACTTTACGCCGGTCTTCTGTGAGATCGTGGTACTTACCCGGACGAGCCTGCCCATTCGTACAACGGCCGAGGCTGCTGCGTGGCCGTACCATCGTAAATATTTAATAATTATACTAGTCAAATACTAATAGTATTAAAAAAAACTCCTAATTACATTTCCATACCTTACTTAACTAAAATACTTATGTAATTATTTTTTAAGATTTATAAAGTGATAGATCCCTGAATATTTTTAACTATTCCAGTTGAAGTCTCTAAAATTATATCAGTCCTGGACTAAACTAGAGCGTAATAATATCTATTCGTATCATAAAAGTAACATTAAAGTTTACAAGATGACAGAGGATAGCTATGCGTCTTTTCGTCTGAAGGTGAAAGGGTTTGAAAGGAATGAACTCAGATGCACACTCCCCATGTGTCATAATGAATACCGCGAAACGGAAAACTGTGCCTGTGTTCGAGACTGTTACAGATTGGTCGACACTGACGCAGGGTCACCAAACTTTTCAATTTCACCGACTAGACCAACAGGATGAAATTTTACAGCAGCAGCCCTAATATGATAACTCTTCAAATGGCCGAAATTGTGGTTTACCATACGGGTAGAAGCAGTACAATAGCACGCTCACAGGGCTTTAACTGTGGTAGGGTCACGCAATGGTGTTCACTGCTGCACGAATGGGCAGGTCCGTCCGGGTACGTACCACGACCTCGTAGAAGACCGGCGTAAAGTAGAAGTGTTACATTGCTGCGTTTCGTCTGCTGAGTGAGGTAGCCTGGGCCCACTTTATTTAAAGGTGGCAACGCTCCAACCCTACGGGTGTTGCGAATGTCCATGGGCGGCGGTTATCACTTAACATCAGGTGAACCACCAGCTCGTTTGCAACTTTGTCACATAAAAAAAGGGGCACTAACCTTCTTTGAAAATTTTTGACTTTGGATTCAGTGAAGGGCTTAAAATTTTGGTTCAAGGAAAACTAACAACTACTACAACGAACTCTCCCGAGTTCACTGAACGGAAGCCAGGAGACCCATTTGCTGATAGACATGTGGCCCTGGTCTATGGCTCCACTGCTCACCACGTATCGGCCGCGGAGTGTAGGGCGAACGAAGTATCGCAATTCCGACACTCCTCTCCACGCTGCCTCACCACTGCTGCATCAGCAGTGCATCCCCTACGAGTCGCATAGGATTGGGAGAGCGGCCAAATGCAATACCAACACTCCTAATTCTCCGTGACTCCACCTTGGTTGCAAGAGACAGGGAGAGTGGCTGATCCTCTACCACGCTCGAGCTGTCCCCCAAACCCTCCAGCATGCATCCAGAATGGGCTTGGAGCTCACTCGAAGCGAGCCTCTCGGGCTGACCTTACACCACAAGTGGTTTCACCGTCGGTGACCAAGCCACGGCTACTCGTACTAAGCACCTCGGCTACGGCAAGGTGGTCGAAGGGGAAACTTCAAGGCCCTATCACAACCCACGTGCAAAGCCGTTCTAACAAAGTGTTTTATTCCTTTCTCAAATGGGGAATAGACATGAACTTTGAGAATGTAGAAATATACTAAATACGGCGCCACCCTACCCTAGTCTTAATCCCACTCTATTATCTAGATATTAAGGTCAACATGCCATTTCGTTCACACATAAATGAAGCCACGTTTGTTATAGGCGACTCAACTATCTCATCAAATATTCAAGAAAAATTTCAAAAAGCAAAAGTAAATAAGCCGATGTTATACAAAACTTGCATACGACCCATGTAGTCCTAACCCGTATGCTTACATGTCTTTTACGCACATTCCCGCATACACTTGAAAATTAAAGATTTTGCTGAATAAATTCACCCATATCGCAACAGGTGGACAGTGATATAAAAAAAACTTCGACAAAAAACAACTCTCCTAACTGACTCCACAATACTCCTAACCACCGCGGCCTCAGCACTGCTGCATCAGTGGTGCAGCTCAACCAAGTAGCGGGGGATGAGAGAGTGGCCAAACGCAAAACCAACACTGCTCTTACACCGCGAGTCCAACTTGGTTACAGAGGACAAAAGAGTGGCTCCACCTCTACCACCTTCAACCTGTCCCGTAGACCCTCCTCGCACCCATCCAATGTGAACTCAATGGGCTTTACACCACAGGCCGGCCCAGCTGGGTTCAGCAACCAGGGAGAGGAGGCCTGAGAAGGCCATAGTAAGTCCAGGGTGCAGATGATTGCGTATTCCAACTCCCGTGTCCCCAGCAGATGTGACAAAGTCAGTTGCAACGTGAGATTTTAAGTGTGTACCCATTTTGACTGATATCATCCCGTTCCTCCGATCCGGTGGTTGGGAATACGAAAAGGATTTTCCAACGTTAAAAAAAAGGGCAAGAGTACTAAGTCATTCCCCCACGTAAGAAAATAAAAAAGCCAAAACAGTTAGGATTCCTTTTGGCTTCAGTATCGGAAACTGTTCGTCCTCGCCTAACCGAAACCACTTATATAAGAAAGATATTTCTCATCGCTCCAACGTTTTTTTGTTAAAAAAATAAATTCCTTTAAATACCACCAAAGTTGTTCATTTGTACCAACTCGTAAAGGAACTTCGTTCAAAAATTTTATTCAAATGCAGTTTATAGCGTTGTTTTACTTACGAGTCTCAGAACAGCTTCTGGCGTTTCACGAATTGTCAGGATCTTTTTAAAAAATTTCGCCGAGCGCCGTGAGAGCCGTGATAGCTCAGTGTCCGGGCGCTCGCCTTTAATTTAATATACTCGAGCAACCTGAGTTCGATCCCCGGTGCCAGCACCAATGAAGTTTTTAACTTTAAGTGCTGACTTATCACGTGCTCCGCGGTGAAGGAAAACATCTTGAGGAAACCTGCATATTTTCGAAATAATAACAAAAAAAAATATATATATTTCGAAGATATGTGAAGTCCGCCAATCCGCAGTGGGGCCGTGTGGTGGACTATGCCCTGATACCCTCTGTATAGAGGAGGCCTTTGCCCAGCAGTGGGACATGTATAGGCTGTTACTTTACTTTACTTTACTTTTTTTTTTAAATTTCGTGGGTGCAGAAATGAGGTAAGAAGCGTTTGAACTTTCATATTTCGTCAAATGGAAACCATTACAAAATCACATCAAAAGTTGCCACACAGTGTAAAAGATTGGCAATGCAACTGCAATAACGCTACCGTTGCTGTTGATGTCCATAGGTAATGTCATAACATTAGGTGAATCACTAACGCTTTTGCAACCTACTCTACTCCCATTAAAAACTCGTATTTAAATGAATTAGAATGATCACATATAGATATAAATCTTAATATTTATCGAATGAGAGGAAATCATAAATAAGCCGATGTTTCAAATGGGTGGTACATACCTACGGCGCGAACACAGGACGTCGTTGAATCCCAAGCGCTCTATTGCCTCGGTCTGTTATCTTTTGTGTTGTTAAAGTGACTAAACAAGAAGATGACTGTCGTTAACGGTCGCTATTGTGCACCTTTAGACTAAAAACGAATGCGTATTTCGAACATCACTATGTGTTTTATCTCTTTCTACATTTATTTTTGTCCCTGGTGCATTTTTATTTTACGAATCAACGGCTATACTATTAGCTATAGCCATTTATAGCTATAGCTAGGAAAATAAATGAATAAAATTTTCGTTAGTATATAAGGTTGCCAAACCTTTACAGTATGGTGAACCAAAGTAGTTTATGCTATTAACTTTTTAACTAGCATGTTGAGTTATAAACGTACTTGTACCGATAACCGTCCAACAAATGGGAGGACACAAAAATATATTTCCTGGTGGAATAAAATAATAAATATAAGTGAAGGTGATGATAACCTTCATTAATATAAGAAAAAGAATTAAATGTTACCTTTACAATTTTCTTTTATAAGTTTAAAGTGAAAGCCTTACGATTTATCCATCATAATAATAATGATGCCTGTTGTTGGTTTTTTATGAATGTTCGTTATAATCATTGCATGTTAATATACCAATGATATACATCTAAAGCACACATTTTATTTAAAATCAAAAGAAGAATATAAATTAACAGAGACGTCACCTTTCGGGGGACTCAAAAGTCAACGTGACTCGAAACCTTACATTGGCAGGGGATCATTTAACTTTATTACGCTCCCTCGTGGAAGTTGAGATTGGTTGTCATGGAAATGACCTCTGAATAATTCTCACGGTTTCGAGCCACGGTTAAAATGCTGCAAGATGTTTAATGAAATGTGATTAATAAGTGTTGACGCCATGGCGCGTCGTTCCAGTAAATTAATCTTCCAAGCAATGAGATATATTTTAAAGGGCTTTTTCTTTTCGTCGTGAAAAGTGAAAATCCGTTATCCATATCTCCAGCTATATACATATAATATGCATGTTTGTGTATGTTTGTATGTGTGAAAGCATATTTTATTTTGATGAAACTTGAAATAGCTACGTCTAATCACAGAACAGAGAGAATTTGTTTTCTCTATTCCATGTGTCTAATGGCATACATTAGCTTATGGTCCAACTAGCTATTCAAGTATTCGACGAATCTTTATTATAGTCTCCAGACTGAAAGCGTGACTTCAGATATTACAAGATACAAGATGGTTTGTCGGATACAAGATGGTTCAAGGCAGGATTATAAGTATAGATAATACGTATCCAATCACTGTATTGGATGACAGTATTTATTCCAGTAATTCGACTTTGCTCCTATTTTTCCTAGTTAGTGAAATTTAGGATTGACTTTTTGATTTAATATAATGACAGGACAAACCAGAAGATCAATTAAAAAAAATAAGAGAGCCCATAGCTGACGGGAAGCACCGACGGTTGAGGTAGTCTGCAGTTTGTGGTCATATTTTAGACCGCCCCAATCACTACATTAGATTTTATCAGTCGAAAATTCTCGCAAAAGAACACCGATTTCTTCCAAGGATGATCCGCGAGGCTATTGAAACAAAGAAACATCCTAATTTCACTAGAGAATATGGTTGGTGTTTATCATCTGCTTAGGATCCCATAATTTATAAAATTAAATCCTTTTGCGGAGATCGGAATAAAAAAAATGATCAACAAGTAATTGATGGTAGCCTGGATTAACTTTGACGTGTAACAACTTAAGTCTGTCTCGTGACCATGGACGCCGGAAAGGGTTCGAAACGTCTAGAATTACAAAATCAAATAAAAACGAGATAAAATCGCTAAACTAGCTCATTTAATATAAAAATTGGGATAGTTAATATATTTATTTAAAAAAGTAGTCTGAAAATGAAAACCGAAATAACCTTGCCTTAACTTTGCAAATTCAGGCGTCATTCATACAGAGGTGGATTAAGTACCTAAACTATAAATGTATAATTTGAGCAAAGCTATGTTCGCGTCATGACTCGCCACGTAGGCGTTGTCAAGTGTGTAAATTATCTGTTTATACAACTTATTATGGTTATGATAAATAAAAAAATATGAATATATTATTAATTTAGACAATATAGACAAAAAATTTCACAACCCAACATGGTATGTACATTCCAGTGATATTAAATAGAAGATTGTGAACAACGGGTAATGGTTCACGCGGTGTTAAGTGATCACCATCGCCCAAAGTCGTTCATATCATCATCCTTAGGGTAGTAATTGCGTTAGCAATTTTCCAGAGTGGGGAACCTCCACAAGTCTCCAGATGCAATGTGAAAGTACAAATATATATACTTTACCATACTATCTGGTGCGAAATCTTGCAGCTAAGCTTATTTTTCTTATATCAGTATCCAATCAAAGTTATATCGAACTTATAACCTAAATTCGCAACAAACTTATTGTATCGTGAGTTCTCGCGAAACTAAGAGTCATTTTAAACTATGTCGCTTAAATTATATTTTTGCTAGTCTTTAGTGCGTATGAGCAATATAATTTCCATCCGTATAATTTGCACGTCGCCCGTCTCGCGTACAATACATCTTTTATTATCGCCATATCAATTCGTCTCTGGCGAGCTCACTGCGCATGTCGCTAATGTATCGACAGGACGGATGGGCTCCCTCGCCGCTGGTACCAAGCAGACGACACTCGCTCCCTGAGCGCGCACCTCACCGTCGCATCCGGATACACCCTTGCCTTAGCTATTTTCAATTGACTAATATTTAACATTCCCATATACTGACAACTGAAGATGTTACTAGTTAGTTTGACCGCGCTGTTCGCGGTTCTATTCGCTGCCGACGCGTTGCCCGCGCCCTCGAGCAACAAAGGTAAGTTACGTATTTGGTTTTTCGTTCCATTCGATAACGAGCAATCATAATCTCTTGTCTATTATCATTATATTTGAAGTATCCGTGTTGTTCCCTTTTTAAGTAATATTTTGATGTGTATCGATTGAGCGTGGGCCGGGTCGCTCTATATTTAGCAACAGGTGGTACGGCTGCGCCGCTCTTACTGCGTAATACCTTCCACCCTGTGCTAATGTGACCTTTTCCATTCAACCCTCATTTATAAATAGATTTGCAGTTTTTCGTTGATTGACGTGTATTCTTTCGCACGTTCGGAGTTCTGCAATAGGAATATAGCGAATGTGGATGACTTTCCTACGTCGATAATAATCCCCCTCTTTCCCTCCCACCCTCTCTTTTCCATCATAAATTGTGGTATTAAAAAGATAATAAACATTTTTATTGAATGAAATTATTAATTGTTTTCTTCTGATACTCTAAATTAATAAAAATAAATGCTTTTGTGTCAAAATACAACATTTGCGTAAATGATTGGGATCACGCGCACATTTCACAATTAAAACTGATTTCTGTGATACATTACAACCACACTTATTTTAGATGGCGGCCAAATTGGTGAATTACCGGACAACTGGGATCAGACGAAAGACGATACCCAGTCCCTGTTCCTGAACAAAAGCGACAAAAATGACCTTGAGCCGTATCCCCTCGCTTTGAGTGAGGAAGGTAACGATTAACCATTCAATTCGGCAACACATTAAACTCCTATAAAACTAATGGCGATTTACCTTATAATTTTACCTTAAAATTATAAACCCATTCGTGAAAACAATAGCTATAAGATCCGATTAGACTAACCGTAACACGGAAAAACGTGTTTCAAATCAAAGAAAATCTGAAATAATTCAAATTTTTCTACCATAATCATCTATTGATAATTCTCGATTGATTTTTATACGCCTTACATTCTATAAGATACATCTTATAGGTATTCCTTAGTCAATTAGTAGCCAGGTCATTACGATGTTTATTGTAGTTGAAAATGAAGCAAACAGCGAAGCGAGTGGTCAATTTTACTCGTAAAAAAAATTTCAGGGAACGTAGACGCGTACGAGCAAAATGTGGAGCAGCGTTTCGACACGCCCCAAACCAACGGCGAGCTGGATAATCTCATCATGAGACCCGAGCTCTACGGTGAGCCACCGGCCATGGACGCCCTGTCTTCCGCATACGAATCCCGCCGCCGGAAGCGCGGCAGTGGCACCAAAGTTGGAGGCGCAGGCGCTGCGACCAAAGTGGCCACTAAATCCGGATCTGGGAAAAAGAACTTAAAGTGAGATTGTTAATATTAAGTCTGTAATATATCCTAAAGTACTTGGCCTACTTAATATATACTTAAATGATTACCTACGATGGAGGCTTGACCTGGTATAGATTTTATATCACAATAATTATCAGCTTTTAAATTTTATGTTTGTAGTTCTTTCGGTGAAATGTTTTAAAAAATATTGAAAAATCGGAAATTCTCTAGAACTTAAATGTTGATCATTATGTCATTATTTATATTATTTTATAGACCAGAGGAGGCACTTTCGCCAGTCGAATCCGTGTCTCAAGATCACGATGTGCATCGTCTGAAGCGTGGGAGCGGAACAAAAGTGGGAGGAGCGGCCGCCTCAGCTAAGACGGCTACCAAGAATTCGGGCGGTAATAAGAAGAACTTTAGGTAAACTTTAACATTGCTTAATGGCAATGACGTCAAATCAAACATTACAGTGTCGTTGATACACTTACAATTTTCAGACCCCTGTCCGAACGTCGCAAGCGGGACTCTGGCCTGAGCGCCTCTGACGTTCGTGCTCTGCTAAACCTGTGGGAAGCGCAGGAGCGCAGGAAACAAGAATGGAACGCCAACCAATGGGCGGCCGAGCACGGCGGATGGTACGGCCGTATGAACGCGCTCGACGAAGAACAGCCGGAAGTGGATGAGAACGGCGATCTGTGGTACAACGAGCCAGTCGTGATCGGCCCGCAAGACAGGGAGTTCCCCCGCCACTCCTACTTCTCCGAGCAGAACCGCATGGCGCTGGCTCGCGGCATACCCGACGTGTACCAGGTCGATCCGAACGAACTCGCCCAGCGGTACGAGGAGGCCCGTCGCAAGAGGCAGTACGCGAACAAGATGAAGCGTTTCATGGTAGCCAGGAAGCGTTCAGATGGCATGCTGCATCAGAACAACTACCGGCCACGCGATGACCTTTACACTTTGGCCGAACTGCTCCGTTCGGCGCCTAGAGTTCAAGAGCAAGACATCCCCGTGTACCGACGACTGATCCTCTAAACGTTTCTTGATTGCATAAAATTCCTATTATATCTTTCTATATATTTAAACTATTTCTATATGTACACTTGGTGTTATCTGGTTAAGTAACGTAGTAGGTATTTCCAATTGAATGGGCATTTTAAGGCATTCGTGATGGCTGGAGGATAGTTGGAGCATTTCATTCATTCTGTAGCTTATAGTTATTTACCTAAATAGATATAAGGTGCATAAAGACTATGATTTTTTTATTTGTGTTATATTTTTGTTACGGAATGGCCTAAAATCGGATAACAAAACAATAAACATCCACGCCAACTGCTATATCGTTTTCTACCTCGGTTTATTACATATCTTTTTTACGAATTCCAACCGCAAGTTTCGAATAATCTGTATACATAAGTTCATAGCCTATAGTTGCAGTGAATGAGGTCAAACTTCAAATATTTACAGATATTAGATTTAGTCCATATGTGTAAATGGTATAGACTTGCTCTATTAAATTAGTGCAATATTAATAATAGAGTTTCAATTCAACAAATCCCTTCCTTTACAAATGAATAAAACCTACACCCGAAAAGTATTATTACTTTTAATACACGGATTTTAATGAAATCAAGAAAGAAAGTTTTTTTTACAATATTGATAAATAATTATTTGTACTTAAATAACTACCTACTTTTTTAAACCATTAAAAGTTTCTCTAACTCATTTTAAAACTCTTTAGATAAGTAAGTACCCATATAATGTTTTAGTACTAAACCGCTCACAAGTCACACTTGCAAAATATGTGGTATTATAATATATACGACTTAAAAGAACTTAAGCCTTCAGCCCATATATGTATTTCACATGTGGACTATATGAAGGTTGCTTTTTACAGTTTTTGTACGTTACTTTGTCAATAATAATTTCATTATAAAATTAAAAGTTCAACTAGCCGTCAACGTCACTTTCGATACTATTGGACACGTCATCGTGTATTAACATTTTAAGCTAAGACGGCATCAAAATGTTGTTTTAGTTATTATGAATAAGCCCGGTCCTAACATAGATATAGTAAGATCTAGGAGTTTTGAGAAACAAGACAAAAACGTACTAAGCAATACATTGCATATTTCCGAAGATGTTTTGGAGCCGACGGGAGAAAAGTATGAATCTTTTATTTGGTTTCTTAAATACGTTAGAATGTTCCTGTACCGTTTAGGCAAAGATCTATGGCAGTCTATGCAGCTTTTGTTTTTCTCCGAACAAACTTTACCGGACTATATCGTAGATCTCATGAAAAACCAAAGAAGTTACAATGATCATCATAGCCAAATTGCAATTTATACATTTATCGACGATATGAACAAAAGAACTTGTTGCCATTCTCATCTTGATCGTTCAACGCAAACCATCTAAAGTCTTATCGAGGATACACCATACATTTGATCAATGAAAGTGTGTCAGAGAAGACAATTTGTTTGAATGAAATATGTTTCAAAGTTTTAATTAATGCAGAACTAATAACATGAGTCATTGGAATAACGTTACAACGTACATAAATAATGATAAATAAATGTGGTTTTAAGATCTGTGCGCAGACGTTTAAAGAAAATAAACGGAGCGTAAGCTTAGAACGAGACCTAAAACGTTACGACGAATCTGCAATGGTCTCAATATCCAAAAATATTTTATACAACTAATAATGTATTCGACAAAATAAATTGTATACCTTTACAACTTGTGTTTTAAATAAAATGTTATACTTCTCGATTAAAACAACCAATAATTATAATTTTAATATTTAACATTTACTAAAAAAAATCATTACATAATTGCATAAATCATATTTCTAGACAAGAATAACTCTAATGCTGACTAGGATTTGGCCTTACTTTTCATTTAATTGTTTTTATTTCAAAAGGAATCCCCTATGTTAAAATGTAAAAAAGTATGTTCTAAAAGTCTATAATCTTTTTTTTAATAAAAAGGTATATTTATAACAAATTCGCGCTGTATATCCGTGGCAAGTGGGAAATTTCACACATCCACATCATAGGTAAGCATTTAGGCGAAGCTGTGATTGAGTCAGCCAGTATGTAACCAATTTGTTCTTTAAAGCATTGAATCATCAAGCGTAACGTCTTTATTTTATGTACATTTGGGCATATTTTATATACATTTGGGCATTCTACAATTCTTCCGACTAGAAATTATGCAAATTATATAGTTTGTTATTGTATGTCTATGGCCAAAAATTGTTCACACATTTTCACGCTAACAGAAAATGAGGGTGGCTCGTTTGATGCCTCCAGTCAATCGTTCACAAGCATTCGGACTCGCCTGAGTTTCATATCGCATCAGATAAACATACAAAATTCTCCATGGAGAAGAGCCGTGGAGTTTCTACACGAAGACAAAGAGTTTCTTATCGCTGCAGAAACCGGTAACAGCAGTATGCTTCAAATCCTCATCAGGTAATTGAATATTATTTAAGTAAATAAGAAATATTTTGTTAACAAGACTTGCTTTAAAAGATTTGATTGCTTTAATTAAACGGTTTTATTTAGCTTCACCTGTTTCGGTCAAATCTAGTAATTGAAATTTGACCCTCTTTCTGTTGATGGATTGATCTGAAATTTGGTACGCACCTTTAGTTCTGATGAAACAAAATGACGGATTACATATTTTATCACTACTTCCTCAATATGGATATCAAATAAAAGGTCTAGACTAGTAGAATAAATTAAACTTTAAAAAAACTAAAAACTTGAAAATAAAAATGAGTTAAAAAGATTTTATTTGAAAATAAAGATTAAAATTATGAAGACAATGTACTAAAAGCTAAAATACAATTCGGCAGGTTCTAGATACTAGTCATCACACCACTCTCCTCATTAATTTAGGGCATAGGTTTTATACGACCAGCCGGCTGCAACAATTATCTGTGGGTCACACAAATACGGTATCGAACCCACGGCCGCTGGCGCCGAAGCTGTTGCAAGCTTAAAAACTACGCCACCGAGTCCACCATTAACCATAATTAATGGTGAAAAGTAATTACAATCACAAGTTGATCACCAAAAGAAGCTATTTAGTATTATATTCCTCTACATTATTTATCTTTTATTACGGAACACTTGATTTAGCAAAGGTGCTGACATCCAACAAAAGGACCATTTGGGAAGAAATGCTCTCCATTTGGCGGTGTGCGCGGACAGTGAGCGTGCTATAATCGTCCTGTTGGAATCAGGAATCTTGCCTAACGTTAAGGATAATCTAGGCATGACACCACTCTCGCTTTGCTTGATGAGAAGGTTCATGTAACGCTGATAATTAGTAGATAAAACACCATTTTAAATAAAACTATGTAATAAAGAGCAAACCAAATATATTCATAAAAAACCGATCAATTGCGAGTCAGACTCGCGCACAAAGGGTTCTGTACCATTATACCGGCAAAAAAATCATGTCTGTTGAATGGGCCCCACACATTTTTTTATTCTGTTTTTTAGTATTGGTTGTTATAGCGGCAACAGAAATACATCATCTGTGACAATTTAAACTGTCTCACTAACACGGTTCATGAGATACAACCTGGTGACAGACGGACAGACAGACAGCGGAGTCTTAGGAATCCCTAAAAAGGATTAAAACAATCATAATATTGACACAGTAACATAGGAAAACGCTTTTAAAAATGTTTTTTTTTTCCTTTTAAAAACTCTTTTACTTCATCAAAATTAATTTTCTCCAGGCCGTCATTAAAAGTCGCAAATCTTCTATTTGATCATGGAGCGAAGCTCTTACCTCGCTCAAGTCCAATGGACACTGGATTATTTCTGCGTAAGTTCATTATTTTTCCGTTACGGAATTTAATTACGCATGCTAGTATAGAATACGAATGTCAGTTATGATTTGAATTCTACAATAAATTTATCTAATGGGTAACGTCACTGATATTTTATATTAACTATGTTATTTAAATATTACAAACGCTAACTCATATTGTCATCAGTTTAAAAAATGGTCACTTATGATCAGTTTAAAAAAATAATTAGGTTGAAATCAATAATTTCGCAACTGTCTATAGCACTTGAGAATAAAGTTGGAAGGAGTACAAAATACATGACTCAGGTGCTCCATTTATATTTAAAAGAAGCCGCAGAGGTGTGGTGCAGGTCAACCGCTAAAGAAACTCTACGTTTAGCACCAGCTCTATTTGCTGGCTCGTCCGGGCGTGTTAGTCACACTTCGCTGAATTGTACAGCCGGGGATTACGCAACTTGCTGATTACATGATAACGTCTGAGAACATCTGATCATTTTCTGCTCCGATAAAATTTTCGACTGTATAATAATATTTCGGAACTTTATATACTCTATATTCGCCCATTGCATTTCCTCGGTAAATAGAAAAGCTCGCATTATACCCTACTCTAAACATGTGTATCAAAAAGTTAGAATTCAAATATTGTATCTTTGGTCTTCATAATTACAGAAAGTAATCAGTGCACTGTTGAACTAAAACAAGTTTGCGTTGAAAGAAGAGCGCGTTAATTTGAATTTATAGTTCTGATGTCTTTTCAGAATTTTGTATGATGTGCATACCTACAGCTGAAGAAGGTAAAATACTTAAACTGCTTACAACCAAAGGTGCCCTTATAAATGACCCGGAGGCGCCAGGCGGTCGGCAAGCTCTTCATTTCGCGGCTATGAGTGACAATTGCACGCTAATCACTATCTTAGTAGATCTCGGGGCTGATCTGTATCTCGTAAACCATCGAAATGTAACGCCTAAGGAAGTAGCGCTAACTTTCAAATGTAAGAATGCTTACGCACTACTAAACGAGTGTGAAAAATTAAATGAACAACATGCTCCTCCTGATACAGAAGAATGAATCCCGTAACTTTAAATCTAACGGAACAGAAATGTATGCTGCCATCCGACGGTTTCGTTGTCGTAAGGACCATGCGAAGAAAAAAACAGTTTTAATGTACCATTTAAAAGCCTTTTCCATGTACCATTTAAAAGCCTTTTTTAAGAGAGGGAAAATATTTTTTTTTTTTATAATTTAAGAAGCAATGAGTAGTGATTTAAACTATTCTAATACGCTACAATTAATTAAAGTCTTATGTCAACTTTGACTTGGTTTTAATCATATTGAGTACGACACGATGTAGGTATAAAAAATGTGCGATATTAATACTTTCGCATTCTTATTTAATAGCAAGCAAACAATAAGAAATATTATCCGACATTACATAACTTTTTTATGTGAGAAGGTGGCAAGCTAGCCGGCGGTTCACCTAATCTTAAGTGTTATTCTAATAATCATAGATAATCGCCCATTATTATATGCATCACCCCTAGGGTTGTAGACATTATTAAAAAGTGGGCCCCGGCTACTCCACTGAAAAGACGAAACGCAGACGTATTTCACGCCGGTCTTCTGTGAGGTCGTGATGCTTATCAGGACGAACCTGCCCGTTCATGCATCAGCGAAAATTATTGCGTGTTCCTACCACAACTTATATTCCGTCATATAAATCCGGTACAACAGTTTTTTGCTTCATCCTTTTATTTAATACATTATTCGACAAGTACTCCAGCTATATTACGTCTGCTAGTCTCTTTAGAAAATATAAATATATTTGTTTGAGATTAGTAGACATATATTTAAAAATAAATTAAGCCAGCAAAAATTACTAAATTACCTCTTTACATAATTATTTGTAACGACTATTGAACTTTAAAATTTAGTTTGGAGTTATCGGCCCTTTATGTCACTGGTCGTCTTTGGTGTAAAGTTAATGTTGAGAAGATTTTTTAGTAATTATTATTGCCATTTTATTAATGTAGATAATTTGATTACCCTAGTTTCGAACTTGGAGTTATTAGATCAATGTTGAATGAGCACCCTATCTCAATCCTATAACAGAACTTGGACAAAACCTGGCTATAAAAAAGAATAAGAAAAAAGTACACACTACAGTTTTTGTTGTGCGTTTACAAAAAGCAAAAAGAACAAAATAAACACATAAAAATTCTTATATATAACACTCCTGATTGTAAATATTTTCATAGATATAATATTTATTACATTATATGCAATGTAAATTCTGAACAGTAGTAGTAATTTCAATAAGCACAAAGGACAATAATTTTATATTAGTAATTTCTGCACCCTCTGATCAAGTTAAAATATAAAACACTAGTGACCCGCCCCGGCTTCGCTCGGGTGCAATGTTATACAAACACACTATTACAATATTATACATATAAACCATTCTCTTGAATCACGGTATGTAGTAAAAAAAACTGCATCAAGATCCGTTGCGTAGTTTTAAAGATCCAAACATACATAGGAACAGACAGACAGAGGGACGACTTTTTATACTATGTAGTGATAATCGTGAGTCTACATTCAGCAATAAATTCCGTGTCGTAATAAGTTTAATACATTATGCATAAAAGGGGATCTTCATAGTAAAATTATTTATTTCACCCCTGACCTAGGGTAATGGACGAATCGAGAACGTGACACTCGTATCCAACAGATTAGTTAGTCGCCCACGCTGAGTAACGAATTCTATTTCACATCGATGATTGACGTTACTGCTTTCGGTACTGACCTACAAAGCAAAATTGGCTAAGTATAATGTAATTAAATTGTTATTTGTCGTCGCTGAATATGTAGACTTTCACGCGTTAAACCGTAGTGTTAAAGAAATAAATCAATTTTTAACAATGAAAAAACACGTAGGCAACCATTAATGGGTAAAAATAATAGACAAAAAATAAGACTGTGACATCTGCTTTACATTTCACTAAATAATTATTATTTTAAAGTAAAAACAGAAGAATAATTGAATGTTAATGCGATGGAAATGATTCGGTACAACCCTACCCCGCGAAATGACATTTGTTCTACGGTTTCAAAGATGGCGGCCTTGTCGCAGTTGCTATTTCTTGTCAAACAATAACGAGAAAATTGATATAACCAATTATTTTTAACTTTCTCTTTATAAATAAAACAAAATAGTGATTATTATCATTAATTCTACAAAGCTAGTCATTTTGATAATGTGATATTAAGTCTACAGATGGCTTCCAGTGTGCAAGACTCGCCTCTCGTCCAGCAGACATTTGTTGAGGAAATAGATTATAGTGAAATACAAGAGCTGTCGGTAAGCATGATTGATGTATTGATAGTTTTGCCTGGGTCCTAATGGAACACTATTAACTGAAATTATCTGGACAGGTTGTGGGCAAAGGAGCTTTTGGCGTGGTGTGGAAAGGCTTATGGCGGAACACGTATGTCGCAGTGAAACATATAAACTCGGAGGCCGAAAAACGCGAATTCGCGATAGAAGTTCGTCAGTTATCTCGCGTGTCGCATCCAAATATCGTAAGACTTTACGGCGCGTGTACAAAAGGTGCCCATGTCTGTCTAGTAATGGAATATGCTGAAGGTGGTTCACTGTACAATGTACTTCACAATAGGCCAAAGCCCAAATACACTGCAGCACATGCTATGAGTTGGGCACTACAGTGTGCTGAGGTATTGTTCTGTTTACTTAAATTTTCTTCTTCATGTCTGTACCATTGGACTAACAGTTGTTCTTTTCGTGATATAGTGTTTACTTTTTTTAATATTAAAATGCACTATTCATTTTATTCTATGTAATTATTTTGGTTGTTTTTATTACTTTTCAGGGTGTTGCATATTTACATTCAATGAAACCAAAGCCATTAATACATAGAGATTTGAAACCACCAAATTTATTATTAGTTGGAGGCGGGCAGAGACTCAAAATATGTGATTTTGGAACGGCAGCTGATAAAGCTACTTATATGACAAATAATAAAGGTAGTGCTGCTTGGATGGCACCAGAGGTTAGTAAATATAAAATGTTTTACAATCATATAAAGAGCTGTTTTAAACTTATGATTAAATTACTTATATCCACTTTAACCCAATTTTCAACCAAGTTTACAATAAATCACAACTAAAAATCAATGTGAGCTCTCTTGCTAGGCAATATTTAATGATCACCGCCTCATACCTAAAGCTTAAATTTCATCTTACCTATCACTTTTCATTTTTGCTTTGAGATCTTGCTATGGTTTAGTTTATCCTTTGTCTCTGAAGGTTTCCAATATGGCGAAGAAGGCATTTATATATTAATGTATACAATTATTTCATGTCGCAAACAATTCTGTTGGTAAACTTTTTGAATACAATAAAATAAATGAAATACTTATTAATGTAAAATAAGAATTTTTCTTATCATAACAGTCAGGATGGTTACTGTTTTACATTACTTGCTCTTTAATCGGGCAACATTATTTTGCAGTGCAGTGGAATAGGTGTCAAAATAAAATAAAATTTATATTAAACTACAATATTGCAACAAAATTGATTAAATATTTATTTATTAATACAAGATAAAACATTGCACTGTCATAACTCATAATGTAGTGTTTATTTTATAAACACTACATTATGGGTTGATAATCAAAACAGTTTTTATGGGTGTTTTATGATAAAAATCTTTCCTTTATTGCAAAAACTTTAATTTGTGATATAATTTTAGTTCCTTTCATGTTTAAAATGTTTCCCTCATGTTTAAAACACCCTCATTATGTTTTATATTATTAAACAATTAATAATTAAGAGTTTACAGTTGATTAAGTAGTACTAATAATGGTGTAGTACTAAATTAGTAATACACTATTTTAAATAGACAATCGAAACATTTGAAGTAAAGTGTAACACTTTTTATCTTACATACATCTGTCATAAATTGAAGTTATTCTATAATTTTGACATGATCAATAAAGTTTATTTTGCCATAATATCAATCATACATTCAACCTTAATTGTAATAAGCTGTAGATTATATTGAATCTTGTAACCCACCTCAGCAAGAGAAGTGTAACTTTTTATATAACTTACGCTCCTCCTTAGCATTCTTACTAGCCTTAAAATTTGTGTGTACATGTGTTGTACAGTTGTTAGAGTTTTTATAAATTCTTTCAATCAATTTGTTTTCTATATATAATTAACAATCTAATATATAAATAATAATCTAATTATTTGATTTTATTTTTTTACATATAAGGTTAAAATGTGACCATGTTTTTTTAAACTATTATTTCCAGGTTTTTGAGGGCTCATCATACACCGAGAAGTGTGATGTATTTTCATGGGGAATTATTTTGTGGGAAGTATTATCTAGAAGAAAGCCGTTTGAAGAAGGAGGATCTGCATTTAGAATTATGTGGGCGGTACATACAGGTGTATATTGTTTATTTTTTAAATTATTTAGCCAATTACACAATTATTGTTTCATACATGTTCAATGTAAAATTTTTGAATGGCATAGGTATTTTATTTATTTCACTTTTTTTGTTTTGATTCCTTGTCAATTATGTTGCATTTTCGCGGTTTCAATTTTATCCTTTTCAGTATAAAACCTTTCGGTCACAATATTTAAGTTGCCAACAATATGTTTACATATTTATTAAAGAAACAATCCTCATTCATATTTCAGGACAAAGGCCAAATCTTATTGAAGGCTGTCCTGAACCTATAGAGCAATTGATGACACAATGCTGGGACAAAGTGCCAGCGGAACGACCAAGCATGGCGGAAGTGAGTGCATTTAAATGCACTACCCAATTATTGTACAATACATGGACTCTGGAGTAAAGAGAATGCTTTCAGGTGGTGGAAATCATGACGGCGCTCTGCGCCTTCTTCCCCGGTGCCGATACGCCGATTGATTACAACGACTGCGAGGAAGACGACGCGGAGTATTCCGACGAGGACTTCATGATGTACGACACCCAGGACAGCTTGGAGACGGAGACGGACAACATGTCGCAGACCCAAAACTCCCTTCGCTACACGGACGAGACCAGCTCCGACCCGACGGCTTACCGGCAGACGGGCCGGCCCGCGCTCTCGCCCAGGCCGCGCAGCCTCGTCGAGACCCAAGTGAACAGGCTGCAGAACCTCATCGCGTCGGAGGTCCAGCCGCCGCCCAGGGGGTCGAACGAGCCGGACCTGGCGCGCGTGGGCAACCTCAGGATCCCGCAGCAGTTCAGGGGCCCCGAAGCAGCGGGCAGGTCGCCGGTGACCATCAGCCGCACGTCCAGCTCGCCGGTGCCGTCGGACGTGATGCACCTTCCCAGCGGCGGCAGCACGCCCCAGGACACGCTGCGGATCGTGCGCAGCCCCAAGATATTCGAGAGCCCCTCGCCCAGGCGGCTCTCGCCGATAGTCAACTACAACATCGGCAACATGAACCCGCGGCACATAGACATCGAGCAGTACTGGAACAGGGAGGCCGAAAAGACGGCCCGCAGCCCCTCGACGCTTAGCAACACGAACTCGCTGCGGAAGGAGGACCACAACCAGAACTACTGCGATCGACTGAGCGCCGCCAACAGCCCGGTTGCCACCAGGGAACTAAATGGGAAGTTGCAGCAGCCGGCGGATGCACGGTATCAGTCGCCGTTGCAGATCGAGGTCGATTCGGTTAGTGCCACATATGCGTTGCACCATTATTTCCTGGACAACCGAGCCATGCTAGCCCAGTGTCCCAGGCACTCTCTTTTAATTCAATATACAAGAGGAACTTGAGTTCGAATCCCGGTACCAACCAATGAAACTGTTAATTGCAACTTTAAGTGTTGACTCATCACGATCTCGACGAAACATCTTGAAGGCGGTTCCCTAAGAGCATATTTTCGAAAGAAATGATAATAAAAAAATGTTTCGCAGATATATTGTGAAGTCTGCCAATTCGCATGGGGTCCCGTGGTGGACAATGTCATAATACCTTCTGTACAGAAAGGGCCTTTCCCAACAGTGGGACATTTATAGGCTTTGTATCTTTAGAAATGTATTCCAAATTTAAGAGTCCAAAGATGGTGGTGGTTAAAAAAATCACCCTCACGGAGTCTGAATGAGATCCGTTTATAGTGAGGTTAGAAGACTTCTCGATCATTCTGACGAGTGTGAGCCCCTTAGAGATTTCAGTGTCGAAAATTTTTCAGGACGCGTGGGAGCTGAACGACCTGCCGCTCGATTTCGACGGCTACGTTGAAGTCAAGAACATGGCGGGTTTCGATAAATTCATCCCAGTCGGTGAGTGTTGTGTGCAAATATAACCGCGCCGCTTGATTTTTTTGCGTTTTTGTTTTGTTTCATATAAACTCTAAATCGCCTCGGCTATAAATTAAGTGTTATTCCTGTTCATCTGATCGCTGTGTATATTGTTCTCGATGAATCATCTTTTTTTTTTTTTTTTGAGACAACAATTTTATTCGGTCGTCGTTTTCGTAGTACATGATTTTAATCTTTGATAATTGCCTCCAGTATTCATTTTTGGTTTCGATGACCACGTGTAATATTTTTGCAGCCAGAATTTTAGATTATCGCATACTAATGTTTTACAAGTACTTCCAATGCCAATTATAATATAATTGCTCCATCAAGGAATAACTTGATGAACATAAATACTTATATTTTAATAAATATAAGAACGAAAATGTCATCTACGGCGTTCTTCCTTTTTTAACAAAAATAAAAAAGCATATTTTTTAAATCGAGTTGCCAGTACAGAAGTAATAAAAAAAGCGTCTTGTGAAGTATTATTCTTTCCCGTTTCGTCCGGTGACCATTGTTTGGCAACACATCTGCAACACACACAGTTGTTGTAAATGTTCATGGGCGGCGGTAATCACTTAACATCAGGTGAACCGCCTGCTCGTTTACCAACTGTCCATTTAAAAAAAACTACAACAATGTTATATCTGTTATAACTGTTTTTCTTATGCACTTGTTAATTTTGCTCTCGCTAACCGTTATTGGCAATTGAATGACGATAAAATGCAACGTATTGATAACATATTAACTAGGACGTCAAAATGTTGATCTTAAAGATGCAAGACCCACTGGTGCACGTAATGGTATTTCATTAGGTATTCCAGCGGGTATTCCGTTTTTCGAACTAGTCGCGTTAGTTTTTGTAAATGTCTGGCGACAAAACTCATCGCCTGTCACATTACACAAATAGCATTTTATTGTTTAATAATCTCGGTGACACATAATAGCTAGTGTTGTCTACATCATTAGGATTAAAAGACGTGAAAATTGTATTTTTATCAGATAGGCGAATTAAAAAAACATTCGTATATCAGTGACATTTTAAATATCTTATAGTAATATGTTAATCGTATAGTAATAACTAGCTGCTGCCCGCGACTACGTCTGCGTAGAGGGGTGAAAATTTTGGGTTGTATGTATTTTTGTATGCTGTGTCATAAAAAAATAGAAACAAAAAGTTTTATATAAAAAATAAAAAAAAAAATTTAGGGGTGGACTACCCCCTTAACATTTAGGGGGACGAAAAATAGATAGTAGCCGATTCTCAGACCTACTGAATACGCATATAAAATTTGGTAAAAATCGGTTGAGCCGTTTCAGAGGAGTTCAAGTTCGAACCCCGTGACACGAGAATTTTATATATTAGATAATAAAAAATAGTAAAGTGTCTTTGTTGGCTCGAATTCGTTTCTTTTTCATGGATCTTCCTTGTTATTCCTCGTCAAGATTCACTGTTTAAAGATATTCATCATCAACATCATCATTAATTATCAATTATCAAAATATATGACGTCGTTTAAATCTTCACAGTCGTATTGTCTTAGTGATAAATCGACCATGTAGGGTCGTATGGTTTAAAGCCGTATCGAATCGTGCATGAGCCAGCGCATCGAAATAGCGTAGTCCTGTGCCAGGACATGAGCGATATGACTCAACGTCCCGCCTGTATTTACGAGCATTGATCTACCAGATATGCTATCCGCGTACACGAAACGGCTATAATTAAAATCTATTCTGGCGTATCTGCTTCTAATCCCCTAATAATATTCTAATCTCACTGAATCCATCATGTTGGACGGTAGTCGGTGATTTAAAATGTAGAGGAAACTGTCAACATTCTGGTATAAGATTTTTATTAAATTCAATTGGAAAAACTATTAGGATGTTAAGTCAAATGTTCTTTCAAAAATAATTACGCAGTAATTAGAGACGTTTATGCTCCTCACTCACCAGACGAATCGCAAAAGTGCTACACGTCCTCTTCACTTCGGTCTTCTGTGAGGTTGTGGTACTTTCCGACGGACCTTGACATGGCCCTATCACATATATGTATAAACCTTTGTTGCAGTTGGAAAATTTCAGTTCGCACTCATAATATTCAAAACGCCTGACCCATATTCCGCTTTCGTCCAGAAAGCTATTCATGAGCCGCAATTAATTTAATTAACAGTTACTTATTGCGTTTTAAACGTGATATTCAAAATCGCGCACGATTAATTCACAGCGGGTGTTAAAGTGATGCGATAAATAAAGACTCGCGTTTAGGCGTTGTTCCTAGGAAACGCAGCGGTCGGCGCGACATTTGACATCAGATATTCATAGTCAAATATCAGCGATGACTCATGATGCTATCTTAATTATATACACGCTTTAATTAGTATTACAAGTAGAGACCCCCGCTTTAATTTACGAAGTTCATTGTCAAGACTCATTATTAAGACGCCACTTACACAAATAGTATGTAAAAATAAGTGAAGTCAAAACAGTTCAATACCCCGTTTTCTCCTATTTTTGTCAATTTATTTTCTCTTTTGACGAACTTTAGCGTTCTCTAAATAAATAAAAAATTAGAGCAATTTTACTTCGATTATTGTACTGAATTATTTTGTTGTGTGTCTCATCCTGAAAACTAAGACTTTAACGCTAATTGAAATCAATGAGTCCACTATACCAAAAGTACCTAATCTCAAATCTAATTCATTATTATTATACCAATTACATGAGACGGTACTTGGCCATAACTTACAAGAAAATATTTATAAGGTTATTCTTTTTTAACTTTTCTATTGAAAATCTATGAGGTTACACAAATACAAGGCGAGCCCAACAACTGATAAGTTTGTTTTTGACCCGAGAGATTGGCGATCGTTACTAATTTTGGTGGCTTAATCACACAACATACTTCATTACAGGGGTACAGCATACCCCATGTATATCCGAAAGTCTTTCGAAGCATTACACACTGCTATAGTATCCCAACTAGGCCCCAACTTTTTCAGGCCGTGCTTAAGCTGAACGCTACCTTTGTCAAAACCTGTTTCTACCGCAGTAGGCAGTACCATATAGCTGACCCGAACCAAGCACTTTGAACCACAGAATCTAGCGCCGGTCGATTACATGGGAAAACGGACCAGGAACTGCGGTCAAACACTGTTTTCTCCTTTGACTATTTATACCGTTCCTTTTTGGGCAACCGTTCCGTTTGTGTGGCCACGTGACCACGTTGGCGCGAGGCCGTGTTTAGGTGCATTTATAAATTCGACGGCTTCGGTGCGCGCCTGTGGCCCGCCTGAGTCACGGGCTCGGAAGGGGCCGCGACTATTTCGGACTGTGTCCGCTCACCTTCTAGGAAACGCCCGTCGGGACCAACGACCGAACGGCCGCGGTATTGTTAGACCAGCGAGCGGGCTTGCCTGCTGCTTTCGAATCGCTTCGTATCGCCTCGCGTCCGACTAGGGGTAGTAGCCTGTAGGCTGCGCATGTGTTTTTGTTGGACCGCTATCCGTAGTTGCGGGCACGAACTCAACGGCCGTAGCTTTGTTTCTTAATTCCGTTCACCTCAACTGTCCAGGATTGGTTGATGAACTGCCTATACTTTCGTTGTTTGCAAAAATCTGCATTTGTCCTCATTCATACCGATCGATTATTGTATGTCATTCTGTTTGGCACAACAATTCACACGTCAGTTTCGATGAAACTGTAAAGATTTTCATAGATATAACAATATCATTAATGGAACGTCTAGATTTGTACCGTGTGGAAATTTTCTAGTCTCAATATAAAATCAGAATTACAAACCGCTTAGTACTCGTAACCAATGGTGACATAACGAATGTAGTATTTGGTAATAGGACAAGAAAAGTTACCTGTAGAAGAAAACTAGAACAGTATATGATTCTCCGTTGTCTTGAAGGCGGATTGCAATATAAGAATATGGACGCGGGCAAATTGTCCATTACTTTAACTAATGATGAATAGTCTTTATGAAGAAATCCCAAGACGTTAAAGTATAATAATGTAAACATTGCAAGCGGTCTTCGCGTCTTCTTTCACTTAAGATTTTCCTCCCACCTACGACGCCTTTATGCATCTGGTGTTAAGAAGAAGAGCTCAATTATACGTTAACCGTGTTTACGTAACGCCATAAGCGCTCCCCTTAGTCACGCGTTACGTAACGAAGTGCCTCAGATGTCGGCACCGTCAAAGCGCTTTTATATTTTTTCTCTGTGTCCCAGACCTACTTCCTATTTACCTGTCTGCCACCGTCTTCTGATCTTTGTGTACGAATTTATGCGTCTTTTTATGTTTGTATGTGTGAGTCTGTTTTGCGTCAATTCCATAAGATCTTTGCGATTGGTCGGGAAATTATGCAACGTTGAAAAGCGTACTATTAAACATTAGATTTGGAAATGAAAATCTGCTATTGATATTTTGGTATTCTTTCAAAAAGAAAATAATGATATTTTTAGTTTGAACTATCATATCCCCTGTATTTGATTTCACTTTGATTGAATAATAAATCATGTATATGCAAATATGGCCAATTATTTATCAACGACACAGGCGATTTCTCATAATTGAACAGATTGTGTGTAATAATATGATGTGAATGAATATGTAAAAGAAAAAGGTGCATTCCAATTTAAAAAATTAAATCAAACGCTTAATTTAAAAGTTGAATTCTCAAAGTCAAATGTAAAAAAGATAATTATATTTCCTAATTTTTCTAAATATCTTCGTTTCGAAAACGAGATTTTTAGTTGCGTAGTGATAACGATACTTGAAAAACGCAGAAGTAAATAAATAGAGAGACGATAATCATGGACACCCCAACATCGGGAATCCCGAATTACGTCTTGTTCGAATAAACATACAATGCCCGTGTCCAAACACACTAATTCATGCTGTTATGTATTTCAATCCATTGTTAATGATCGATTCCAATTTCCTATACAGAGTGTATTAAACTATTTGGTCCTTTTGCAAAAACGCGGTATTTCCCCGAACAAGCCGGTCCTTAGTGCAACAGTAGAAGCTACCGCATGACTCTACCAATAAAATAATAAGATGCATTTATTTACGGCCGGTTTCTATATTCTATCTACAGATTGATTGACATGATGATGATGGTGACCTAATTCTCGTGGGGGCAGTGCCCCTGCCCCATTGCGCCAGAGGGTGTGGGTTCGATCCCCACTACTGGAAAAATATTGTGTGATGAACATGGTGTTTTCCAGCGTCTGAGTGTTTATATATGTATCATATGTATTTTTTTACAAAAGAAAAGTATTTTTATCAGTTTTGTAGTAGCCATATTACAAGCGTAACTTAGTTTGGGAGTAGAGAACGTTGTGTAAAAAATGTGACGGAAAATATTTATTATTATTTTGTTACTACCCATCGGTATTTCACATTAGCTCCAAATACTTACTTCAAAATTCTATTTCCAGTAACCAAATCTATCTGTAGATCCAATATTGAAACCGACCGTTAAAGATCATAAATTAGTAAATTAATACAATGTAACACCCCTATTGTAAGCGTTATTTTTCCCCAATTAGCCACATCAAAGAAATGTAACTTCATCAATGTCGTTTGTAAGCTGTGCTCTATTTACAAATTATTTTGTCACGAGTAGGTACAGTCATTGGCATTAACATCAATAAGTTAAGTAAATGAGTTCTGCTGCCGCTAACTGTACTATGGATCGTGTGCTACACAATTTATGCAGCCAGTATATTCAAGATCTATGATGGGACCTTTCGTCGTATGATCCGTCACGACGTGCTTAAAAAAGATACGCAGTGTTCACGCCCATTTAACCGAAATACACTCCGGTACCATACAAAACACCACTAGTGTTTTGCTCGTGAACGGCCTGACAATAAATTTGGATATTTTTAGACGCATCACATCCGTGCGTTGACGCATCGCAGTCCTACAATGCATCTGTGTGCAGCAGCGAGGCGTGTAAAGTGGAAAACACCACTTGTCTCTGTCTATAATCCCCCTTTGTTATATTAAGACGGCGTATTAGTACCGTGTCAAATGGTTGGCCAAACGCCCACTGCTTTTTGGGACGGTCCCCTCAAATTAAACCACGGTACAAATCTAGCAAATGTGATTCAAAAGTTTTTCAAATATAAGAAACATACTCTCTTTTAGATATGAAAGCTTCAATATGTTTACGGTGTGTCCTTTCCTGTAGTTCCTTTGTGTAGTTTCCTGTTAGTATCTGTGAGTCAGAATGTATTGGCTTTTCTCCTTGTTCGTCACAAACGTCGATCATCCTAATATCTTTAGTTTAGTCTCGTGAAAAACTTTGTTTACTAAATTGGGAGAAGAGTAAGTATCACGATCATCCGAGAGCTGAACTTCACTTCACTTCAGTGTTTAGTCCATATTTTATTTTATCTTACTGAGGCAGAATAGCTTCTGCTATTGTTCCACAGAAAACTGACAAAAAACTCACTGTCCGGGCGCTCGCTTTTAATTCAATATACTCGAGCAACCAGAGTGCCGGCATATATTAACAAAAAATTTTTCGAAGATATGTGAAAGTCTGCCAATAAGCGTGGGGCCGCGTGGTGGACTATGTTGCCCTAATACCCTCCGTGCAGAGGGGCCTTTCCCAGCAGTGGTACATATATAAGCTGTTACTTTACTACATATTCTTTTGCATTTTGTTCGGTGAGTTAGCTAACCGAGACCCATTCTCTATGTAGTTGACAAAGCAACTGCTACGAGTGATTAACGGGTGATTTAAATCTTCGGTCGTGATAACCATTTAACACCATATGATGCTTTCTCGATTTCACATAAAAACAAAATATTGGCCAATCACGCACGTATAACGTATGTACGGGTTTGTCTAATACTATAACAGTCTCGCAAACTTGAGGATCATGTTATCACCTAGTCCAATCGTAATCCTTAATCAAACCATGTACCATGGCCGGTCCTGTATTATGTCTTTGACTTTGTCGTGATAGTTATTTGCGCTTTCGGTCCGTGGCCTATATAAAGCATCATCTGGCATTGAGTTCGTGGAAAAGCTACCTTTCCACACTTGATAGACGCGACCTAAGCAGGGTGATGCATGCGGACATGCGTGCACAAAAAAACGAGGGGAACGAGCCCGCCGTAGGCGACATGCCGCAATTAAGGCCTTGAGGGCCTCCTCAGTGGGTGGCCAGCCCACCGGTTCTGCGTTCGATCAATCTGAGATAGTCTAAGGACTGAAAGCGTAACACCAGTTACACAAAAAAGGGGATCGCATGCGGACCAGTCCGGTCTATCGGCGTGCAACTGGCGACCGCTGCGGCGTTCGGCCCGCGTGAATCAGCCCGATGCAATTAATCCGCCCCGGGGCTATCTGGACGCGCGGCAGCGGCCCGACGACGTCGCACAGTCTCGCCGGCGCGTCGCATCGGTGCATGCTGCGGATGCGCCCGGCGCACTGGCGCACTCGCGCAGCGGCCGCCGAGCGGGCCGCACGTATCCCGCGTCGCGTGCACCGTGACAAATGCCGCCCGCCGCCGGTGTCGCGTCAGTTCAGTGAGATGCCGCAAAAAGACTGTGCCGTCCAGCTCTCGTTGATAGTGCAACCGGCCGGTCGCAAGTTAGAAGTGTTCCTTGACGTTTTGATGAGTAAGTGCTTGATGTTTGGTTTTTATCGTCGCGTCACTTAGTTATCTGCTTGGTTTGATGGAGGATTTTTAGGGACAGTCACGTTCGCGTCAGCGCTTACTTGTTGGAAGCTTCGCTATCCCGTGTGGTTTTAACACTTGTAAAGGTTTCATTCGTATCAAATGTAAATCAAACTTTTAATTTCTTATTTTTTTAAGAAATTAATTAATTATATTTAGCATTTTAAATAAAATATAATTTTATAAACGCTTAAATTTTTGTTTAGTACTTACTAATTATATTTCAACTTTAGCTATATTTACCATTATTACATTGTAAATATATACGAAAAAATTCAAAAGCAAGAAGTTAATTAAACCACTAACTTTTATGAATAAATAATAAATACTTGCAAAATTAGAAATGATATTGACAGTAATACCGGTAACACATTATAAACATGTATAAATACCATTGTACCACTATTAATATTACAAAAAATTCAAAATTGCGTTTGCATTACGAAACGTTGTATAAGCTCCTTCGGTTGATCAAATCCACGGTCATCTAACGAATAGGAACGGTTAATTTATACACCTTGATTGCAATCAATCACCGCGCAGATGATAAATGGCCGGCGTAGCAAACGCGCGCGCAAAATTTATAATCGTCGCTAACGATCGTGGACATAGAAATAATCGGCTGTCAAAGCGCCATGCCAAAAGCACCACCGCTTACCGCGAACGAGTCGCGTCGAGTGACGCTTTCGGCGCAACGGCGGTGAATCAGCGTTAATTATTATATGATGGGCACACTCGCCAGTGCCAGTAATGTTTTTCCGGCCAGAAACTTTTTAATTTTATCCTCTTAATATTGTAAGCGTGCGAATTATAATTACACAGTTTGTTGTTGTTAATTATTACTCTTTTAAGGACATTACTCTTTTAAGGAATTGATTCCAACATGTATGTCTTGTGCACAAATTTTAATGTATTTTATATATTTACCTTGACCATGTTACAATGTTACCAAATTACATGGCTTCATCCATTATTTACGCACTAGTTAGGCTGTTTTCGATGCGCTGTAGATTCATATAGCAACACCCAACCTTTCGGCCAGTGTCCAAAATTACGAGCGCTCTAATTTTATTTCCAACTAGCGACTCGCCCCCGGCTGCGCACGGGTGCAATGTATTATACATATAAACCTTCCTCTTGAATCACTTTATGTAGTAAAAAAAGCCGCATCAAAATCCATTGCGAAATTTTAAAAATCTAAGCATACATAGGGACAGACACAGCGGAACGACTTTGTTTTACTTTGTTTAATACTATGTAGTGATGTTAGTCTTTTGTTGTACGGTGGTGATCTCAAAGTACTCAACCGTCTTTTGAAGGCAAGTGTGTTTACGCGTCCCGAAAACATACACGCGAGAACTTCTTTGGCGTCATCCCTTTCAACATGTTTAAACAGCGTCTGGTGTATTTGTGACAAGAGGGACAAATTTATCAAAGGCGCCTCAAAAAATATATAGTTGTTTGTGTACGTAAACCAAAACAATGGAGGAGGATAGATCTTAGGCCGTAAACAAACACGGCGTTCGGCCGACACTTAAGCGCGTCAAACACTAGCGCGCTGCGAACCGAGAATCGGGAGCATAAATGTAGTATTGGTGAGACATTTTGCAGACGGCGCTTAGTGATTCAGTCTGGGGTACGATTGCCTTTATAGCTTCGACGGTGGTGCGCAGCGACCGGGTGGCGTTGGCATCGCCGCGACATGACTAACCGGCCGCTCGTTCTAGATACAATCAAGATACGCGACAAGTTTATTTCTATTCGGAACAACACGCGGCCCGATATAACCCGCCCGCAAAGTTGAACATCTGCTGGACTTTTTTTGCCGGCGACACAAGTAGGTCGGGGCTCGTGCCCGCGTCACTAGAACGCCCCGGCATTGGCCGAACACGCTCCGCTTACGTTTACGCGAAATCGTTACGCCGCTCTATGTCCTCGCTCTGTGCCGTCGTAGGCATCCGACGGCCACAATATCTTACACAGCAACCCGTAACGCAAAAGGTCGAACAAGATCCATCTAGTGTTTGGCGTATGTGTTCTAGTTCCGCGCCCCGCGAAAGTAGCCTTACAAAATCACTATGATCTATTGGATATTCCGCTCGAGTTTGGAGAGGGTCGGTTTATTCTCCTGCCATGTTGAATCATGTTATAAGTGGTTTTTGTTCATGTTTTATTACGACCAATCCCCTATCCTTGGGAACAAACGCCGAGATCCGGAACCTTTAATTGTAGGGCACAAAAATACTTGTCTCGTGTGCCAATAACAGCAGCGCCCCCGAGTTAATCATTACAATCGAACATTATCCTGAATAGTCGTTCTACTCTGTCAGTTGTACGATATCTGGCATATCACAAAAAACCAAATCGAAATAATTACGAAATGATTATAAAGTATAGAGAGTTCGGAGCGTACGTCGTAGGGGCAGCTCAGTTCAGGAGCGCTCCTCCAAAATACACGCGTGAGTCACTCCGCTATTTCACAACGATACCTTTGCCAATAGTTTTCGTATTGCTTCCTGTTGCCGTTATCCCCCGATTAATTGTTCGAAAATCGTTATGTTATCCTTAGCTCGTTATTTGGAATTAACCCTAGATCATATTTTAGGATTGAATTATTAATAATACATTTGGAGGGTAACCAACAACTAGGGTTGATGAGGATGTTTCTAAAAAAATTGAGGTGAGGATCTGCTATGAGGAAGAGGAAGAGGAGGAGAAATAAGTAACAACATAATAAAAAAAATATTTTTTGGCAAAATATATATTATTAAGCTTTTACAATTAAAACAAAACCTTCGTATTTTTTTAAGATAAGAACAAATAACTTTTATGGGAAAAGTTTTTATTTATTATTTTTTGTTAAAATTAGTGCTAAAAATAATTAAATATTAATATTGAAAATTAATTTCTAGTAAATAATAATTTAGATACTGTTTCTCCTGATAAACGGTCTCGCAGCTCATCGTAAACCAACCCAGCGCCACTAAAAAGGCGTTCACTGGGAACATTTGATGGAGGAGCTGATAAATACTGACGTACTAATCCATAAAGTTCAGGATATTTTGGCTTTACTTTCCACCATAAAAGACAGTGATATTCAGTCTCCTTTAATATAATCAGCTATCAGTGACTTAACTAAAACATGTTTGTTTATTGGTGAGCATGATTCGCTATTTTCATCGTTACTGTTTGGTGCTGAATTTAGCATATCAACTAACATAGAATTCATAATTATTTTTTCATCACGCGCTGCCACAGGAGTGGCCGTGGAGGAAGAAGGTCGGTTCTATATTCTGCTGTTACCTACGTAATTTCAAAAGTCATTTAGACGATTTTTTTTAATGAAATCCATTATTATTTAGAATATTCATTCATTGAACTTATAAATAACTATTAGAAAAAACTTATAAATGAGGTATTATCTAGTCACAAAATGCAGCAAACAAAAAAATCTATTTTAAGAAGCTGTTTTAATTATAATAATAAACCGGCAGATTATTTGTCACTTCCACTAAAAATTCCTCTTAATAATAGGAAGAGATGGAGGATTTTGTAAAATTTATATGTGGAAACGGATGAGGAAGAGTATTCGTGAAAAAATTAGAAAGTTCCGCATTAAGAAGAAGACGAAACGGAATCCTCATCAACCCTACTAACAACCGCAGTCAATATGATATTCGATAGGTTAGATCCTAATGACTTTTTGAAGTGGAGCATTATCGATGCTTTTGACTTCGAAAAGCAACAAAATTGATGCCAATTATTACCGTAGCTGAAATCTTTAGCACATTTAAGTTTTGCTCCAGGTTACAATATATAAATGAAGCTCCATGAAGTAAATCCAAATTTCGAGCCACGCACCACCAAAGCTGCGATTTTCGCTTCTGGGAAAAATCGTGTTTCTTAGCAATTTTTTTTTTTTTTTAGGGAAAACATTTTGTCATGATTGCAGTTGTTTTATTCATTTTAAGGATGAGTGGGAATTCAAATCTTGTTGTCCAATTATTTTATATGCAATTAAAATAAAGTTGATATAAAACTTTATAGATTATCTTAATCAATAACAACCTACATGATTAACTTTTTTTTGGATCCATTTTCGAAACTAATGTACCATGATAATGTTTGCAACGAAAGTAGATAATACCGATAACGCATTTTTAAAATTTTCAACATCCGAATAGTCCTTAGCTCCTACTATAATGACTCCACTCGAAACAATTTCCGATAAGGTGAACAAAGAGATCGTTCTTAGAAACAGTTTCCTTTTATAATTACAAATGATGAATGAATAGAAGCTTTGAGCATGGTTCCAGAAGGGGAAAACATTTATTCGTATTGGATATGAAGCATTCATTCTTAAAAATTGTATTGAAGTTATTTGAAGAAACTCATTGCCAAAAAGTTGGTGTTCGTTGTCTTCGAAAAGCAAGAGCCAATCATTACATAGTTTTAATTCTAAGAAAAGTTCGAATTGCGGGCCTCCGTAGTTAAGATACATGACAACAGCTATTGAATATAAATCTGCTTGATTTTTTTTTAAATGTAAATTTAACTTTGTAAACGTTCGTTATTGTCAAACGAAAAGTGTCGTCGCCGTCTCAGCCCGCATTAAATTGTTAAATCAATTCGACGACCGATCGATAAATCCGAATGACTGCTATCCAACTGTCCCGTCCTGTGCTCCTGTTTCTAATCTCCGAATCCCGCACTTTGATGTGATCTGGACGCGATCACGTCTATATGGCACATTAACGGCGACTGGCCCAGTTACGTTTCCCCGTAGAAGTTGGCACGGAATTGTAAACTGCCCTCTTTACAATGGGCACTAAATACCACGCCTGTACTTGCTGCGCTGGGCGCCCGACGGTTCTTCGCCTTATACCAATGTTAACAAAAAAAAATGATCTATTGCCAGGAAATGTTGCTGTTTCCGAGTTGTGTTAGATCTTTGTGTTTTTACCTTTCCAATTGCTCTTCTCTTGAATCGTAGTTCTACAAAAAATTTTGTCTATTTAATATAAACAATCAACAACAACTATCCCCACAATATTATTTCTCAAAATAGTTTTTTTTTTTTGTCGAAACGCTATAACATCCATTATTCTTCATCAAATTTAATGATACAAACACCATCTTAAATTCTTAAAGCTTAGCAACTAGATAAAAATTAAAGATTTAACTTTTTATTTAAGATCTTAAGCCTAAATATTGAATAAATAAATTTTGACTTTGAACACATGAGTCTTAATCGGAAACATCTTTACCATTGGTAAAAAGTAAGACGTTTGCGATAAGATTTGTAGTCACCAACGATCAAGCTCTGCTGGAATTTATTTTGTTTTAATAAGAAGATTACATTCTTGACTAGTTCTTCGCTGACTGATTCTTCTATAAAACTAATATATTTTAACTATATTTATATACGTCAATAACGATGTGTTTGTTAAACTTGAAGGTATATTGAATGCTGAAAATGCCTTTATTTTCACACCAAAGTAGACGTTTAAGTTTTTTCTTTCGTTGTTAGCTGTGCGAATGTACCAAAATTATTTCTTATAGAAATAAATGAGAACCTAAGACTCTTGTTCAACAATATTACACTGAGTAAATGATCCTCATTTTTTCCATAATTTTTCGAAAGGATAAAACTGAGATTCGTCAACAGTATGCTCCAAGTATCGCCAATTTAAATATTATCTTGTAACCTAACAAGGCTGGACCGAATGCACATTGACATCGACCCTCGGCTCAGTCAATTATGGCCCTATTCTTGCCTCATTGAGTCAGAAGAAGACTGTTTTTTTTTTGCTGACTATTACTTGAGCGTTCGCCGTTGACATAGTTATTTATTGCTGTTACTTCCAATCGTATCCTTTTCGTCTCGTGTGTAAACGAAATTCCTTATGAAGAAGTCACCAGTGTCCTTTGGAAAGTTGACAAATTCTTAACAGACTTGGATATCTAGGTAGCTATTTTCAAATTTCGCATTTCTAGAGCTAACATTGTATTCTTTTTTTTATGTGAAAAGTTAAGCGAGCAGAGCAGAGCGAGGGTTCCAGATGCGTTGACAACGTTTTGAAAATTCAGATTCTAATTGGGGCTGATATTGTATTCTCATAAAATTTATTCAAATGTAGCGTACGATACACGGTGATAATATAAAGCGTTGAATCAAGTTGAGAAGACTGAAATTATTCTTGTTGTTTTATGCATTAGTGGCGAGTGTGGACTGAGTGGGTAATGTCAACTTACTAAACACAAACCAAACGCTTTTCACATCTTTTGCTAAATTTGTTCATGAGTGTGGCAAGCATGACGTAAAGTGGCATTAAAGATTTATTCGCGAAAGTAAAATTAACTTGCTCACAATTTTACAATCACTGTCACCGCTCCGACTCCATATTGATAACTATAAACATATTTATTTTATCCAAACTGCCACACACAGCAAATTCAACATTTTACCACCGATTTATGGCACGCGTATTATTGTCCCTTACAATTTTAAATATCACCCAAGGTCAACTAATTTCGTGCCGTTTATATTTCCGCATCCAATGAAAAACTCCCGATGAATCACGGGTTTTCGTACGCCGAATGCGAGTACAACTGACAGCCACCCGGTGCGAATCTGATATTACGAATTTGGATATACGGAGATTTGGCACGGGTCATCAACGGGCATCTCGCTCAGGATCGCTCAATCATACTGTTCGTTATAAAGTGCTGTATTGACGTTCGTTTCTCGAGTATCCTCAAATGCCGAAAGGGGGTTTTCGTTGGTCGTTAGCGCGGGCGCTTTCGTTATTCGAACGTCAATTCTTTTTGTATAACTGATTTTAGGCTTTCAGTCCTTAGACTATTAAAGCTTCATCGAACACAGAACCGGTCGGCTAGCCAGAACCTACGGGTTTGAGGCCCTCCTCAGTGTGTAGGGCCGTGCATGTACTCATGCGTGCGTTAGTTAGTGAGAACGTCACCTTCTATCTCGGTCGATATAAAGACCGTCGTCAACGTTTTGATGGTTTCTGTGACGTGACAGCGGGTGACGCAATCCCCCGCCCGCGACCCGTCTCGACGCCAAATCGAAAACATATCAATATCGCCGATCAAAGAGATCTCCGCTCGCCCGTAGATTTATGGCGTTACGTTGCCGAAATACGGTCGGGTGCTCCGCCGCGGGTGTTGCCAATGATATGTAACGGCTTGAACTCGTTGCAATGTACGTATGAGGATAGCGTCATAAAGTTGTCACTGCAATCCCGCCTCGGGCATACACTTGCCATTGCTTGCACAGACTTGGAACTAACATTGTGTAACGGTAAAAATACCTTTATTATTGAACTCATCGCAAGAGAATTTAAAATTGATGATGTACGGATTACTTTGGACAATGATATATATATTTTTGGATATCCTTAAACATCCCACTTAAATTGGCGAATTTTCGCAAGATTTCTTATTTTATTTAGGCATTATTTCGTGCCTGTGCTACGAACCATAGCTCATCTTGTCCACCACCATAATGTGGCTAAACATATTTGACGAAGAAGAAAATAAAACTAGCGTAATTAACAAACAATTACATAATTTTACAGACTTTAACCCTGCTATTTCACATTTCTGCAGCGTGATAAACTAAAAGACTGGTGCCAAAAGTTGAACAGCCTTGATCATTGTAGTACTGGCATCTGGTGTAATAAAGCTTAACTTGTGGAATATTTACTATAGTAAATATTAATGAAATATGTGTTCAAAGACTTTTAAGGCAAATGTGTTTAAAAAGACTTTGTCATTGCATGTGGTTTATTAAATATTGTGAAGGACGCAAAAACTTAATCATCAGTTTGAATCGACGCGAACATTGAGACTAGTTGATAAAAAGAATTGAGACAAAGTAACAATCTGAAACACACACCTTTGTAGCATTGTATCGATTATTTGCTGATGCCAAGATGAGATTCATACATTGTCTTGTAATACCTTGTGCTATATAAAGGGCATATTCCTCGTGACACGTGAGATGACTCATCGGAATAATCGCATTCTACATTCATATTAAGATTGTCTTGTCCTCACGGTATAATTTTTAATGAACACCTAACACAATAACAAGTAAAACTCAAACTTCCAATTGTATAGTTCTAAGGGAACGTACACATACTACGTGACCCCTTCATGGGGGCGGGGGGCTGAATTTCAAAATACCACGCTTGGTCACAGGGAGGAGGGGGCTTAGGTTTTCGTCACGTAGCCAATATCCTCTAAAGGAAATCTTGTGCTTTTTGGAGCTATATTCAAATATGGCGCACAGCGTAGAGCGCTTTTAAAATCGCCAAAAAATCTCTTAGAGATCACATGAGATCTTGTGTGTCGTAGATGAAAGCGATTAGTGGACAAAATAATCACGTCTACCGCCCCTGTGATCGAAGGTGAAGCCAGATGAAAAAAAATATGAATAAAAGGAAAAACTTGTTTTTGTAAATTAAGTTTCTGTTACAATAAATAGATATTGATGCACTTTTGCTCACGCGGCAAGCGCTGTATTGATAAGGACAATAAGTCAAACTGCTGATGGTCACCAAGGCTACAACAGTTGCGAGTGCTGCTGATGGTCACCTTATATACCTGGGTTATGTGGGGCTCGTACCCACTAAAACCCTCGGTGGCCACCTTCTGTACATTTGGAGGGACTCCGGGATCTCCCATGGAATGCACAGGTGTCCCTCGGTACTACGCCTGAGTACGCCTCGGAGAAGGATAAACTTCCGATTCCCTCACCCTCCTAGTCAGTCAGTCAGTCAGTTTTACTACAGGCAGGGGATACCTTAGTCCTATTCTATGAGCCCGGGAGTACAGGGCTGACGTCTATTATATGCCTATAAGTTCAATTTAAATGGTAATGACAGAACTCGTATTTCTTACGGGTATCTAATGCTACATGCGGGTTTTCTCATTCTGCGGAGGGTACGCTGCGCCAGTTGGCATACGCGCATGATTTACCGCTTCCCGGTTTAAATTTTACGGCCCATGAAAGTTTACGTCGTGAAATGCGGCTCGCGGTTCCCATTCTCCAGCGAAACGTGCTGACTTGAACTGTCAGCGCCTAGGTCGATCGGAACGTTGTCCGTGCGAGCGAGCTAATTAAAACGCAGACGATGCCCCTTTTATGAGTAATTTTAAAAAGAAATCATGTTTTATCAGTTTTGGGACGTCGTCACCTATGGTAGTTAAAACACCGAGCGGCCTGTTGACCACAAAAATAGGACTCTAGTGCCACTAATAACATGTTTTTCACTTTTGTATGATGTCAGCTTCTTGTTCTTAAAAGTATAATAGTATTTTTTACTTATCTGGATTATACAAGGCGATGTAACGTCCATACATGAATCAGAATAGGTCAGCTCTATATATATGCTCTAAGGTTTGTATACAGAGATCAAAATTGTATAAATATAACTAGCTGCTGCCCGCGACTACGTCTGCGTGGAGGGGTGAAAATTTAGGCTTGCATGTATTTTTGTATGCTGTATCATAAAAAAATAGAAATTAAAAATTTTGTCTAAAATATTAAAAAAAAATGTTAGGGGTGGACTACCCCTAACATTTAGGGGGATGAAAAATAGATGTTGGCCGATTCTCATAGATACCGGATAAGCACAAAAAATTTCATCAAAATCGGTCAAGCCGTTTCGGAGGAGTATGGCAACGAAAACTGTGACACGAGAATTTTATATATTAGATTATGTTTTATCATATCGCTTCGATTATTATGATTGTTATAACTACAGCTGTTCTTTGTGTTTGAGTTTGGTACTGTTTTAATTAAAGCAGAACTATTACTGCCTTATCTTAGAAGCGGTTAAATCGTATAACAAAAGGAATGGGCAATGAGTTGTCTTCGTTAAACTGTTAGTATTGTTTACCCATAAACAAATATTTATTTCACTTTATTTCACTTTATTTTAGGTCTTTTTCTTACGAGTTGACAATCGGACAAGCGGTTCACACGATGATAAGTGATTGCTGTCGCCCATGAACATCACCACAAATGATTTGCCAACCTTTAGAAATTTTTATTCTTTGTTATTCCCTAGACGAGCCTGCCTATTCTTGAAGCAGCAAAAGCTGCGGCTTGGCTTAACCAAAAATAATGTAATTGTTATAATATATCCCTGTAGCATAATATTATATATTCGACGATTAACAAATCTCGAAATATTATGTAGGGTTGTTTTGCGATGGCTGTCACAGCAGCCTGTCGTATGTCAAGTGCTCTTGTCTCGTTGATCTCATTCGTCGGATCTTTTGAGCTTTGGTTTTGCGCACTGCACCTTTGGCCGGTGCACGGCGAGGGCGTGTGAGATGAAATAGGTCCGCCTGTGATGCCACGATCGTCTGGGCGGCAATCTATCACCGCGGAATGCAGTCGGCACGCAGCGCACCCGCTTTTTGTCCAACACTAAAGCGACGTGTTGCAACCTCGTGACCGATGTCATTAGGATCATCGCGTCACCAGCTATTTTTGTCTTCGTTTACAGTTCAAGTATGCAGTGAGATGCTTTCACTCCCAAGTAAACAACTGTTTGAACGTATTTCAAGGCCAAAAAGGACTACCCTTCGCGTCAAGACGTGCATGCAGAAACTATCCGTATGTTTGTAAACACTCGTTGATTTCTTCTATCCGCTTGCGCGCGGAACACTCTGTGCTTGAACTTCGTCCACCTCGGTGTGGGGTATCTCGCGAATGCGCCGGGGCAGGCCCGCCGTCGACGAGTGCATCCGAGCGGCGTGGCAGTGGGCGGGGGTCGTCGACCCGCATTAGCGGCGGGCAGCGCGCGCCCTGCCACCGCGGCGGCGGAGAGCCTCGCGAAGGGCGGCGGCGGCGCGGAGTCCGCATTTAGCCCGGGCCGACGCGGCTGAGTCACCGCACCGCGAATAGCGGGCGGTTTGTTTGTTGCAACGCCCGCCTCCCGGCTCTCCCGCCGATTATTTCGAGCGGGCCGGCCGCGTGCACGCCGCCAGTGCTCGGCGCACTGTCTCCGCGAGAGGACGCGCCATGACCCCGCTGCCCGCGCCCCCCGCGCGTCTCCGCCGCCGCGACGCCGTAGACGCCCCCGCAGGCATAGTCACCACCATCAGGGACACGGTCAGCTGTAGTTGGATATTTTACAGTGAGTGTTCGCCGGTGGGCGCACCTTCGTACCACGCAGGGGAACACTTCCCCACCGGATGGGGATCTCAGCCTTCGCCACGTACCTAAGCCCGTCGCTCCCGCAACAATTTTAGGTCACGACTTGCGTCAGTAATGTCCTCTAGTGGCTGATGCGCTTCCGCGACGGCTAGCCGCGTGCTGACACTGTTTTCAGTTTGCGTGAACGACTTGTGTTCGATTTGGATTAGCGATATATTTTATGGTCGATTTGTGAGTTCCTATATTTTCAAATCATGGTGTACAAAGAATCCGTTGCAAAATCTTCTACCGTGCCGCCGACGGCAATGATTTAGTCTATCCCGGTACAGAACGCTGCCGCCATCTATTTGCGGGAAAAGGAAATTACGCTGTAAGCAGAAATCTAGGTGAAGCGTCTGACATCAGCAGCCCAATGTAAAATTAACTCTTGACGTATTTAACCCTGTCGTGGAACTGCGACTTATTTCGAGTTTATCTAAGCATCGTAATTGTTTTGATTGCTATGAATACGTTCGTAAATATCACGTGGTGTTTTTTAACAAATACAAATACTGTCCCAATAAAATAAATGTAAGTGCTTATCAAATCGAAATGCGGTAGATTCGACATTTATGTAACGACTCGGTATTTTGTATATATAAAAAGCTGTTAAGCCTGCAAATACATTCTTCAGTGCATAAAGTTTAAGATCTCTTTAAGAATTTTTTTTTTCATTGCATGCCCCAATAAAATCAGATTAGGTTTGTCCAACTAACAAACTATGTCAACACTTGTAAGAGACTTTTTTCAAGATTGTATTGTGAGAACAATATTTTTCTGTTGCTTTATCCAAATAATCGACGAGGAAAACTTCGTATGCTTTTATTTCTAAAACTCCTCGGCGTTAAGGTTTCTTAACACCTTAATATAAAGCTCGTTATGCCTGATCCATACGACTCTTCAAAGATGAAGAGAGAGAACGAACGATTTAAACTGTGGTAGGACCACGAAATTGTGCTTACTGTTGTACGAATGGGCAGGTCCGTCCACAAGTACCACGACAGAAGACCGGCGTAAAGTAGAAGTGTTACACTTCTGCGTTACGTCTGTTGTGTGAGGTAGCCGGATACTACTTTATTTAAAGGTCTCAACGCTTCTGCAAACGGGTGTTGCAAATGTCCATGGGCGGCGGTTATCACTTAACATCAGGTGAACCGCCAGCTCGTTTGCCACTTTGTCACATAAAAAGAACGATGTTTAACGTTCGAGTGGATTTCGCTTCAGGTAACAGCAGCGGGTCGACGCCGGCCGAGGGCGGGGCCCAGCCCCCGTCGCAGCCCGACCCTGACCTGGACTCGATGCACATGATGCTCGACCCACACTTAAGACCGATCTCGCCAGACCTCAGCAACGAGGAGTCGAAGCGGATCTTCGAGGAGCACAAGCAGCTAGCGCAGGAGTACTTAAAGGTGAGTTGATGATTAATCCTATCAGGGAACAGATTCCAAGTATTGGATTAATCCTATCAGGGAACAGATTCCAAGTATTGGATTATTCCTATCAGGGACCAGATTCCAAGTTATGAATTCCGAAGTAGCGATTAAACTTTGTGCAAAGTAGAAGATTGGTCCCATTAAGCAACCGGTAGTGATGTCTATATTAGTAAAAATATTTGACCGAAGTCGAACAGAAATCATAAAAAGGAAAATCAAATCAGCCAAACACAGAGACAGCAATATGCTCATATAGTAATAATAAAGATTTATTTGGTAAAATTGAAACTATTATTGTCATGTACCTTATAGACCCAACAAGTTCATTTTCTGGTTATTTCACTCGATGGACAATATTCTCTTGTGACCTGACTTACATTTTGTAATTGTGTTGCGTTGCCAATAATAATATACAACATTATGACGCTATTTATTCCAGACGCAGACGGAATTGGCGTACTTGAGCAACCACAAATCGGAACTGGAGGAACAAATGGACTCCGAAGAGCTCCGGCAGAAAAGGGAAATAATACAACTTGAAAATGAGAAGGTAAGTTGAGGCTCGGAAATTCTCCAATATTGCGCATAATGCAAAACTTCATTTTGACAGTGTAAGAATTTTCCTTATGAACCCTATTGGTATTTAGTTAGGTTGTTGTTTACCTATTCAGATTGGGTAATTTTTACAATTAATTTCATTCCTTATGGTAAAATAATGTAGTCGGTGGCCAACTTTATAAGTAGATTAATAATTTATACCACTATCTTATAAAACAACAAAGGATACAACGGTCGCACGCGAAACCAGCAAATTTATCAAGTGCGTTTTTAAAACTTTACAATTGAAATAACTTTGTGCCGATTGACGTCCCTAAATCACACACCCACTAAACCTTTCGTATCTTTAATGTTTCGAGCTATTAAAATTTCTTGAAAAAGTACGAAAAGATTGTCGCCGCTGTGGGAATCGAACCCACGTCTTCGGCATTCGCGGCCTGACGCTCTAGCCACTGAGCTAAAAGCTAATTGCCACACCGACGAAAATCTTAACGTCTTTTATCTACATTGTTTTTTTAGCATTTGAAGCCATTGCTATATCCTTTCCAGCATACAAACAATTTCGAATATCGTTTTACAACGATTCGAACGAGAGATGTCGCCATTGCTTTTTAGAAATTTAGTTAATATTTCTAAAAAAAAAGTTTCGAGCTATTGTAAAAAAAAAAGGATCGTTGCATACGTTGAAACTATCACTTGTGTCACTTCCAGGACTCGTTGCTCAAACTGTACTGCACCCTCAAGAAGCAGCTGGCGCGCGCTGAGAACGAGAGCTGGCTGCTGCAGGAGGACATGCCGCACGAGTGACGTCACGGGGCCCGGGTGGCCCCACCCGTCGGGACCGTGCTGTGACGTCACCGGGACCCCACGCAAATAGAACGGACTGAGCGCCCCCATACAATCGACAAGTACAATGTACATGCAAACAGAAAAGCGTGACAGAGACGAAACGATCGCGCGGCCAGCGGTTGTCTCTTTCTAGAACTCTGATTGGTCCACGTCTTAGGCTCGCTGGAAAACGGAAGAGACAGGCGTTCGCCGGTCGTTTCGTGTCTTTATAGTTAGTAAATTTTGTGAGGCCATTACTCCGTCCGTTCTCTGTTTATTGGCGACAACGACGCGATAGTGTTGCGTGAAAGAAAGATTGTCTCCACTTGTTTTTATTTGTCGAGGGTCAGGTCGCACTTATCCAGATTTTTCGATCGTTTCCCAACCGAATTATTTTAATTTACATGTTAGGGGATTATTGCGCAAAGAACTTTATCTTTGGATTTAGTTCAATTGATCTGTAGAACAAAATTCAAACAAGCCGACAGACCAGTTTAAATTATCGTTTACCAGTTGAGGCCGATAATAGACTATATACCGAAACATATCGCTCATGATGAAAAGTTGCTTTGTACCATAAATTTCTTTGATTTTGCGCCTTCGAAGGAGCAGTTTATACAAAAGTAGAGTTCCTTTCTCAACGGCCAATTTTTATACGATTTAGTCCTGTCTGCTAAAATAGCGAAGGGACGTTCACTGTAAAATTTTTCAAGTACGATTATGCATTATTATTTATTACTTCTAATCGTCCGGTGTTTTATTTTTATGATTGATCTCAAGTTGCAAACCACGGTTTGTTCCGCCAAAGGATCCTGTCGTAGTCTAAGATGATTCAAGTGTAGATGCGTTGTTTGCGCTCTGTTTCGGAATTATTTACCGTTTGCAATTAATAAACAGCATTATTTATCTCTTTCTAATAACATGTACAGCGTATGACGGCTTTAATGTCATTATTTCTCCATCTACTGTATAATGGTTGGTACGTGTTAGTAATACTTACGATAGTTTACGCTGTTTGGAATGCAGCGATGTTGGTATATATTTGCATTTCTCGATTTACGCTGAATATTATGTATTTCTTTTTCGTGTTAAATGCTTTACGTGTTTGAGTCATTCTGTAACCAAATGAATACTGCCATTTAGCGGTTTAGAATATCGTCCATTCTTGTTGTTGTACGGTTTTGTACTGTTAACAATTTTACTTTTAAACATTAATTGTTCTCTATAATTTCATTACAATTTCAATTTCAAATGCTCTCATCGTATGTATTAAAAGCACGTTTTAGTGCTTGCTTATTCGGTGGAGAATGGAGATTTATGAATTTCCTAAATAAAATTATTTTTAATACTATAAACCAATGGATTTAAGAACGATATTGTATATGAATGTGTGCAATTTATGAACATAAGATACCATAGTATTAGCAGTATTAAATATATTTGTACAGTGTTAAGTTTAATAAATAGTTTTGTAGTTTTACTTTATTTTATTTAGAGAATAATCCCTTTTTTATAAATATTTATTGTTTTGAAAGTCATCATCATACAAGGTCAAAATAATGATATCGTCAACTTAACTGTATTTATTTGTTTGTTTGGGTTTGAATTAAAATTTATCCCTACTATATACAGCGTGTCGTTACAACCGCGACAACAAATGAACACTCGTCTAACGCTACTTGCCGAAAATATAAACATTAAATAAATCAATAATTAAAAAAAATTTTCTTCAAAGTAATTAAATAAAAAAGAATTTGTAACACCCTATACAACTACAACTGACTGATTCATACATTTTTTTTTTATGCGAAAAGTTGTCAAACGAGCAGACGGTTCACCTGATGTTAAGTGAATACCGCCGCCCATGGACATTTGCCACAACCAACAGATGCGTTGACAACCTTTTGAAAATGGGGCTCCGGCTACCTCACATCACCAGACGAAACGCGAAAGTATTTGTCATACTTCCGCTTTACGCTGGTCTTCTGTGAGGTCGTGGTACTTACCCGGACGGGCCTGCCCATTCGTGCAACAGCCAAGGCTGCTGCGTGGCCCTACCACCGTTAATTGGACCTTAATATTGGATTTAACCTTCGATGGTAGAACAAGACAAAAACAATTTTACTAGCTTGTAAGAACAAGACAAAAACGATTTGTTGCCACAGCGTCGCATTACAAATATCTCCTTCTAACAGTATGTTTTATCTCTTTTAAATTCATACAACCCATTCATATGCTTTGTGACCTTTATAAATGAACTACACGTTGCAGTTTTATACGTAAGGAAAATTTAATAACTCGGTAAATATTGATGTTTAAAGTATGTATATGTTTAATATAATTTTAAAAAGTTATCTTCTATATGTGTATTCATTTATTGTCGCGGTTGTAAGGACATGCTGTATATGTGTGTACTGGAATTTAATAATCGCCTTCAAGTCCCTTTATGTTATAAAGCCAACAAACCATATATTCTTACCTGTAATGGAACGTTGTCTGAGCAGCTAAATACATTCAAAATGTGCAGATCAATTGTCAAACTTTTAGCCACTACCCGGATTCGAACCTCAACCACAGCTTAGTTGCAGGGCTAAGCAACAAAAAATAAAATTAATAAAAAAGAAATAAGAAATGTAATAATTTGATAAAATATGGTTCCTAAGTGATCCGAACTGGGGGACACGCTTCAAATGTTCATTTGTAAATTATTCCACGCACAACCGCGTTGTGGAAGCGGTTGTAGCTAGGTTTAAAAAGAGGAGCCTATTCCTTCGGAAAACCCGTTCTGTTTATTCGTAAAAATTGAATACAATGTTCAGATTGATTTACCCTAAATGGATTTACCTAAAGGTTCACCTCCTAAAAATTTGAATATTTTTAAAAATTTTACAGAGTTATTTGAAAGGAATAACTCTGTAAAATTCCATTATACCACATGGCACTTTAAAAAACTAAATAAGTGTCCTTTTTTATTTACGATCTCTGGTTGATACAGGATACAATAATTTGTTACTAGTGATTCAATTCGAACGTAAAGGTATGCCAAGACATTCTTTATTTTAGACCAATACATTTCACGAATTCTCCATTATTGTAATCAAAATTAACAGTATATTCAACACAAAGTTGCTAAGATTGATCCTGTTTGTATTTCACGATTATTGTAATGGCGTATCTGAGATTCGCACTTTCCTACGAAGCATAAAAAACCAAGATCTTAAGTAAGGTGTAATCAAAAGAAATTGTTACACAAATGTTGGTCGTAGTAAAGTTGAGGCAACCAAAGGAAAATATTTATAATTTTAATCTAACATACCTGTGCTCCAGATTGTGAAAGGTCAATTAGAAATAAAACACAACTCGTAAAATTCAGTCCAAATAATTTCTCAGTTAAATTTATTGCTGTCTATTGGAATGGTGAATGTTTATTAAGACATTTGATACGTCAAGGAATTTGGCACAATTGTTACAAAACGTTTGAAACAATAAAAGAGATTCTAGTTTCAACAAATAAATGCATTTATCCGATGTGAGCATCGATTGGACGAATCTTTACATAACTTCGTATTTACAATAATTACACATGGGTTGACTACAAATCTCGTTTGTAAGTTCCTTTAAAAATTTCACAACATTTATATAAATTAACTGAAAATATATATTAAAGTTATTTCTGTTATTGTGTTACACAAAATTAAAATATCTACTTACATATAAACTATAATAGTTATCGTCATAATAAATAAACGAAATACAATTACTATTACAAATAAGAACGCTTATTTAGCAATAATGATATGATTGGAAATTAATTAGTTTTAAAATAAATAATTATGCCGAAATTACAATAAGTCACAACATAAATTAAAAATCTTTAATTTGTGAATAATTCGTCAAGTAGTGCGCATGGAACCATTAAAGATTATACATTTAGCACAGATAATATAATTCGTTAAAAAGTAAATATTTTTATAAAGCAGTGGGGTGCCATATTTCAAATTGATCTAAGAATAATACATAAGATGTGCGTGGTTATATGGCAATTGATTTAAAAAATATAGAATGACAATGTATAGAAAGTATTTAGAGGCAAAAGACAAGAAAGTAATAAAAACTACTAAATTAAATTTAAATACGGTTATAGAAACTATATAAGTATAAAATTAAAATCACAACTACACGGTTGAGAAAGAACAGTAACAAAGGAACATTTAGTTTTGTAATTTGCTTTTTACTTTAACTGACACCCCGTCACTTCGAATACATTAAAAAGATATACAATTAAGTGCATATATATGAAATTCGTTGTCACAGACAGTTTTCAACAAGAGTTAAATCGAAAAATATACTAAGCTACATATATATAAATATGCTTTAAATATTCTATTAAGAAGTTTTAAAGACAATTCGATTGAAATATCCTACAGTACGATATGCGCTAAAGTATTATCCTCATTCAAATTTCATTCACAAGTTTAAAATGACCATATCTGTTTTATGTTTAAAGTTTGAATTATTACATTCACTTTAAGAAAAATTAAATGGTCACGCATGCTGCTCATTATTTAAGCATATATTAATACAATCGTCAGAGAAATACGCCTTATGTAACAATATTGATCGTTTTAACAATAAAAGCCGTGTTAAATATAAATCTTAATTAAAAAGTATGGTCACAGATTATCGAAACAACCATATTTGGGATTATTTGCAAATTATAATTTAGAAAATCCTGCCTTAATATGCTTGCAACCACTCGACATGTTTTGGCGAGTATTTCTGAATAAACATTTATTGAATAGAAGATAATTATATAGAACTAACGAATAGAAGCAGAAGATGCTCAATAATGGACCTTTGACGCTGCAAATAAATAATCCTCAGTATAAAATTTAACGCATTGCAATTTTCCTGAATATTAAATACATACGTAATTTATGTACTATCGAGTTTCTACTAGACTCGATCTTTCACAGAAAAACTTTGCCTATTCATTAAACTATATCTACCGCAGTGTCAAAACGATCCGATTTAAATTAATTGTAAACTGGGACATTTCCTTATAAGGGAAACAGCGAAATACTAACAATAGATGCGTCAGAAATACAAACAAACCCCTGTATTTAGGGGTTCATCAACGCCTGGAAGAACATATCAATAAAATCTCAGAGGCTACATAACAAAATCTATACATAATAATAAATTACTTGAATATAGGCTAAATATAGGAATATGTGGCAAAATAAGGGCGGATTGGCAATGAATATGGCACGTGAAATGTGCCTCTAGCCTTTCTACATGACAGAACGGACAGGTTAAAAAAATCCTATTTCGAATTAGCACCGCGATTTCCGTTTCAATATATAAAATATTAGAAGAAAACGATATGAGAGATATTTTTATAAACAACTATAAATAAAAGAACAAAGAACAGTTTATGCGCAAGTAGTTTCATAGTTTTCATTATCTGTGTCAACTTGATTACATTTTAAATTATCGCGCGAAGTTAGCGCGTCATATAAAGCAAGATAAAATTGTTACTAGCAAAGTCTATCAACGTACATTGTGAACACTCCTTAAGCTATAGTGAAAATAGTTTATCAGGCACAGGTCATCGTAGGTCAACTTGTTTCGCGAAAACCTGTATACAATTACTATTAAGTAAAGTAAATAATGGCGTAAAATCTCAAGGAATGGACAGGCACTTGTACAGTTATTAAATATATTCGACCCTGTACATACGTTTCTCAACTCATACACAATTTACATTCCAAACGCTGCACGTAAGAAGAACGTAACGGGACTAACATTTTAATCTAATATTACAGATAACAAAAATATTTTAAAAAAAGCTATTTAAAACTCCTGGAAAATTGCGAATCGACGTAAATAAAGTCATTAAAATAAAGGACGTAAACCATAGCCTGGCAATAAATGTAATAATCTCAATTGAAGTTTCAAGTCATGGAGAGGAGTATTTAGATGAAGCAACTATTTAAAGATTTGAACATGCACTCAAATATTAAAAGAGATGTATTGTTTTAATCTAAATGCTATTTTGTAATTTCATAAAGAACTGTTTAATATGACAGATCGTGATTTCCTTTCAGTGTTCCTACATTTGCGACATGGAATGTTACATCTAATTGTGTTTTTTACTTCCGTCTTAAAGAAAGATAAATGTTTGAATCATTGTAATCTCATATCCAGAAACATATTATATAATGTCTGCAAAATATAAACTTTCAACTTGCACACATCCAATATGACTCGACGACATATGAAAATAAACACAGTACAGACCGCTCCACAGCTCACAAATACTAGACTTGAGCAATTCATACACGGAATACAATTTATTATAGAATCCTCTCTTTATCTTTGTATTGTCAACAATTCACAGGACCTCGTACGTTAAATCTAATTATAATATAACAGATATAGGAATAATGATAAAATCTGATATCTAATGACGGGGAAGACTTTCATGGTCTATCGTTGTTGATCCTGAAAAATAAAAAATTATGAAGCTCGCCTTAGTATGCGATTACATTATCAATGGAATAAAATATCTGCCGCCTAAGTTGAAAGAAAAGTGGTTGATTATTGTGGATAAATATATTTTCTAAAGGACCAACGCCTTTGATGTCCAAGTTCAGTTCTACTAGTTAAACATTAAAAATAAACATAAAAATTCAGTGTCCTAATTTTGTGTGTGTATACAGTTATATAACTAATTAAATACTCACGGTGTGATGCGTGCACTAGCTCGGCGGGCTGCGAGCATTTCTGCGCGCCTGCCACTTGAAATCCACCTAAAGAGAAATCAAATTCAAATTAATAAATTAGAAAGAGTGGAAGGTCTAGAAAACGACGAAGATATACTCTAAAGAAAAACCAACGCGTAACTGAGGTCGTTCAAGTGTGTAATTTTAATAAGAAAATACATGGAATATGCTAGTGCAAAGGAAATTAATTCCATAAATAATTGTGGAAGGAGCAAAAGTGTGCGGGGTAGCGTTGGACCTTGGGGCATTCCTGTGTTCCCCTTCGGCGGGATGGACGAATGTTCGTGTATGAATATTGATTCGTGATGGTTCTCTCACCTGCATCAGCCACTGCTGGCCCCGCGATCGGTTGCAAGCCCGCAGCACCGGCTTCCACACGTCAGAAGACTCCGGCTTGTCCAGGCACATGCCGGTGTTGGTGTGCTTTATCGTCCGCGTCTATAATATCGCGCAAATTAATGCACTAAAGCGTGATTCGGAGAAACTAACGTCGTAATCTAACTGTTGTTCACCGCTTTATAATCTACAAATATCATAGAAGATTAAATGGCAATTGTTTCATAATTATGTGTGAAACCATTCAACTGAAATTATCGCTCCATCTAAATTACATAACACAATCGGATAAAAGTAAGTAATATCTGTGTCCCATAGCTGGGCTTCTTTGTACATTCATTAGAGCATATTCCACCACACGACCACTGCGGATTGTCGGAATTCACATATCTGTGAAATATTTTTTGTTATTATTTCATAAAATATGTAAAGTTCCTCACGATATTATCCTTTACCGCTGAGCGCATAGTATATTTTTATGTATTTCTTTATATGTCAATCAATAAAAGAAACATGCGTTAAAAATGTATACTGAGTGTGATATTGTTTCGACTTTAAAAGTAACATTTTTCAATCAAAATAAATACATAAAAAGATTTTAGCCACCATTGCATCTTAAACTGAGTTTATCTTTATAGGGAGATATTTTTATTGCATTTATAGCCCCAAAGTGGACTGATGATTTCTTTGTGTCATCCGAAGGCCGTACCAAATCTCCGTACTGCAGTTATATAATAATTTGATGACTAGATTAGATAAGATGCTACCAAATAACATAAAATAAAAGTAGAAATAATATATTTGAAATATATATGCAATATTAATGTAATAAACATATATGTAGTCGCTATTATTATCGAAGGTGACTCAAATATCTAAAGAAAGCTATTAGTATATACAAAAAACCAGCAAAACAAGTAATTAAAACTTCGGTAATAATCGCCTCAACTAGTAAATAGTAACAAACTTCTTCTGTTCTATTGATATATATTCTAAGATTATAATAAAAACATTTAAATATCGTGAACAAGGCCGAACACGAAACCTTTACATTATCATGGATATTACCTTAACCTTTTACAAGTTATAAACATCACTGGCTATAAATAATTATAACTGAAATAAATGTTGGTTTTGATAGATGATAAATCTATCAAAAGTCTAAAAATCAACAACACCTGGCAACATTTTGTCGTCTATGAATTCTCGCTAAGCTATTACACGTAACACCCCCCATATATAAGAACGAAAATGCATCCGCCACATCGTTCTATCACTCTCTAAGCTCCATTTCACCCCCCCCCCCCCCCCCCCCCCCCCCCCGATTACTCGACGAAACCAAAGCGTACCTTGCTGTCATATGTCCACTCCTGGTTCCCGCGCATCCCGTGGCACCGTATCAGCTTGACGGGGCCGCGCGGGTGCGCCGCGTCGAGGCAGTTGTCGTCCGACATGATCTGCTTGCGTTTCGTGTACGCGAACACCTGGTTGCCGCCCATTCCGTGGCAGTAGCCCATGCCGAGCGGCTGGCCCGCCTTGCCGCCCATTGTGTCCAAGCAGTTGGACGTCTCGGCGTTACGGATCTGGACGGAGGGGGACAATCTTAGCTAGACCTACAGAGGCACAGGGACGGCTTTGTAACATTATTATTTTTGTTAAATGCGCGCAAGCGTCTATTTGAATAAAGATATTTTGAACTTTGACGACCCTAATGGCGTAGTGGGTAGTGTACCTGCCTTCTGAGCCAGAGGGTGTGGGTTCGATCCCCACTACTGTTAAAATATTGTTTGATGAACATAGTGCTTTCCTAGTGTCTGAGTGTTTATATATGTATAATGTGTATGTATTTACAAAAAAAAGTATGTTTAAGAATGTTTATCAGTGATCTAGTACCCATAGTACAAGCGTTGCTTACTTTGTTACTAGAGAATGTTGTGTAAAAAAAGAAGTTTGTTCTAAATTTGAATTTGACCCGTAGATCGCCGTGAGGGTACTGCTACTGTTGCTTATATGAGTCTGTGGTGCAGTTTCTTTTATTAACATGTTATGCCGATCCTTCCCAGGTGGGATAAGGGTAGAAGGAGGAACAAGGGGAGGGGGGTAGGAAGTGGATGGTACTCTAGTATCTTGTCTGGTCAGAGTGTTGTTTAATGTTTTTGTCCATGGACGTTGCGATGTCAAAAGGAGGCGATTATAACTTAAAATCAAGTGAAATTTCACGACACCAAAGGACTGCATATTAATATACAGGCTCATTTTTTTATACATCTATGTTGGTTTTAACAAAACGCACGTTTAATAAATTCACTTCTACTTCCTTTGTTAAGGGCCGACGCCATGTTATCGAATTAACAGGATTTGTCCAGAATAGTTGACTTTAACCCTTTTCCTAGAATATTTGAATATAACAGTTAAAATAATCGATAATTGAATAACAATGAAACAAAAAGTTGCAATAATAAAGAAAAAATCGGTCAAGGTTAAAAACAACAAAAACAGAATTTACCATAAATCAATAGGATCGTTGGACGTTTAGTATAACGGAAAATCCGACAAAGTCCACATATAACCGGTTATTTTGCAATTCGCATAAATTTTGTCGATTTAATGATCAGCTTTTGTCGATTCGTTGTCTTGTGAAAAATATTCAAGCGACAGGTTTATAAAAAACTCAGACCATTGTTTTGCATGGCGAACCGAACAAAAAATTTGGTGCAATATAAGCAAATTCGACGTGTTATTATAAAGTACGTTCATTCATATATCAATATCCAGAACGAATGGATATTAAAGCATTTTAGAAATGTGAGAAGTTGCCATCCAAGCGGGCGTGCCATGCGTGCCATTTGATGCTATGCAATTGACGCCCATGAACAGTAGGAGATAAATGAAGTAAGTGTAAAAGTAAAGAAAAAATATTTGCTGACGTGTCTACTTTCAGATTCATAACAGAAGAATTAAGTAAGGGAATCGGTTATTGAATAAAATTAAAAGACATTTATCTGAAGCTAGGGTTGCTAACCGTAGTATAATATACAGTATTAGTATCATACTGCACTTCGGGTCTACGTACTATATCATGTTGAAAAAATATACAGGAGGTATAATACTACATTTTATTTTACAATTTGCAACATTATAACTAAAAACAAATTAATTCCTCACTTTTAATAAGTCGTTTGATAAAAAACTTTGTGTATTCTTCACTTTATCTTTGAAATACTTAATTTTTGGAGCGATCTTTATTTTTTACAACTTACCTACTTCGAAAAACACTATAATCAGTCGAAGCAAGGTTGGCAACCCTATCTAAACTGTCTGTTATATATCTTTTTCGATGCAAATATGCAACCAGGTTATGCTACTTCAGTATCATTGAGGTAATATAAAATCTGGTTAGAATTAATGTCTTACTACGTGTTGTATTCAAACCAAAGTAAATTAGGGCCGCCACTCACCTCTCCGAGGAAGTAGTATTCCAACGGCATCTGGCTCTCAGGGTAAATGTTCTCCAAGTACCACCTGAAGCTCTTGCACTTCAGCCTCTGTCTGAGCGCTTTGCGTTCGCTGACGTCACCGACGGGCACGTTCAGCGCCCCTGCTCGCAACGAGGCCGTCACAATCAGTACAATATATATTGTTTTTTTTTTCTTTTTTATTTCAAACCGGCCAGTGCTATTCCAATAATGAAAAAAAGACTAGGGAACTTTTTTAATGCATGCTTATTTCACATTGCATTGAAATCACAACCCGGCTTCCGATTGGAAAGAATTTGGAAAGCTTTTTGATTTCCAACGTGTATTGTTATTTTGAAATTGAATTTTATGTGACAATATGATTAAGACCACCACAAAATTTTCATTAAAAATTAAGAAACATGGACACCATCTAACACTAACGTGTTGTTAATATAATAATATTTCAAGATTCATGTTATACAAAACAATTGTTATCGTGTTAAATTATAAATATTAGCTTTTAATAACTTCATGCATTACCTAAGAGTATTCTGTATTGAAGCAAAATAACAAATTACGAGTTACCTCTTCGTATAAATCGTAACTTATTGGAACTGCTTCTGATGGAACAATGATCTAATATAGGAGTAATAATCTAAATTTAGGAGTAGTTAGTTATCTAAATCATGTTTTCGACACTGTCCTAATCTTGGAATCGATTATCAGATTTCTGTTCCATCTCGTCATCCAAACCATAAATAATGTTTTCAAACAGCTCCCTTATTCTGAATTCAAACAGTTTCGTCTCGATATTTACGTGGAGACGTTTAAAAATTCGTTAATCAGTTTAAAATTTTCAATCCACATAAGTCAAGCGTTGCAAATACTTTATGCACTTAAACTTTCAAACAGAATAATTTCACGCATCACTGCGCTATCGGTTAATGTTCGTCGGTCGTTCGAAATCTAAATAGAAAAAAACACATAAAAAAAAGACAAGCGCGCCCAACATAGAACATCCTCTAACAGCGCACCAAACATGGAACCCAATTTGGGATCGTTTGAAAACAGAACGCGGGCGATTCAGAAGAAGCGAGCTGCGGCGCTGCGGTGGACCTGGGTTGATATTGTAGTAGAAATGCTTCCAGTCGTCGAGCCACACCTCGGCGAGGCGGGCGTTGTTGTGGTTGACCACGCGGCCCGTGCCGCCGGGGAACGTGTACGGCGTGGTCTTGCGGAACACGTGGCCCACGTGCGAGCACGGCGCGATCTCGAGCGTGCCGCCGCACATCCACACCTGCCCCGCCCCCAATCACGTCACTCGCAACGGTCACGCGCGGCACTTGTCGAGCCGTTCGGATAAATTCGGAATATGTTACTGGCCGTCGAGAACAGATAGCGGTTTTTGACGCGCCAATATAAGCTATCCGAATTGCGTTACGCGTTATTCAACATAAATATCAGTTTTTAAACGTGCTGTTAACTGAAATAGCGGTTCTTGAACGCGGTAATTTAAGCTATTGGAAACAGTAAACGAGCATCCTTCGGAAAAGTTATGGGCTATACGACTCGGAGAGCAAGTTTAAAATGTGCTAATTTGCGGAGCGCTCTATGGAGCTATTCGATACCCTTTAGGAACGAGTTTTGGCAGCAGCGTCATTTTAAATAAAATAGACTTAGATCAAAATTATATCGGACTAAGCTCCTACACAAACGCAGCTTTCCTTTACTGTGAACATTTGTCACGTAGATTACGAAATAAATTGACATTCGATAAATGCAAATGTTCAAATATTAAAATGACATAAGCTGCCATAAAGGTTCTACGTCTACCCAATCGGGGGTGACCTCGGTGCCGTTGCGAGTTACGTAAAAACCCTCCTCGACCATGTTATGCAACAACGTTCACCGGTATACTGTCCAAAGTTCAAATCAACTTTATTCATTTCATTCATGACGACGCAGCGCGTGTCATTTTTTTTAACAAGCTTTGTAATTTTTTACCAAGTTAAGAAGCGTACAAAAGACAAAAACCAAAGAATAATTAATCTAAATGTTCCAAAACATTGGTTTAGTTATTCAAAATAATAACATTGAAGTATTAAATAAATATTCGAAAGGGCAAAAAAACGTTGATTCTCCAAAGGAATTTCTATAATACAAAATTTAGCTTATTATAAAAAAAAACATCCGTTTTCATATTAAAAATTATATCTTGATAAGTTACTGCACGATAAACTGAACAATATACCGGTGAATTTTGTTTGTTAATGACGCAAGGCATTGTTAGCGACTCAATCTGGTCAGAAGCTGAACGATAAAGAGGTAAAACAAATACGGTTAAGTTATCACACAATTAAACAAATTGTTATTACAACAAAAACCCCTCACTTAAATTCGAAAAGCGATGTGGAAATATTAATCAAAAGAAATGTTCCAATAATAAAAGTTTTAAATCAAGACATTATATTGTAATATTATAGACCTTAGGTATAATATTTTACAAAAAATATTATTGGATACATTTTTATCATATTAAATGGGTTAAAGGTTAGGTAGGCGTTAGTGGATGACACAAAATACAAAATTTCGCCAGTGGGATATTATATTGACAACAAAACAATTATGTTATCCGTTTAAATTCTATTAAGCCATGATGGAAAGAGCTGTGGCAAAACAACAAGTTATAAATACATCTAAATCAGTTAATCTAGTAACGTAATAACTCAACGGTTGCTCGATTAGCTGGTTTCCTCATTATTGACAATTATTAAAAGACATAACATGTGAAATAAATTTGATGATCTATCACGTTATAATGCATTGCAGTGACAGCTTCCGGTTGCTTGAGGCTATTCTCGTGTTGGACTATGCTCTGTTTATCAGATGGTGTAGACATACAGAGTCACTTTACATTAGTTACTCTATTTATTATTATACATAATATACTCAATTAATTGTAAAAATTGATTAGTTAATAAATTCAAAAAACAAATAAATAATTGAACAGGAATGAATACCGGCGGTGCATAAACGCCGAAAAATTGTTTTCTATTAAATGACCGAGTAGATTTTTATTTAATCTTATTAAAACTTGGGTATTTATAAGAATATTTTACCAAAAACTATATCAACTCAGATTAATTAAAAACACATTTTGCCACAACTCTTTGCGCGAAAAGAATTGCTGTGGTTAGACGCGATACGATAATTGCTTCATGTAATAAAATGAAATACAATTATTGAATACATATCATGTAATAAATTGAATAAGAAATGAATTAACACTCATCATTGCTTCTGCATTAGGAAGAAGCGAGAAATAAAATAGAGACAGTGTGAAACAGCTGAAATTAGGAAAACATAATTGTGTCGCAAAAGTGTTTAGTGGCGGACTCAACGAGGACAGGCTGGAAAGTACACAAAACGACTTAAAAAAAAGGGGGAAAATAAAAAAAAAGTGTAGGGAGGCCAAAAGCGAAATAAGCATGCAAGTAAAAAAAAATAATGCAGCTGCAATGCATTTGATTGCATGTTAGAAAGCAAGACGAGTTCAGGTGTTAATGACATGTTCACAAAACATCAACATATTCGTACAGTATTATCCCAAGCCACAACAAAACTTTAAATACCAAGTACCCACGACCGCTGTCATTTCGCATATATTATCCGGTTTTCAGCTAAAGCTGACGCGACGTCATTTCTTTCGTGTAAAAAATGAATAGGTTTTAATACAAAGTTAACCAAGTAATATATTTACTTTCACTTAGCGAAATAAATTGGCGGATCAAACGTTTTAGTGAAACGTTTCGGTTTGTTGAACCAAAATGTTCTGCGAAATATTGAAAAAATTGCCTTAAATTGTCGTGAAATTCTTTTTTTCGTAACTTTATTTTCGTAGGTTTCATTTATAAAACCCAATTGGCGTAGTGGACAGTGACCCAGTCTCTTGCGCCAGAGGGTGTGTGTTCGATCACATTAACTGGAAAAGTATTGTGTGGTTGAATATAGTATTTTTCTTTTGTCTGGTTATTTATATAATCTATAATATATATTTATTTGCAAAAGAAAAATATGTTTAAGTATGTTTATTAGTTACCAAGTACCCATTGAACTAACTTTGCTTAGTTAAGGAAGTAGAAAACGTTGTGGGACACACACATATAAATAATAGTTATTATTTTTCAATTTCGAAATTTCCATTTATCGATTTCAAATTTCGAACTCGACGCTCAACTTCGTCTGCGGGGAGCGAAATGACAGCGGGCGCGCCGGGGCGGGGCCGAACCTGGGTTCATGGCGTAATAGAACTCCCCCCACTCGTCCATCCAGACTTCGGCGACGCGGGCCGCGTTGTGCAGCACCACGTTCTGGACACCGCCCGGGAACGAGTACGGCGACTTGTCGCGGAACACGTGGCCCACGTGCGAGCACGGCACTATCTCCAGCCGGCCGCCGCACTGCCACACCTTGCGCCCACGCCGCACGTTAGACACGCGGGTAAACACGTTAGACGCGCAAGTACAACACGTTACACTCGCGAGTACAACACGTTACACACGCGAGTACAACACGTTACACTGGCGGGTACAACACGTTACACACGCGGGTACAACACGTTACACGCGCGGGTACAACATGCGGAACACGCTTCCGTCACGGGACTTTGGAACTTAATGCTAGATCTACTATCACGGCTTAATGCTGGATCGAATGTTTGATTTGGAATATCGACGTGTGCGCTGTTTTATACGATACCCGGAAGCTCATCTCGAGGTTCTCTCCGCCCCAGATATCCATGCCCTCGTCGTAGGAGCCGATCTTGTAGAAGTAGTCCCGGTCGATAGCGAACAGGCCACCGGCCATTGTGGGGGTCCTAAGCGGGGCCGTGCGGTCGCCGCCGCGCCGCGTCATCTCCCGCTCGGGCACCCTATACCTGAACGAGACGGAGACAGACATTGGCGATGCGACACACAGCATTTTCCTGTCATTTACTATTACCTATATTTATTAACGAGCCTTGGTAAAACAGAGTTTCTTTAGCAAATTGAGTTCTTATAGCAGTGGTGGCAAATAAAAAATAACTTCTTTTTGCTAATAGCCTTACAAATCATATTATTTATATGTGTATCATATATTAGCAATATTAGTAATAACATAATGAGTATGATTTTCATAAACGTTTACGTTCAACCTTGAATTGAAACGTTGAACCTTACGTTGAACCCTAGAAATGAGTATTTACGAATAACACGTGCTTTTTCCAATGGTGTATTCAAAAATCAAAAATCAAAATCAAAAATATATTTATTCAAATAGACGCTTGCGCGATCTTATGAATCGTCAAATTTTACATCAAAGATTATGTGTATAGGTTCGTAAGGTACCACCGGTTCGGAAAGCGGTTTCTGTTGAGAAGAGACCGGCAAGAAGGCAACTCAACAGTTGCTCTTTTTCAAAAATATCAGGGTACAATATAATATACAGGTATAATAGTCTTATTCTAGCCTACGTGAGTATCAACAGTATTAACTCCACACATTGGCGTCGTCGAGATATTCCGAAATGGTATAATATGCTTTAATCATCAGTTGATTTTTAATTTTACAATTTAAATTGGTCAAGCGGCAGACTTAATATCGACTGTGGGATTTTATTATACATGCGCACACTTTGCCCCATGAACGACTTATTTACTTTTTGTAGACGAAACAATGGCGTAGTAAGTTTGTCCTTATTTCTAGTGTTTATTTTATGTCTGTCACTATTCTTTAGGTAATAATTAAGGTTATGACGTATATACAAAACATTACAATAAATGTATTGAGAAGCAACAGTGAGTATATTAACCTCTTTGAAAAGATCTCTGAGTGAATTCCAGGCTCCGATATTGTAGATTGCTCGGACAGCTCTTTTTTGAAGAATAAATATAGAATTTATATCTGATGCACTACCCCACAACAAAATGCCGTACGACAAGATGCTGTGAAAATAACTAAAGTAAACAAGTCTGGCAGTGTCGATGTCTGTTAGCTGCCTAACCCTTCTAATCGCAAAAACCGCGGAGCTCAGCCTATTGGCAAGAGATGATATATGGGGACTCCACTGGAGCTTTGAATCTACTGTAATTCCCAGAAATACAGCAGACTCAACTGGATTAATGGGTACGTTATTTAATATTAAACTAAAACTTTTCCTTCTTATACTGGGAAGGGTAAAAAGAATACATCTGGTTTTTTTTGGCATTTAATACCATATTATTAATAGTAAACCAGTGGAGGATATGTGAAAGTGCACTATTCACGTCGTCATAATTTAATACGTTTCGGTCAACTTTAAAAATAAGCGATGTATCGTCAGCAAACAGTACAACATCACACAACCCACTGGCATAAAAGGGGAGATCATTAATATATGCTAAAAATAATAATGGGCCCAAGATTGATCCTTGTGGGACTCCCATTTTCATCTGGGACCCAGCGGAATTAACATTATTTATAGATACTTTATTTATAACTTATACTATGCTAGAGTTCGTTAGTTTTTTGTCGTAACGAGAGTTGTTAGATTTTACAGAGGTATCAATCTCCGCGGTAGGGTCCACAAACATGAAATTACAGAAACAAAGTGGTGTATAATTAATTTATGTTATATTTATTCATGACATGGTTGATAGCAGAACATACATCACAAATCAAATTCATATATCGACGGTATAAATAATATCACCATGATGATTTTCAAATCAGATAAATCTCTCAATCATGCCATTTCGGGACTTCGGTGTGTTCTCTCGTTTTAAATGTCAAGGTGCTTTCGAGTCGAGTTGTCTTGACTATGATAGCTTCTGCAAATTCGTACATTGGTCGTGTTCGATAGATTACATCCATTCGCAGTTAAGTTTGTATCCACAAAACCATAGCGAATCGATCGGATGGGAACACGAAAACTGTTTACGAAACATATTTGTAAACAATGCATATTTGATGCGTATACGTACGCATATGTACGTAGATTAAGTAATGTAAGCATATACAAAAACAATGCCTAACATGGAATTGTTTTGTTTTTTTTTTAATGTTACTTCCACGATTTTTGCGAATCATATAAAATTTTACAAATAAAAACTGTATATACGATGATGGCGCGTGCGTGTAGTACGTGTTGTTTTTCTTACCATCTCTTATCAACAAACATAAATAGATCTAATTTGTTTTTCCAGACTGCTGTTGTCATGACAGAAGGGGTATTACATGATGATAACGTCTTGTTAAAACAATATTATGCTATTTACAGATAATTATCAACTATAATTATAATACCTGCGACAGCACCTGTTTCGAAAATATATTTCCCCGCCTTGTAAGTCAATATCAAATTTAAAATTTTACACTACCGATTTTAATAAACCTAAATTGCTTCAAAAGCAGTGAAAACTACCTACACAAAATAACAAAATTTTACGCAATCAGAAGATAAGATTTTATAAAAAAAATAAAGATTAAAGATTACAACGAGCATGGTATTGTCAAGTCTTTACTGTATGTTATCGAGTTCCATAACAAATGGATCTTCATAAGAAATTTTGCCGCCTTCACCGATTCCTTGCCTCCACCGCCTCACTGATATTGATTGCGATCGTACAACGATTCACCTATTTTTCTAAGATCACATTTCAGATACATAATAACACAATCGTATAACATGTAACAAATCATAAAAGAAAATCAATTTCTCAAGCTTTAAGCCTTCGATTTTTTTTTTATGTGAAAAGTTGCCAAGCGTGCAGGTGGTTCACCTGATGTTAAGTTAATACCACAGCCCATGGACATCAGCTACACCAAGGGTTGCAGATGCGTTGACACCCTTTTGAAAATTGGGCTCCGGCTACCTCACTCACCAGACGAAACGCAAAAGTATTATACTTCCACTTTACGCCGGTGTTCTGTGAGATAGTGGTACTTACCCGGACGAGCCTGCCCATTCGCGCAACAGTCGAGACTGCTGCGTGGCCCTACCACCGTTAATTGGACCTTAATATTGGATTTAACCTTCGATGGGAGAACAAGACAAAAACAATTTTACTAGCTTGTAAGAACAAGACAAAAACGATTTTATTAGTTTGTAAAGTTGTTCTTCTTACTCTACAGTATAGGCGATGAAGCTTGCTTCAAACCGCGCACAGCTCGTTAATCCCTAACAAATCCGAAAAGAAAAACTCACTGCTGCTATTCAGACCCACGTACTATCATTACTATCAATCGATCATATTAACTAAATGGCAATCTTAAGACACTACTGCCATTTAATTTGCAATAACATCTTAGAGCAAGTGATTATAAGTTTTCTTATGATAGAGAGAGCGAGAAGATTAAGCTAATGTTAAATAAAGTAGTGCTCAATAGCCGCAAAGGTTGATGAGAAATAAAAAAATGAAAACAGCCTGTTTTCCTCAACTTTTCATCTATAGTTTAATCAAAATAATCTGATTTAGGAAAGCAAGCAAAAGTAAATGGAGTCTTGGCATTTGATTCTACTCAGAGTACTTTGTAACCTCAAAGATGTTGGCGGGGGAACAATGGAAGTTTTAATTATGTAACCCAAACAGACTTGCATAACGCAGCCGGTTAACCTTGAAATCTATCGCTATGACTGCTCACTGTTCACCTTTTATAAGCGACGCGAAATTCCTAGCTTTATTGGGCACGCGACTCATTATGGTGATAAGCACATTCGATGAGACATTTGCATACATTATTCTCTAGATTAAGCAAAAACAAAGAGTATATTAGTCGCTGCGATAATTCTAGAAATAAAAGAGTTTGAAGGACGAATGAATGAAGATACGAAATTAAAGTAACGTTTAGAAAAATAATTCTTTTTCGATACAGACATAATTGCTTGGAATGGTAAGATAGACCGTAAGCTGCACATATCCGGTGAATTATTATATAACACTACCGGTATATTCAGCATATGGGTGGGGTCAAATTCCACCAATATCCCATCCAATGATATTAGATTGAGCTCTGGGTGAATTCTTTCGAGTTTTGAGCATGTACAGTTGCGGGCAAAAATTTGAGTTATACCTTTAATATGTATAATAAACAAAAGCTAACGTAATAAAAATACATGTTCACCGAATAACAATTTCTGTCGCTGTTCGCGACTGTACACAAACGTGTAGAGGCAGCAAACCAGAAGGCAGATTATACAGCCGGCAACGGATTTGGTCTACATAACTACTCTGGTGTTGCAAATGTCGGGTGAGTCGATAGCACATTGCAAACTCTTTCTTAGAAAAGAGGGCAATACCGCCAACTCCGAATGTAGCCACAAGAAACAATACCTATAAAAATAGCGTACGCAATGTATGCGCAAGATTGCGCAGATCTTCAGAAAACCTATTGCGCGTACCAAATATACGTATTATATGTTTAAAATATGTATATGAAATATCGAAATTTTTTTACGCCGATACCAGGATCGACCCTGCGTCTTCTGAGTAACCCGCTCAGGTGCTCTAACCCAGTGATAGCAAAAGTGGTCGTTATCGACTCACAGGAGTTGAGAGAGACCTGCAAGTGGTTCATGTGAAAGAAAAAAAAATTGGGGGATCTGTGCGAAGTAAACAGAACGGGGGGTCCACGATCGATGGTTCGATCTTTTTAATCATGTCGAGACTTGAATTTTGACTTTCCGTTTATGGAATAATCCACATACAAAGGTTAATTGATATTTTGCATTTAACTGAAAACATAACGACGATTTGTGCTAATTGTAATGTTGTAGATTTTTTAAACAAACTTATTTTCGCTATTTTATAATAATAGAAGCAAATTAAAATATTGCATATAATTGTAGTTTCAGTAGGATATTCGCTTTATGGTCACAATGAATTTTGAACTTGTTGACACTAATATTTACACATATACTACTTAAACGCGTAGGCGTAGTAGAAGCGAATTAGGTAGACTATTGATTAGTTTTACTAACTTGTTCAATTCAACAATGAAAAGTTTGGAAATTTTAATTAACGCTTTCAACATTTGAAATTAACGCGTTCATTTTTTTCCACAGCGTTGAAAAGGAAAACTACCTTTAATTAAGAAAATATTTAAAAAGTATAAACTAGTTGGATACAGGAGTTAAAGTAAAAAAAAAAGTAAAGTAACAGCCTATATATGTCCCACTGCTGGGCAAAGGCCTCCCCTATAGAGAGGGTATCAGGGCATAGTCCACCACGCGGCCCCACTGCGTATTGGCGGACTTCACATATCGAAATATATTTTTTTGTTATTATTTCGAAAATATGCAGGTTTCCTCACGATGTTTTCCTTCACCGCCGAGCACGTGATAAGTCAGCACTTAAAGTTAAAAACTTCATTGGTGCCGGCACCGGGGATCGAATTCAGGTTGCTCGAGTATATTGAACTAAAGGCGAGCGCCCGTACACTAAGCTATCACAGCTCAAGGAGTTAAAGTAAACCAATGTAATTCGGTTTCGAAGTGTCAAAAGAAAGTAAGTGCATATTTATTTTATAAAATTTCAGTTACAAAATTTTTCTAAAAGTAAATTTTACTTACTCGCACTTAGGAAACTCTCTTGATATGATACCTATTCTATGGTTTTAATATCCTGATTTGTGTGTTCAATTTATCTATGGCAAAATCAATCTGGTAATTTTGAAATTAAATGTAAATTAATTTCAAAAACAGGACAAACGTGAAACTTTATTTATTAAGTATTAGCATAGACGATAAGTATAAGCATAGACGATGGACAGAATCCACGATCTTATTTTATACGTGCAAGGATTTTGGGCCTAAAGGCCCATTTACACGGTGCCAGTTTCTTGCCTGTTGTATACAATTAAATTGAAGCAATAAATGAGTTGCATGGTCTAAACAACAAATGGTCTTTTATTGCCGCAATTTACTATTCAATTATTGCTCTTGTATGTACAAGTATCGTGTGAATGACGCACGTACGCACGTACGCACAATCGAGGTATTTAGTGTTTTAAACTACATATTATTGACAACTAAATTCAACCTTGCACGTTTTAATTAATAAGATTGGCATCAAAAAGTTCATCGCAAAAATCATTGCCTTTTTTCAGCTCAAATTTACAATAGAATAAATTATTTACTTTTTGACTCCTTCATCTGACAAACAATTGCCAATTTGGATTTTTGCAAGGTAGTTTTATGCAATCAGGCTATGAAACCATCTAAGCTAGAGGATTATTTGAAAATAGTAATAAAGCATTATTCCTTGCATATGGTTGTTTTATTACGGATCAAGAAATATACGAGCTTTGGGAGAACTGTGACAACTGATACTAAAGGCCAATCAATATTTAATGTTTTCAAGTATTACCTCATGGAAAAGGCGATCCTTTTATCCTTACTAATATTATAAAGGCGAAAGTTTGTATGTATGGATGGTTTGTTACTATTACACGCAAGTATTTGCGTGAAATAGTAACAAACTGCATAAAATACATAACTGCTGCGTAAAACCACTAAATGCATTTTAATGAAACTTTACAATACTATAACAGAATAAGACTTAGGCTATAATTTATGTACATATGTTATGTGTAACTGTCTTTCATAGTCAAATATAATATACTAAAAAAAACCCGCATCAAGATCCGTTGTGTAGTTTTAAAGATCTAAGCATACGTAGGGACAGACAGAGAGCGGGACGACCTTGTTTAATACTACGTAGTGATATGGATTAAGAAGGGGTTCTATCCAAAACCGTAAAAGATTAATCGCAAGAGGTCTACAAGGCAATAAATTTTGAGGCACTACTCTGGTCTAGCCACTAGGCAACCGTCGATATGCTCACCGTGCGAAAATTTCGACGTTTTATCTACATATTTTCATAGCATTCTACAATAACTTATCTACAAATTTTAACTTTCATCTTAAGTGCAGAGACTAGCGCTAAAAATAAATTTGACTATATTATACAGGTTTTGAGGGCAACATTCCAAAGTGAATTATTAAAGTCGAAATATTACGCCTAAAGGAGCGCTTTTGTCAATGTCATTAACTCTTGCGCCAATATATTGTATCAAACAGTATAACAGTGTATTTATTATCAATTTAATAAACTGTCAAGGAAATGAGACGATTAAACTATGAACAGTTTTTCCAGCTTATCCTGATGTAAACAACAACTTTAACTTCCTGCCTTATTTCCAATACATTGTCGGCACATATTTACATTTAATGCAACTTAAATTCTACCACTCACCATCTAAAGTTGAGTTTCCAGTTGAAACCACCCCAGGTCATGTCTGACGCCTGTATGTATTCGAAGGTCGTGTCAGATATGACGTCAATGATCGGGCAAACCACTGTCGTTCTGTCTTCTACTATTCTAGCTAACAGTGGTTCGAGCCAGCCCTCTGTTTGATGGAAAATATTATTCTAGTTGAAATTTCAAATCACATCATAAAAGCTAGCGGTCACAAATCGGAATTTATAATAATCCACAATTAAATAAACTCTCTGCAGAAAAAATGTAATGCTTTATTAACAACCCACAACATACAACCAAATAACTCAGAATCCTTGTGGGACGTGAATGTGAGTAGTTTATAGAATGTTTATTTAACTAACACTTAATTATTATTATATACACACGACTGATACAGTACAAAAGCGGTACATATAATATTTTGAAGGCATCCATTTACTTGAACATCTTCGGCAATACTATAATATACTTCAAAATAAATAAGTTAATTTTTAGGGCATAAAAAAGTTGTGTTTACCAAGAGATACATTTTAACCAAATCCATTTATCCATTGCGCTGGGACGAATGATACGTACACAAACACGGAGTCACTGGCCTCATAGTGGGTACGGGCATTGAGGAATCGAACCCTATGCCCCGAACATTGTGGACAAGGACGGTGCTATCCTTTGGACAAAGTTTGGTTCAATGTTCCCTCGACCTTATAACGGCGGAAGGTACCTGTGCATTCGCAATGGGCATCCAGGAATGTAATGACGTCTCCTTTGACGTGTTTCGCCCCCAAAAGTCGCGCCCGTATGAGTCCCGAGCGATTTTCCGTTCGGAAAAGGTGAGTTGGCACTGGGAGAGTCTTTATGTAGTCCTCAAGTTTTTTGCCGAGGTGTTCTAGAAAAGCATTTATTAAGTTATTTTCATTCAGTACAAATACAGTAGCCGATATGATATTTGTTAATTTATAATTATACTTTTAAAAGTTGAACAAAAAAATATAAAGTCAATCCTGTATGTACCTTTTTCGCTTGCATCATCAACCAGAATGATCTCCTTGAGCAAAGGACGAGGCGATCGATTGATAGTGCTCCAAATAGTTCGTATTAATGTCGTCCATGCCTCGTTATGGAAGACAATAACGACGCTCGTTGTTGGCAGCAGGTTCGGGTATGGCTTGTCTTTGCATCTTAGAAAAAGTTCTACATCATTTTACAGAACTTATGTCATGGGCAAACCATACATAACATAGAGATAAATTATAAAAGAAACTTTCATTCTGAATACTTAGAGATCTTTGAAACTAAAAACAATTTCTTATTGTAACCATATTAATATCATAACTAAGCTGTAACTTAACAAAATAAGATGTAACCTAACCTCAAGACACACACCAGCCTTTTGCATAGATCGTAATAAAAATAATAATAAAATAATTTATGGTAGCCCGAGTTAACTATAGCATTAACCCGTAAAAAAAACGGTAAAATAGTTACATTCTAAAAAATATAATTTGCAACTTAAAACACCCCAATAAGTGCTGTTACTTACATTAAAGCACTATGTCAAAAAATAGTACTGTTATTGTAATTTTAAGTATACCCCCTTTTTATTCAGACATTTTAAACACAAAATTATTAAATAAAATGTAAACATATTTTATTTTGTTAACTTACTTTTCAAATCTAACATCTGTTAGTGATCTATTCAGTGAGATCATATCACTAGCTAACAAATTGAACTGATTCTCTTGAAATTTATCCAACATAAGTTTCTCCTGTTCTATTGGAATGTTTACTGCTTTACCTATAATAAAAATTATTAATATGTGGTTTAAAATTAATGCATCAGTCAACAGTCAACAGTAAAATTTAAATTATTGACAAAGGTAAAATGTAATATAAGTAACAAAGCATTTTTATAATATAATTAAACATGAAATTTCTCAAAAAATATTTAATTATTATTAATACCCATCTCTCCTGGAGAATCACCCTGCGGTCTTACAGGTTCTACAGGGGCCCATCTCTTAAGCCTTGACCTTGGATATGGCGGTAGCAACAATCCATCATCACCAATATCTTGTTCTACCTCATTCTCTTCCAAATTTGTCTCTTCCTCTTCTATATTGTTTTGTAAAGCAGCTGCTATTGCTGCCTTTTTACCTCGGAACTCTTCTACATTCTAAGTGTGTTGTAAAAAGACACAAAATAATATTAATATTATAAACAACATATATATTTAAAAAAAAAAAGGATATAAGATTAAGACTATGTCTGATGGATAATGATGATGATGAAACCAGAATGAGTAGAGACAAATACAGAGTAGTTATTTTGCGTGGCACAAAAAAAATCTTCTTTACACTACCCACTTAATATAATTGACAGGCATACTCAAACTTTATAAGCACACAAATTAGATATGAATGATCCTACGATCACTTTCACTTTTTGAATATGGTCTTTTGAGAATTTATGAACAAGTTGTGATAATTAGTCACACAGCCTTATGCTATAACTGTAAAAACTTTATACTGTAAATAAATGTGCAATACACAAAATGTGTATGAAATTAAAATGTAAATCCTGTTTTACATGCTTTGTTTTGGATAAGAATTTATAATAATTATTAATAATAAAAATATTTAAAATTTATTTCAGAAACATTAAAAAAAGTATGCCTTTTGTTAAAAAATTAATGACATTCTGAATAAATTAATATTAAGGCATATCAATAAAAATGTTGCAGTGTTAATGAAATTCATATTTTTTTCAGGTTTAATTTGGTTTTAGGAAAATAAATTACTTAGTATTGTAAAGGGTTAAGTTTTAATATTGATTATTTTAAGGAAATGATTTTAGTGGGACATTTATTGTATTGTGATATATCGAGTTATTAAATAAATTATATTGAGAAAAAAAAAACTTACTCTAACAGTAACTTCATTTGTCTTCTTACTACAATCCCAACCATCGCCGAAGCAGTCAGAATACATAGCTAACAGTGCGACGTCAACAAGTAACCATACCAACGATGTTAATAAAATGATGCGACATGTGTGTATCCTTATTTTACTTCGAAACATTTTAACGATTAAATTAATATTTTTTTAGTTTTCCTTCTTCAATGCCACATGTCAGTTTCGAGACACAACTCACAATTAGACTTGGAGCCGTCCTGCAAACAACAAAGGTGTGAAGATCCGCTAAACGGGCAGAAAGCTTAAAATTTTTAACTTCATAGTTTTAAACTCTTTAGATTCAATGACTTATACAACATGTTAATCTTTAAAATACAACTACACTTACAGAAATATCTAAAAGTAGGTTTCTGGATTCATAGTATGACAAAACTACTTTTTTTATATAATTCCTAAACTGTTGGGCAAAAAGAACTTTTAAATAGTACTTTTATTTATACACAATGCACGCACACTTCACTGTTTATATTCCATTAAATATTTTTCTTTTTTCATAAAAACGAGTACGCAATCATCAATCGCCCGATGTATACCGTGTACGCAGGTATACGTCAAACTTTCTATCTCGAATGCCGTGTCTCATGCGATCGGATACAAGACTATTAAAGTATTCAGATAATTATTTTGTTAACATTAAGATTTTAAAGTTGACTAAAAAAATGAGTAAATTTTTTTATTATCTTTATCAACAGGCTAAAATACATCAAATTTTTTTTGTAATATTGTTGCAAGTAACTGAACCCGCATTACAACAATTTTATATCAATTTATTTATTGGAGTATTAAAAGATTGTTTCAATAAAATATTTCTCCTTGTTTATATAAATAAATTTAGTGTTAATCCAGACATTTCGATTAAATCTCACAGCAATTCCAAAAAGTACTAAGGAACAAACCAATGATTTTTGCCAGAGTCTAGAAGAGTCTGTGGCTAACATGTTATACAGTGATTATGGAGGGTAGAAAATAAGGAGGACCGTCTCGTATAGGGGATTAGTCGAAAAAGTGTCCACTTGTGAACAGCAAATTATTGTTCGAACTCTCACCGAAATAGCGCTAGTGTAGCAAATGGAAATGATATGAACTTATCAGTTATAAGCAGAGTGAAGTTAGCACACTTATAGTGTGTTATATCGTTGAAAATATAAATTTTTATTTCTTCATTTATATTTTAAAATATTGTACTGTTAATATATTGTATTGTTAATAATATTGATACATGTTATAATGGTGATTTCTACATTTAGATAATAATTATGAAACCTCTATAACCTTTTTTCAGCACGCGATTGTCTAAATGATTGAGAATTTGCTTGTTACAATTTTAATTGTTTTTTTTTTATTTCGGTTATTCTTTAATACTATATTCTATTTGCTGTTTACAAATAATTGGGGTACTTGAAAAAACTGTATAATTTTAATTTTATTCCATACTCATTTTTGTCTATATATTACAATAAAATTAAAAAAAATTGCGCTGTAACAAAGCGAAAATGTTTCGTTTCTTTTTTAATTTAGTATCCTACTCTAATAATTTGTGGCGCTCTATTTAAAATTCTTCCACTTGCTACTATAGCGCCACCTTAATTTGGTCTCTTTCAACGGACACTTTTTAATACTCCTCCTCCTTATCTTCTACCCTCCATAGACAGTGATGCTGATGATGAATATTAGTTATGATAACTCATTTGCTCATACAGTATACAGGATGGCTTTTCTAAAGGTAACCAAATTCACACAGGAGGTTCAGACTCGGTAAAAAAATGCAATTCTATTTCCTAAAAACAGAACTTGTTGACAATGCGGTAGTCATTCATAAATGCGTCGTATACTTTTGAAACGAACTTGTGTGCATGTTAGTTATGAATAATCGCGCGTAAAATAAATGAGTTGCCCATAAATCACGCACTTTTGAGATAAGTTCAAATGAATGTAATTAATTAAATACTGATTTTAAATATTTATCATTTTTATATAACACCATTTATGTCTATAATTTAATAAAAAAAAATGGACACAATTAGAACAGCCTAAAAATTAAAAAAGATTATTAGGAGAGCCACGATCCAATAAAGTATTGGCAGATTAACAGTAAAAAGTTTGCGAGGTCTCAGTCACGCTACTTGACGTCCCGATTGGCGTGGGGAGTAGTGAACCTGCCTCTTGCGCCCGATTGTATGTTTTCGATCCCCACGACTGTAAAAATATTGTGTGATGAACGTGGTGCGGTTCCTGGGTGTTTTTATAATATATATTTATTTACAAAGAAAAGTATGTTTAAGTATGTTTTTCAGTTTTCTAGTGTAGTACCCATAGTATAAGTGTTGTTTAGTTTGGGGCTAGAGAACTTTGTGTAATAAATGTGTCCGAAAATATTTATATATCTCTCGCACTTTCATCATGACTTTTGGAGGATAAATCTGCCAAGTTACTCTTTATGAAGTACAATTTACGGTTCCTTTAATTGTCACAGTGTATTAATATTACTTATTTACTTAATTAGAATTATCATTTGATCCGTAAAAGATCGTCAAAAATGTAACGGATACGGATACTTATATGGATCTTTTTTTAGACGGATATCCGCGGATACGTATACGTATACGGATATCCGGAATATCACCAATTAATACTAACTACTATGACTCACCATGAACAAAATACACCAAAAAAAAAAACGTGAAGCAAGGTTACACTCTAACTATTGTAAAATTTAAAACTTACAAGTTTTGTATATCGATATAAAACTATATGTACCGAGTAACCTTTTTTACATTTTGATTTTTTTCAGTCAGTTCAGTCACATTCATAGTCCTTGAAACCGGGCCATAAAATCCAAAAAAAAAAAAGGGAGTGACACTGACAGTGACAGACAAATGACAACCAATATACTTGTTATTTTTATTAACTAATATATTCTATAGAAAGATAAAGGTTTAAAATTAACAAGACAGACTAGTAAAATTTATTGTGGATACATAGAAAAAATAAAACAGAATGAGTATTATTATCGCCGTTTGTGTGAAATTGACTGGCTGAACAATGTTAATCATGTAATGGCTGTAATGCCGCTAATTTGTACGTCACCACTTTCAATTGTCTATAATTAAGTTGTATATATCTTATTATTCATGCTTTTATATTTTATAATACAACATGAACAGAATCAAGAATAATAATAGAATTTCAAGGAATTCCGAATGTGCTAATGAGACCGACATGAACACAGATTCGTGTAAACTTATTACAAATTCGAATAAATCACCCGATGCTAAAAATGAAAAAGAGAACTCATGGACCGCTGGTGTGCAAATGTTCGTGTCGTTTCTTCTTGCTGGATACGGAATGGTTGCGGCAAGCCTTTTGCTTGATAAAGTGCAGCATTGGGATGTGTTTAAGTTAGTTTCTGAAGTGTATATTTTAGTTCCAGCACTTTTAGGTTTGAAGGGTAACTTGGAGATGACATTGGCATCACGATTGTCAACTCATGCTCATTTGGGGCACATTGATAGCAACCTGAGAACTTTAATTGTTGGAAATTTGTGTCTTATCCAATGCCAAGCAGTGCTAGTAGGATTTCTTGCCGCCATGGCTGCTGTAGCTATGGGATGGATACCTGATGGACAATTTGATATTCATCATGCAATGTTACTTTGTGCCTCAAGTGTTCTTACTGCTTCATTTGCAAGTTTGGTTCTTGGATTAATAATGATTGGTATTGTTGTTCTTTCAAAACACTTGGATATAAATCCAGATAATATTGCTACCCCTATTGCAGCTAGTCTAGGAGATTTAACAACTCTAGCACTACTATCTTGGATTGCATCTTTATTGCATAAATCAATTGGTTCTAGTGTAATATTGCCTAGTGCAATAATTATTGGTGGTTTAATTCTTGTACCAGTCTGTGGATATGTAGCATATGATAATAAGTTTACAAAGCAGGCGTTAGATGAAGGATGGGTACCAGTGGTGTCTGCAATGGTTATAAGTAGTGCTGGTGGCTTAATTTTAGACTATACTGTTTCAAATTACACTGGCATTGCAGTGTTCCAATTAGTTATAAATGGAATAGGTGGTAACATGGTTGCTGTTCATGCATCTAGGCTCTCCACATCACTTCATACAGGCTGCAAAGAGGAAACTGTATTAAGTCGTACTACTAAACTTTTGTTGCTGATGGTGATTCCCAGCCAACTAATATTCATACACACCATTGAATATTTAGAAGCTGGTCACACATCTTTAACCCCAATTTTTATTCTTATTTACATGTCAGCTGCTCTTTTACAAGTATTCCTATTGCTAACCATTAGTCACTACATGGTAGTTGGAATGTGGAAGTTAGGTATGGATCCAGATAACTCCGCTATACCATATTTAACGGCGTTGGGTGATCTTTTAGGTACAGCATTATTAGGAATAGCTTTTCACATTTTATATGCCATTGGTGATAAAGATAGTGACTTAGGTGACTAGAAATCTACATCTCATGTAATACTTGCTCAAACTTATAAGAAATTTTATTTAAAGACAATGTAATTGTAGTTTAAGTAAAAAAATCTGCTTGCAGTCCTGTGCCATGTAAATTTTTCCAATGTGTTTTATACTTTTTGCTATGCATAGTATTTGTTTCTGAATATTGCTCTTTTGTTATGTAAATAATAATGTAACAGTATACAACTCAAAAAATTGTTATTTTATCTGGTGCTATGTAAGTTTAACACATATCAATAAATATTTTTATAGTTTGATTGTTTCCTTTTATTATTGTTAGTTTATCGTGGATGCACAATATCATCGCAATAGTTTCATCATCACAAGTTTCTTATGTACAACTTTTGACCTGCAACCGAGTCTTCTATATATTTATAAAGTATCACATGTCCCAAGTAGGCAAAAGTTAAAGTATAAAGGAGAAAAATAAAGTATTTATCAATTTTTTATTTAAGTTTCCTCTTGAAGCTTGCTTCTAGCACACACTTGCAGTTTTTTCACTACACTCAATTTTTTTTGGAAATCTTTACATTCCCAATTTAAATAAAAATAACTTTTTAATGAAATGACAAGCTAGGAAAATACAGCACAAATATATCAAAAGACAAATATCATAGATTATAAGAGAGAAAATTGATAAAATTTTCTTGGGATGAAAATAAGTCTTATGTTTAACAGCAAAAGCTTCTAAGTTGGAAATGCCCTGTGTCAACTTAAAATCGATAAAAATTCAGTAATAATCCATAAAGGTTTGTGAGTGATGACTCCATGGCGCAGTAGCCAAGGTATTGGCTTCGGCGTCGGAGGTCGTGGGTTCCCACACGGGACAACTATTTGTGCGAGCCATAGAGTTGGTTGTCTGTCCCTATGTATGCTTACATCTTTAAAACTACGCAACTGATCTTGATGCGGTTTTTTTACTGAATAGTGGTTCACGAGGCAGGTTTATATGTATAATAAATTAAACCCTTGCGAACCCAGGGCTGGCAACCCTACTTGTGCTTCTGCAATTGAAAGTCTCTTATTATAGGACTGAATAGCCTTTAGACACATCTAAAAAAACTTGTTGTCTGACTAATTATTTTCTTAGTTCTGTTTGCATTATACATGGGAAATAGAAGTAAGAAAAAATCATGGGGGGGATTGTTAAATTGTAATGAAATCTAAACTAGTTGTTTGCTAAAGAGGCAAATAGAGTTCTATATCTGCATTGAATTTTTAGTCTTTCCTAATTTTGAGGTGAAAATGTTTTTGCTATACCAGTACAGCAAAAATTAAACAATTTCTTTTAGATTTTTCTTTATTTGCTTAGTCTAGGTGGTTACTTGACTTCACGTAACCTTCTAACTGCTGAACGGCAGGATGAAGCTGCTGTGGTAGAGAACACCCACGCTCCACCAGCTACTGTCCTCTTGCATCGCTTGCAGGACCAGATACCAACGCAGGAACGCTTCATTGCATCCTAAAGAAAAAAATATATATGTATAATTGATATACTAAGCAGAAAACATTAATTATAATTTGTTTTTTATTTGCAAGCTATCAAATTGCAAATTGTTTGGTATGTTAAATAAAGGAATTATTATGTATGAAATCAACAAATAGAAAATAGGACAGTTGAGATGTAACACCTAAGGAAACATTATATTAAAAAAAGATGGCATAACAAGTAACTTAAACAGCGTGTCTTTACAATCGCGACAATAAATGAACACACATATACAGGGTGGCTTTTCTAAGTGTATCAATTTTTTTTATTAAATTCTAGGCATAAATAATGTTATATAAAAAATGATAAATATTTAAAATCACTTGTAAGTAATTAATTACATTCATTTGAACTTATCTCAAAAAGTGCGTGATTTATACGCAACTCATTTATTTTACGCGTGCGATTATTCATAACTAACACGCACACAAGTTCGTGCACAGTAAAATTTAGGTATTTATGAATGACTACCACATCTGTCAACACATTCTGTTTTTAGGGAATAGAATGGCATTTCTTTTGGAAAAAAAATCCTTTGATTTTTATTTCAATAAACGATTATACTACCGCGTCTGAACCTCCTGTGTAAATTTGGGCACTTCTCAAAAAATCTCCCTGTAGAGGGTAACATTTTAAAATGTATTAAACATTTACATTCTTTAAACATCAATATTTACAGTGTGTATAATATAGTAAAGTACTGTATTAAATTTTCCAAAACAAAGAATTTTAGAACAACCTTACATATAAAACTGTAACATAAAGTTCATTTTTAAAGGTCACAAAGCATATGAATGGGTTGAGTGAATTTAAAAGAGACAAAACATACTGTTAGAAGGTGAGGCTTGTAATGCGAAGTTGTGGCAACAAATGAAAAAGTCTCTGAATGTATGAATCAGTCAGTTGTAGTTGTATAGGATGTTCCAAATTTTGTTTCTTTTTCACTTAATTAGTTTGTTTGAAAAATATTTTCTTTTAATTATGGATTTTTTAACGTTAAATTTTTTTTATGGTTATTAACAAGCATTAGAAGTGTGTTCATTTATTGTCGCGAAGGTAACGACACTCTGTATATGCATTAGCAATTAGGACATAGTTTGGTGTCCAAAGAATATTATTATTAATTCTGAAATTGTCCACCATGGTTAAATCTCGTAAATCCCCAATTAAAAAAAATCCTCCTCATAGTATGTGGCAAACAGAATGCCAGTCAAATTCCTTGCTTCATTTTTGAAGTGAAACTTCTTTATCGGGGTTGGAAAAAAATTTTTAATTCTAATACTAAAATGTAAAGAATATATTTCGTATTTCAGTTACCATAAGCCATTAATAACACAAATATATAATAACGACATCAATGATAGTAATAATTCTATAACAATTAATGAAATTCAATAAATTCAATAAGACTTCCTCGTCTCCAAAGGCAGGCACCGCGCACCGTGACCTGACTGCGCCTTCCACCGAAGACACAATCTGAAGCTGACCGATGATGCTCTTCGAAGCCTCGATCGGCTCCTGGAACTTGCGGTTGCGACGTCGATCCAACGTCCGCAAGTTCGGTTTTCCAAAAAAACTTTACTCAAGTGACGCAAGTTGCAAGTTTTTTAATCAACAATTGTTGCGGACCCTCATACTAATTACAACGGTCAAACCATAGTGTGTTTTAATTTACTACTAACGCCACCTATGTATTACAATAAAGTATTACTAAATATTATACAAAGGTAAAATGAAATAATTTGAAATATAACGTCATAAAAAAGTTTCACTTCTTACGAGTGTACGCTAGTACACGCACACATTTTTTTTTAGACAAAACCCAAAAAACATAGCTATGTAAACAACTTAGTCTACCTACACCATTATACTGTTTGAATTCCATGAAAGTAAATTTATAGCTGAATATCTTAAGTCATATGCAGTATGATAAAAACACTTGTTTAAAATGTGTTACAGTACAGTTATTTTTCTTTTGTTCAATGATAATTTATACTAAAAAGAATAATGATAATAAGAAAAATAAAGATAGTTTTCAACTTTCAAACAGAACCTCAAGTGATTATTGAAATATACTTACTTTACCGCAGAAAGAACAAGTGTATTTGGCGTGTTGTGTCACTTCCATTTTCTTAACCATTTTACGCAAGGAGGCACCGTAACGCGTACCATATTTGCCGGTAATTCCAACCTTTTTCGTACGTTTGGCCTGAAAGCAACATTTAATACGATATAAGAAATAAAAAATTGATAAACAAAACAGTAGAATAGGTTTGAAATATTAGTCACAGGTACAAAACCACATAACATTTAAAAGAAAAACCTCAATTTTAAATATATATTTATACTGATTACTGAAATATTTTTAAATTAAATTTCTCACCATTTTGAAATAACCTGCCTAACACAACAGTTGACAGAAAAAGAGAAAACTGGTTCTTGACAACTGACATTGACATAAAACTTTTTTTTTTAATATCCTTAATCGCAATAACTCAGTCGCAAGGTTTAATTGTTAAGCCCGTCCCAGACATGTGTGCAAATGTTTATAAAAATACGAGCGGATCGGACAGACGTTGTCCTGTACACAAGACTTAAATACGACAACTTAAAAATAAAAAAAAAATTTAAACTGACTGAGTTGTGAATCTAAACCATTCTCGAATCGACCTGAAGACACACAAAAAATTACATTACAATCGGTCCAGACGTATAGGACGAGTTCAGTGACATACACACGTACAGCAGAATTATATATATAAAGATTTTCGGATATATTTGTTAATCGCTCGAAAATCATTTTTGAGCTCCTGCATATTTTGTTTCTCTTCACATTTGTGGATTAGTATATGCAAAGATGGTGGATACGACCGACTGAACAACTGGGTCAAAGCAGTAGCACTATATTATTTATGTTCTTTTAATTATTTAATAAAATTTATTAGTTACTTTTGGACCTGTAAAGAGCCATTCTTTAGGGGTTCCAAATTATAGCATTATAACCTACCTAGTGCTGCTGGGCCGAATATCGTTGGGGCACATTTCGACTCGCACCAGATGATGGTTTATTATTTTACGTGCCGCAGCGAGTGTTATTATATTTGACAGATGGTAGATGATATAGTTCTGAGGGCAACCACATTGGAAGTGTCAAAAGTGTTCATTTTTAGGGTTCCGTACGCAAAGGGTAAAACGAGACCCTATTATTATGGAGGGTAGAAGTAAGGAGGACCGTCTCGTATGGGGGATTAGTCGAAAAAGTGTCCACTTATAAACAGCAAATTATTGTTCGAACTCTCACCGAAATAGCGCTAGTGTAGCAAATGGAAATGATATGAACTTAGCAGTTATAAGCAGAGTGAAGTGTGTTATATCGTTGAAAATATAAATTTTTATTTCTTCATTTATATTTTAAAATATTGTACTGTTAATATATTGTATTGTTAATAATATTGATACATGTTATAATGGTGATTTCTACATTTAGATAATAATTATGAAACCTCTATAACCTTTTTTCAGCACGCGATTGTCTAAATGATTGAGAATTTGCTTGTTACAATTTTAATTGTTTTTTTTTTATTTCGGTAATTCTTTAATACTATATTCTATTTGCTGTTTACAAATAATTGGGGTACTTGAAAACACTGTAATTAATTTATAATTTTAATTTTATTCCATACTCATTTTTGTCTATATATTACAATAAAATTAAAAAAAATTGCGCTGTAACAAAGCGAAAATGTTTCGTTCCTTTTTTAATTTAGTATCCTACTTTAATAATTTGTGGCGCTCTATTTAAAATTCTTCCACTTGCTTCTATAGCGCCACCTTAATTTGCTCCCTTTCAACGGACACTTTTTAATACACTGAGATGGTTCTCCTTATTCTACCCTCCATAATTACAATGGATGGTAACAGAAATACACCGTTTGCGAAAATTTCAATTTTACTATCACAGTTCATGATATACAGCTTGATGACAGATGGCCCATCAGAGAGCGGAATCTTAATAATAGTATGGAGTGTAGAAGTAAGTTACTTCTACACTCCATAATTGTAATAAAATAAAATAAAAATAAGTAAATAAAATTTATAATATCAAATACTAAAAAAATAGTTATTTAATACGTTGGGTGAAATAAAAATGAACACAAAGTGAAATTATAGATATAGAAATATTCAGTAGTCGTTTGGATCTCAGCAACGGCCTGCATCATAATGCTTCATATCCGAGAAAGATGAGGAAAAAGATTTTGCACCATGTTCAAATTTTTGGGACGTTGACGAAATGCCAATCTTCCGAGTAAATTCCAGGCATGCTCAATAGGATTCATGTCACAAGGCTGTGGAGTGTGCCAGTCGAAGACAGCGCCATTTTGTTCGAAGAAAACTTTCACCACCAGACTTGCAGAATGTGCTCAAGCATTATCTTGCATGAAGATGAAATCTTCCTCTATTTGAATTCTGTGCGGAAAAACCATAAGATCTAGCCTGTCGCTATGATAATTTTCGCTAGTCATGTCGCCCTCTATTAAAACGAGGTCAGGCCTGCGTGAGCTAATTCCGGCCCAAACCACGAGTGTTTCGCCGTGATAGCGATGGACTTTCTGAGGACATGCAACCGTTCATGACATTCAGAAACACGCGACACACGTATTCTTCTTTTATCTGGGTGAAAACCAAACCCGGATTCATCAGAAAATAGGACACGAGGCCCCCTGATGTTCCAATTATCTTCCGGGATATCGTTCATCCGTGTTCCTTGTGAGCCAATAACGTTAATAATCGGTCCTTTTTTATGTAAAAAAGGGCGAAAACGGGCAGGAGGCTCACCTGATGAAAAGTGATCACCACCGCCCATGAACATCTGCAATGAAATTTGTGATAATTGAGCAAGTTTTTCTAATCTTGAAAAAAAGGATGTTTATAGCGAGATTTCCCTTAGACGAAGCCCGGTAAGCACTTAAATATGATACTTTGCAGCCATATGTAAGTAGAGCAGGCTAAGAACAAATAAAATTAACGTCTCATTTAAATTGTGTGCTAGTGTTGTACTGCAGCTGTAATATCAACATATCGATAACATCCTTATTTTGTATCATTGAAATAGAATAAGAAATAAGATATTGAGTGAAAGAGTAGGGGTAGAATGTTTTACATATTTGAATGGCGTGCTTACATAAATGAGAAAGGTATATAAAGATCGGAATAGGTTGTGCAATTTTGCAGGATTTAGAAACATAATCTTTATTATATTGATATGCCACACAATTCATTTCATGTGTCGAGTACCCAAAAAACTTTGTAAGTTCTATGTAAAGCCTGGTAATTATGTGTTTATATCTAACACTCCTGATACCAATAAAGTGGCGATGATACGCCCACAAAAATTGTTTGATCTGGAAATTTGGTCGGAGCAAACATGCATCTATAAGTTCTATAGTAATACATATTATTGTTTGTGGTCACTCATCGCAAAATTTATTAACCTACTTTGAGGTTCGGTATCAATATTTATGATTTTAACGAAAAACATTTGTAGAATTTTAATTAAAAAAATTTCAGATGCAAACAGTGGGTGAAACTTGTAGGAAAAGAAATTTTAGTATATATTCCCATTGAAAAGTTGCATTCATTAAGATATGTATGTGGAAACCCCTTTGACGACAGAGCATTAATAAAAAAAATCGCCTAAAAAATAGTTGATATTTGATTTGAAGATTCCAATGCCCATGCGGTGTTCGAAGGTTATTTTTTTTATTCAAAAATTCATGTTTTTTTGAATATGTAATTTCATTGCAATAATAAAATTTTAATTAAATTAGCAGACACTGTTTTTTATTTTATTTCGGGTCCGCATTTAAGTCATATCTTGTATTAGTACCAAGTATCCCCTCATCAAAATTACTACATAAATACGGACATAAATACGGACTCGATACTTACTAAAATTAATAAAATATTAAGTGGAAACCTCGGTTTCTACCTAGTATATTTTATCGATACCGATAAGAGGCTAAGCTAGCTTGATTAAGCATTATTTACTCGTTACGTTGGTAGTCCTGTTTTTTGACATCTTTGTGGTATTTTTGTGGTATGGTTGGTATTGGAGTGCCGCGTAAACTGATATTTTTGGCTAGTGTGGAAGTCCCATCTTTTAAACGTAGTATTACTTTACTCTATGGTGTCTAGATTGGTTCCTCCACTCCACCTAAAGAGGGCAAGTGGATCATTTTTAACCGACTTCAAAAAAGGAGGAGGTTTCTCAATTCGACCGTATATATATTTTTCGTGTGTTCGTGGATAACTTCGTCATTTATGAAACGATTTTGATGATTCTTTTTTTGTAGGAATGGATATCCCAAGGGTGGTACCATGATGGAAAAATGAGGGAAATCCTGATCTGATGTTGGCATCCCAGAGAAATCGAGGGCCATCGTTGAATGTTATGGTATTAACAATGTTTTTAATTTTCTGAATGAAGTCGGTTTTTTTTTTGTTAAAAATTATACTTGTTTGTTAATAAGAGTGGCGGGGATATTATGAGGTAGACAGCGTCTCTCTCCCCTGTGTCCGCAGGTCGTTTGCCTGGAAAACCTCTTGTGACGCAGCTGTTGAAGTTATTTGGCCTCACAGAAAACTAATAAAAATTCCTACTAGAATTATTTTTGTTAATAGCAATACAAGTTTGAATATGTTATAGATAAATAAAATATGCCAACTGACAACTCGGATGTCACTGTCAATGACGGATCCCACTTCAACGACCTACAGATTTGTAAAGGTCGATCTTACGGCTTTCTATTACCCCGTCCCGACTACCTGGGCGGATAATTTATTGTAAATAATATAAAAAAATATGTTGCGAACGATCATTGTGCGAAATCAAGTATTAAGCGACAGCTTAAAAAAAGCTGTTCGTGTTAATGTTACGAGATGCATCAGCTCGGAATTGGCAAGAAGGAAAAATTGCAATAAGTAAGTTTATTTTTAGTGTGACTATCGTATGGGATTCCTTGATTTGCTTTTCAATAAACTGTTTTTCACTTCTTGTGGCATGGGACCTCATAACAGTGAGTAAAGATTTACTGTTTGTCGGCAGCAATTGCATAACCAAAATGTCAAATCGCCTTTACCTTGAATAATGTCAGATACAGAGACATGTGCAAATTTCTACAGATAGCACTGATTTAATAATTTTTATTTGAAATGAGTTCTTCTTTAAACATTTTGTATTTTTGACTTTAAACATTCCATTGTAGATTGTAACTAATCATTATAAATAAATAAAGAAACTTTTCTATTCTTCTTGTTCATACATTTTGGACTACACAATAAATATATAGATAAATTATCTATTCTCAATGATAATCTTTAGTTCATTAACAAATTTGCTTTGAATTATTTTAAGGTTATTTAAGTTGGAGTCCAAGAGAGAGATATTATTAACACCACAATGGAAACCCCAAATCCGTTATTATTCAGATCTGCCAAGCCACATCAAAGTAAACCTCCCTGCACTATCCCCAACTATGGAAAGTGGATCTATTGTGCGATGGGAAAAGAAAGAAGGAGATAAACTTAGTGAAGGTAATGACATAGTAGTTAACTTCTTATTTTACCATAAATGAATAGTCTCCATGAATATGTTATTCATTCATCTTTAATGGAAATATTATTTATCAGTTTTTTCTTAATAAAAAACAAATATAACTGTCATGAGTGTTTTTATTATTAGCATACAAAATTAAACATTTTAGTACTGAGATCATTAGAACTTTTATCTCCAAAAAACTCAGTTAAATTTTAAGTAGGAATATAAAAATTATGAAAATAATAGTTATAATTTTTTTTTTTATTTACCGTGTCCTTTACCATAAATATTTCTTCTCTGAAATTCAATATAAGATGTATCTTGAAAATGATGTCTAACAACAAATAAAACTGTATAAGTATTATGTTATTCTTGTCTTAGGTGATCTGCTATGTGAGATTGAGACGGATAAAGCAACTATGGGCTTTGAAACACCTGAAGAAGGTTACTTAGCAAAAATCCTCATTCCTGAAGGCACGAAGGGTGTCCCAGTAGGAAAACTCCTTTGTATCATAGTGGAAAGTCAAGCTGAGGTTGCTGCATTTAAAGACTTCAAAGATGATTGTATGTATTCATTTGGAACTTTAGGTGTTTTTGTTTATCTAAAATAACTAAAAGGTTGTTACTGTTACTTTTAATTAAAAACAAGAATTATTACTAATAACAGTGTAATATAACATGTCATTAAGCGTCTTCAAGACAAGAGTGAATAGGTTTTTACTGAGCTAGCGTGCTTACCATCAATGGCTGCATCGCCACTTACCATCAGGTGGGATGGCAGTCAAGTGCAGGCCAGTTTTGAAGAAAAAAAAAAAGATAAAGTAAATACTTCAAATTATCAAATTTGTCAATCAAGTAATTATCAAATTTGTTAACACAAGGTTATTCAAAATTTAAATGTACATTACTGCAATTGCCAACAAATTAACAGTTATAATAAATTGGCAGTAAAATATCATAACATGTATAGGTAAAGTGCTGTAAAAAGAAAAACATACTTTAAGAGAAAATACCTCTTTTTATTATTTACTTCATTTGACCATTTACAAATGTATCAATATTACAAGGAATTGTATAAAGTTGTTTTAACATTTTTATGATTAATATTATTTTTTAGTGTTAGTCTGCACTGAAGATCAATCTTAAATTTATATTTAGACTTATAGTTTATAGTTTTTTGTAGATATCATTAAAAAATTTCAAAATCACAGGATTAGTTAATCTGTCTTCCAGGTAATGCATTCAAAAGCCCTAACTATTAAACTGAGTGGTTGATATCAGCACTGACAACTTTTAAAAATATAATTACATAATATTCACATTTATTTTACCTTGTCAATACCTTACTAATTCAAATTATTAATTTGACCGTTGCAAGTGTATGTAATTTGTGTGGTTTTTTTTATTTTACAATGCATGAATTATTAACAAAGTTGGTAATAAATTGCAGCTAGTGGAGCTCCAGTAAAACCAACACCCCCAAAAGGTACAATTTGCTTTCTTACCTTTAAGTAACATTACTAACTATTTACATGAAAGTTGGATAACATTCATTCATATATTAAAACATGTAGAAAAAGTAAGTGCAGCACTTAAGTGCAGAGATTAGCCCTATAAAAAACTTTAAAAATTCATTCATATAGTTATTTAGTTGATTATGTTTGTATTAAATTTGAATAATTTCCTTACATAAATATGAAAATTATATGGTAAAAAGATAAAATACCTTATGATGTTGCTTGCATCTTACTAGTTTATATAGTTTTTAGGGTAATCCATATTAAATAACTTTTTTACAAAATTCAATTTATTTGTGATTGAAATAGAAGACAATCTCATATCTGCGGTAATTTCAGCACAAACTGACTCATCGGCACCTGCTGCGGCTGCTCCACCACCTTCCGCCCCCGCAGCACCCGCCCCCACCCCTGCAGCAGCTCCCACACCTGCCCCTGTGGCCCCCGCAGCTGAAGGCAGAACCTATGCGAGCCCTATGGCACGCAGGCTCGCTGAGTTAAGGAATATACGACTTGGTGGTATGTTAATGATTTGTTCATTCTCTCAAATCTTTAGCCAAATGCATAGACATCGGTATAGCTAACATAATCTGGTACTTAGAGTAAATTAGTGTTGAAAAATTTTTGAAAAGTGTAAAATAAAAATAATGTATGCATCTGAAAAAGGCAGTACTAGAAATCTCTTATCCATAGGCATTTATTTTATATGAACATTAAAAATTGCATAGTGACACCTATCATGTGCCATTTGCATAGGCCAGGGCTCTGGATTGTATGGGTCACTAAAGAGTGGTGACCTCGCAGGGGCCGCTGCAGCCCCAGCACCGTCTACGGCAGCTCCAGCAGTTGCACCAGCTCCAGGGGCCACCTTTGTCGATATTCCTTTGTCTGGAATGCGTGAAACAATCGCCAAGCGCTTATCAGCTGCTAAGCAGACTATACCTCACTATCAGCTGAGCGCTACCGTTAACATTGAGAAGACTTTGAAAATGAGAAAGTTTATCAATGAGCGTTTGGAGAAGGAGAAACAAGATGCTAAGGTGATTCTTACGGCAGTATTTGTTTTCTTATTCAGTTTCAATGTTAACTTAAAACATTACCTTTCAATTTTATAAACATTTAATTAAAATATAAAGAATATATCACAATTTGTTTATGTTCAAATATTGCTCAAAAGTTTCTTGTCATGTAGTTGACTAATTTTTTGCAGATTTCCGTTAACGATTTTATTATAAAAGCAGTAGCATCTGCCTGCAAGCGGGTACCAACTGTCAACTCGCATTGGATGGAGACCTCTATCAGACAGTAAGTGAGATTATATGACAAGACATTCAACTTTTGAATTTCTGATAGCAAGGAATGAGTTTCTGTAAGTTCATTGAACAAACAAGCTTTTGAAATCAATGTTGATTGAATGAAAGTATGTTTACTGTTGCTTCATCGTTATCTTTAAAACATTATTGCAGTTAAATCTGCAATATACTTCAATAAGGAAAACAAACTGTTATTATATAAAACAAATGCAAAATGAAACTATCATTTTTACAGGTTCTCTAATGTAGATGTAAGTGTAGCAGTAGCAACACCAACTGGCCTTATAACCCCAATAATATTTAATGCTGACTCCCGTGGGATTATTGATATCTCAAAGAATATTAAAGAGCTTGCTCAGAAGGCAAAGGATGGCAAGTTGCAGCCACAAGAATATCAAGGGGGCACTGTAACGGTATCAAATTTGGGAATGTATGGTAAGTGTGTTTATTTGAACATTCAGTAAAAACCATAAATAAAATGTTGGCAAAATTTTAAGTTTCCTTAATTTTTCCAGGTATAACAATGTTCAATGCCATCATCAATCCTCCTCAATCATTAATACTGGCGTGTGGAGGCTTACAGGATTTGGTTATCCCTGATCCAAATGAACCACAAGGGTTAGTTTCAACAGTATTTTTATAATATAATAATAAGTATAAAATAAATTTTGAACCAGCTTCTTCAGCATGTTAATTCATCATCATCAAACAATTTTGAGTCCAGAGGGAGTGTTAGTATCCAATGTCTGGTTTAAAATTTCGAAATAAGATACATTTATACTACATGGTATTGATATAAAAGGTCTATGGATTGTTAGAGAGAGACATATACTGGGAGTACTAGTAGAGAAATCATTCTTGCAAAGCAGAAAACTTTACAATTGATGTTTACAATTATTGTTTTGTTTGATGACTCTGTGGCGCAGTGGCCAAGCATTGGCTTCGGCGTCGGTGGTCGTGGGTTCCCACAAGGTACAACTATATGTGTGACCCACAGAATAGTTGTTTTGCATCTGAGTGTTTGTCCACATGAAATTTATGCATGTAAAATGCCCTTATAACACAGGTTGTTATCCTAAAGTAAGAGCAATGTTTTTAAAAAAAAGAAAAAAAAACAATAACTTTCATCAAGATTCTAAAAACGTAACACACGACCTTGCAATTATGTTACGTGCTTTAAATTTGTTTATAGTACTAATGAATGATATGGTTAACAGATTCCGGGTTGCAAAATTCGTGACTTTCACTGCCTCTGCTGACCATAGAGTAATTGATGGAGCGGTTGGTGCCCAATGGATGAAGGTTCTGAAGGACAATCTTGAAGATCCAGCCAATATGATCCTTTGAAATTGCCAACTACACCATTACTTGAAAAGCAACAAGTTATTTGGATAAGGTTATTTAAAGAGAGTATAAAATATTATATATTGGATAATGGTCTTGTTTTAACTTCCAACTGTTTCCTTTGTTAATTACAGTTAAAGTTTAAAAAAAATATTTTAATTAAATACTTTCTATAAGACAACCTTTTCTAAGTAGCTGATATTTACTAAAGTCAACACATATCCTTCTAAAATGTTTAATTAATTTTATATTTTGTTTTTGTTTTGTTATTTACAATAGTTTATTTTCTTTTAATATACTTTACAGTTTTTTTTAATCATGTATGCAGTCGTAAATAGAAAAATAATTATAAATATTATTGATTAACTGAAGGATGTGTAGAATATGTTTCAGAAGGGTGTTTAATTTATTTATACATAAAAACTGATGTGTGCAGAGACTTAATTCCACAAAGTGAAATATAATGTTAGATATATACAAACATAGACAAAATAGTTTACTTAGCCATCATTGAACCTATGATTGTGTATTAGCAACGAACATTAAAAAAAATATTTTAAGTTTTAAAAGTGGAGATTAATTTCAAACCTGTAAAGTTTACTGTTATTATAATTATTAAGGGAAATAAATTATGCATTTTTCCTTATAAAATGGTGAATCGAAAATATCTTTAACTGGGAGCGGAAATCTGGTGTTTTCTCAATATTTTTATTATTATTCTTCAATTATTTATTTCATATAGTATATTTGCTTAGTATAAAAATATTAAGGTCATTAATTTGTTAATGTATATAATAATACCTCTGTGAATTGGTGCATAACGTCCAAATAGCACATTCATACACTTTGTCATACATAGAAGTTGTTAAACAGCAGTATGGCTTAATGGATGTAGGAGAAATGAATTCATAAATTTGTGGCGTTTATTATTGTGTTTTGCTTTTAATCCTTAATAAATCCCTTAAATGGAACAATAATAAAAAAAGATAGAAATGTATAAATTATCAAATAGTAAATAAAAAAACTTTTAGTACATAGTTTAAATATCGTAAATAGGGACGATAGTTTAGCTGGCGAAATTGTTAGCTTTCAGATCAGACTATACTTCGAAATTCTCGAGATACATTCTCGAGCGAGCACCTTCCAGTTCAGCGTCATCTTGCCGCTGCTAGCTTAATACGACCTTGGCTTGACCTCGGTTCGGCGCATTAAGTGAATTGGCTACATTTATTTTTTACTTACTTTCAACTGAAATCACGACCGCCAGCGCCAAAGCCAATAGCTTAACCTAGGTTGACCTTGTCATCTGTCTTTTATATGTGCCTAGTCGGGCCATAAGTTCCATATGGAGTGGACACTTGAAGAAGCCCGAGTTGCAGTTACGCGCCAAATCAGATTTTCTCACCTTACTCGCACTGTTGGACTTCAGCAGTGATAAAAGCTTTGAAGGAATCCAAAGAAATCCTATGCATAAGCAGGAACTGTTGGCCTTTGTGGAAAAGGGTGTTGAATGGAGACTAAGGCTTCGAGCTTATTAAAGAAAAACAAGACTAAAGTGATTACGGGTTTTTTCGGATTCAAATTTTATTTATCGTGGAGGAGTTAAAAAATGTTAAGGTAAGATCGTCACTCACGGTTTGGCTGGGAGGCTCATGTTCGAGCTTAACTGAGGTACATTTTTGTCAGAAAGGCGTAAAAACGAATGCAGTTGTGTATCAAACTGCAATCCTCACAAACCACGCCGAACCTCTTTCTCATACAGTGTTCAATAATAGACACCGGTTACGGGACAGCAAGATTCTGCGCCAGCTCATAGAGCAAATAGAACGCAAAACAACATGAAGACTGGCCCTCCTCTTGTCCAGACTGAAATCTGTTCGGCTTACAAAGTACGTAATCGCTTGTAGGAAAAGGCCTTCCAAATACACTGTAATTTATTTGATTTTAAATTTTTATTTTTTCACCTTATTTTGACTCAATATCCAAAAATCACCCTAATTTTTAAACGAAAATTCTCGCGTCAAATTATGAGCTTTTTTAAAAAAGTCGGTGGGCTATTTTTTCGTTCATATCTCAACTTTCCTATGGTATAAAAAATATAAGGTGGGTGGACCATGGAAGGCCACTCTAACGAGTAAACGCTTTTTATTCGTTTATTTACTGGGTAAATGAAGGAAAAAAACTATTAAGTAATACTTTGTTTTATTGTGCACCATCTAAATCACTTTTCTTTAATCTAAATTTAATCACTATTTACTAAACTTAAGTTTTATTAAGCTCTTCCAAATGGCCTTGCAAGCAACACGGCTCCAAACAAGGCCAATATTATACATCAGTCGCTAAACTTAAAAATAGTGTAGTAACATTAAATATATCCGCTTTTACTAAAACTACATAATAAGCTCCATCATTTAAGCGAAACATAAAATGCTCAATATATTTTTATCATCGATAAAAAATTCAACGAACATTAATTGAACATCATCGTATAACTAAGAATATAGTAATGGAAATTATTTAAAAATAGTAGTAATAAGTATTATATTAGCAACACATAACCTGCCAATGGGTTTTATCACAGACTTATATACTTCTCTTTATAAGTCTGTGGGTTTTATAATGAAATTAAAAAAATTTTTTTTTCCATAAATGGCCTTATGGGTCCGTTCTTTGTAAGGCCAATATGTTCCTAAGAACGCCAAACTAACAATTATGACTCTGACTTTTTCATATTAATTATATCCTTTTTTCAGCCAAAACTACATTTTGTTTGTGGACCGTAATGCGACACCTTTTTTCATCCATGTTATACAAGCGTTCTGGATGTGCAATAATGTCTAGCTCTTTATAGTTTCTTGACTTCTTCAAAATGGTGTTTCACAATGGGCTTATTCATTTTTGGAGCTCTAGCTCTAGTTGGTGCGTCTTGGAATATTGAACTTTAACGCTGCAGCATTTGTATTAAGTTGATTATTTTGTACTGCTTCCATGGCACGTCTTAAACTGTCTTCATCCCATGTACTACCTCTTTTTCTAGGTTTTAAATCCGACATTTATGATATCTGAAATATTCGCATAAAAATGAATCATCTGTTTAATTACCGACTTATTGTAATGATGTTTTTTTTTTTGCTAAAAGTATAGTTATAGACAGACTCTCTCATGATTATCGTATGTATAACTCATCACAGACTTACTTTACCGTTTTTTTACATGTAAATATTTTTATATTCGTTGCTTTTCATGTAAATTAGTTTAGTAATATAAAACATTGTTTTAACTGTAACAGTACGTGTTTGTAACTAAAAAGTAAGTGTTCATATTTCATGGTTTGTAAATATTACCGTCCCATGTACCATAGCAAGGCCAACCGTCAAATTTTTGATTGGCCTTATAAGGAACCGCCGGCTTTCCTAGGAACACCACCCATATTTCAACTTAAATTGAGGCAAAACTATGTTTTTTTTTACTTTAGTACCATAAGTATTCATTTTACTTTCAATTCACAATAAAAGGAATATGAGATAATAATAGGTTATTGCCAAAAACTTACATTTTGCTGTGCGCGTGAATAACAATTGTAACGACGATGATCGAAGTCTACTAAACGTGAGATCGCATTGCCACAATAGCGGCGCGATCGAATCGCCGCCGTGTTTGGGGCCTTAACTTTGATAGATCTTAGTGTGAACTAGAAGGAATACGTCTTTACATGTCAATAACTACGACTTTTTAATAGTTGGCCTTCAAAGGAGCGTGGCCTTCCATGGTCCACCCACCTTATATATAATACCATTAACTATAGTAACGTATATAATTATATACGTTATATATATATTATAGTAACGTATATAATTATATACGTTACTAATGGTGAATGGTAAATGTTTTTAGAAAATGCAAACGAATAACGGTATGAAGTATCATAAATTATTATATTATTAAATATTTGAATGCACGGGCTGTGTCCCGGATTTGATTTTCAAAATAATATCATTTTTGATACGATGTCTGTATTGAATATTTTATAATCTAATTTGAAGTTATGACGAGTGTATATGCGCTCGTAGGATCGCTACGTGATTAATTGTATAACCTTTTATTTTGTGGATGATGTTTTCGCGCATGGATTGTTTTTGTTAACATTGTTAACACATGTTAATAAAGATCTCGTGTACAAATTATTCTCATTGGCGCCGCCGTTCCGTGTAGAAAAATTTTATGTAGAGTAACGAGTGAATTCAGTCCTATTTAGTATTAAATAAGTTCTTGTTCAAATAGACTTCCAAGAATGCAAAAATGTGTTATACATGTAGTGAACATGTATAACACAGTCGTCCCGCTCGCGTTGTTTGTTTGTCCCTATGTGTGCTTAGAACTTTAAAACTACGCAACGGATCTAAATGCGGTTATTTTTACTAGATAGAGTGATTCAAGAGGAAGGTAGAAGGACTTTGCGAATCCGGGGCGGGTCGCTAGTTAAATTGCCACTAATTATTTTATTTTATTTCTAATCTGAATGATATATTTATCGCTAATATTTACAATTTTAAATCAATCTAAAATTACATATTATCTAATAAACCTAATCCACGCGACATAGTGCCAAGAACGCTAGCTGCATTTTCTCGCTGAATAGTTTGCTTTGAGCGAGAAAAGAACCAGCTCTTTTGTCACCAGCCGCGGCGTTAAGCCTAAGACATAAACTTTTAAATATTAGTTAAATAGTGTTAATATTTACGCTATGATTGAGCTTTTAGGTTTATCCTTCCAACATTCTTCAAACTTCGAAACAAGGATATTATGTGGTAATATTGTAGCTTTTCTATTGTGAAGAGATTAGAAATAACGAAAACCTGTAATGATACTGTTATAATTATTAAAGATTTAATTAATTGAAACTAAAAAGAACTTTACAAATTGGGTCATGGCCGGAAGTAATTGCGTGCTAAAAATGGCAAATTATACGTGACATGGATGACCTGTCAGTGTTTGACCTTTTGAAAGCTACGTGTTACAAATATTGTAGTACCTAATTAATTAATTGAAGCACGACATATACTGGTAAATATTATTCTATATTTTATTTCTTTTGCTTCCAACTTTTTTGTATTGTATTATATTTTGTATTGTAACTGTTAAGGTTCAATCTCTTTTTGTCATAAGCCTTTAACCATTAGCATAACATATTTATCTTCTTCTTAATCGGACACTCTTGGCAGAGTGGTCGTGGTGACTTAGACACGATGGACCCACCGCCGGGGGTCCCGCCGGATAACACTTCACCCACAGTTAGTGTAACAACAATCACACCAGTTCGCCCTCGCCTCCGAGCACGGCGAGACCCACACAACGCGTACACAAGGTACACCCGCGTTCCGGGGCGGTTCTCACCGCTCCCAGCCACCGATTAGCTAAATGCACAGTCGACGGCCGTCGGGGTCTCGGTCCGAACCGGCGACCTCGACGGCCCTTAGATGACACACCATAGTAGTTAAACGCACGCATGAGCACATGCGCGACCCTACCCATAGCGGAGGGTCCAAACCCGTGGGTTCTGGCTAGCCCACCGGTTCTGCGTCCGATGAAGCTTTAATAGTCTCGGGACTGAAAGCAAAAACATCAGTTAATACAAGAAGGTACAAGAAGAGTGGTCGTGGCTGTCGATAGACAGGATTGCGTCTTGTCGTCGCTGTTCGCTTTCAGGGCAGCCGCACGTCTTGCGATGTTCCTCCTGTTCTTCCTCCATTGGAGGCGGCTGTGAGCAATGCGAGCACATTGTACTGCGGTGGCTTTGGTAGTGCTGGTGATGAGGTCAATCCAGCGCGTGGGGGCTCGACCTCGAGGTCTTTTGCCTTCTACACGGCCTTGAATGACAAGTCTCTCCATAGAATCTTCCTTTCTAGAGATGTGCCCAAAGAACTTGAGAATTCGTAGTTGGACAGTCGACGAAAGTCTATTTTGTATATGAAGTTCTATATTTATCTACTTTAATAAATACCTACAAACAACTTTATCCGGGCATTTGAATGGAATCTTGTTTCCGGTTTTTAGGGTAAATTCTTGATTTGAAAAACACTTGATTTTTAAAACATCTTATATGTTTAATATATCTACTCAGCAATACAATTGATGTGCCAAAAGATTAACTTAGTATTCAAAACGCACTATCTTGTATCAGCATATAATTTTCTTTATTAGAAAGTGTGTTTCTGTTTTAAAACAGCCGGATTTTGCATTACAAAAGATTGGCATTATCCCAATCAAAGAGAGCCAGTGTGAGATTCACATGCTCCAACACAGCCTCTATTTCCGACAAAATTCAACCTGACTGAGCAAGTAGGAATACTCGCACTAGATCTATTATAAGTACCATTTCTTCATTTTGCTCTGTGTCTGTAACATTTTTAACGTAATAGGCTGTGCATTAAGAACACTTACAAATCTATCACTGCATAACTTTGGTCATTATGCACCCCTTGCCTGTTGCACATTTTGTTATCAAGGTCGGTCGTTAAATTATTGTATATTTTAATTGTTGGTAATTACGCATTAACGTGAGCATTTTACTCATACAAAAAATATAAAATTACATTGCAGAAATTAAAGATTTTGCGGGTTGCAATACTTTGTGATTATAAAAAATACTTTTTGATTTGAATGAAATGAACGAGACGCCTGAGAATTCTGAAACTGGTACCGCAGATGCTAAAAAAACAGTAAAGGAAGTGACCGTTATTCAAGACGAAGGGTTCTTCTGCCACGATACCGGCGATACCTATAATGGATTTTTCGAGGTTAAGAAAAAAGACAAAAGCGTCAAAATGCATGGTAAAGACGAAAATCAAAACTATTAAATTTTATTTAAAAAATAGCTACCGACAGTATAATATGAGATTGCTGTGATTGAATATGTGATTGTTGATCCTTTGGTGTAGCATTTCGTATTTCATTCTCTATGGGTCCAAAGCTTGCTCTCTAAATCCGAACTCGGATCCAACCGAGCATCACGGTGCGTTTTTGTCTTTTATAAAACGGGGTTTAATGGACCGTACTCAGATCTATTCCGGCCCGTAATGCGTTACGCTCCAATTACGTAAAACGTCGGATTCGGCTTTGTTTTGCGTCAAAGCGAATTCCTGTTTTTAAAATCATTGACTGTTACTAACTTGAAAATAATGAACAAAGCAAAGTGTATCTCACTTTCTCACTCGTTGTAGATATCAGATTATAGACCATTTATTGTCTATAATTAACAATTTTTCCGATTATCAGAGTTTAAAAGTTCATTATTCCTTTATATTTACGCGCACACATTATTGAATTACATTATATTACATTAGGATTACATTGCATTTATTTACGTACTTAATTAATAAAAGGCGAAGACATCAATTAATGTCACTGTAAGGCCGGGCTACCTCCAGGTTAAAAATAAATCGAATATAATTAGTAATAATATAGCAACTGTGGCGACTTGGTGGCGCCGTTGTCAAGCTTTTGGTTTCGGCGTCGGGGGCGTTGGGTTCGATTCCCACACGGGACTAGTATTTGTGTGACCGATGATTATTCCGGATCTGGGTGTTTGATTCCCAAGGCGGGTGGACGTCAGCCAGGCGGCCGGTCGTAATAAACATAGATAAAACCTCTTACAACATGATTCACATGTTGTACCGACCCCACATAGGTGGAATTGGGGAAGGAGGATGGTGATGATAATTCGTAATAATAACTATTTGTCATTCAATAATAATACAATGTTGATGTATATGTAATACCTCAAGCTTTTGTCTTAGTATTGGATATACAGCTAATTTATTGTTGAAGTAAGGTTTATAAAAAAATAAATCCATAAAGAAAGACAATGCATTCTTTGTCCTAAATCTAGAACTGCTAAATTGTATCTATATTGACTGTCGTAAGTAAAGTTACCTCAATAAAGGTAACCAGAGTAAAAGGAAAATTGCTACATTCAGTAAGTCCAACGTCGAATGACATAATTATTCTTTAAGGACACGGCATTTATACGACGGCTGAGGGCGACTCGTACGAAGGCGTTTGGGAAAACGACAAACTCGGCGTGGCTGATGACGTCTTGATCACGTATAGCGACGGCTCCAGATACGAAGGCCCGCTGAAGGACTGGTGCTATAATGGTCGCGGGAGATACGTTTACCCCGACGGTAGCGTGTTACACGGCGAATTCGTGGACAACTGCCCGGTCGGCAATTTGACCCTGGTCGACCCTAACGGGCACACGTGGCTAGGCAAAGCCGAGCAAGGTTACTGTTGGTATCAACCCGTAAATCATTACTACGATATACTGGAGAAGACGCGGGAAACAACGTACGAAACATCGTAGGGACGGGGAAAAAACTTTCTAATGTGACGTCCTACGTGTTGACTGCACTATATAACTTTATCAAATACTAAGCATTACGAGTATATGGTAAAATTACGGCACTACTACTACGTGCAACTATGGGAGTTGAAAATAAATTATGAAAGTATATCTCTTAATATGACTTAATGACATGTTTTTACTGATTTTTGCTTATTGAGTAACGGTGAAATTATATTTTAAACTCTATATGTAGAGTAAGAGTGTAAGACATATAAATTATAACGCGTTATAATTTTAATTATCAGCATTACTTTGCAATATTTAAAACATTTACTTATCATACGAAAAATTTCAAGTAATATCAAATGTTTTGATTTAAATGTCTTAATTTGTTTTCATATTCATCTATTTATTTATTTTATATAACTTACAACATTATTGCAGGTACTCATATAATTATTAAACAAGTATTGTTACATATGATAGTCTATAAAATACATTAGAATCCTTGTATGCCACTGTTTACCGTTGCACATTTGGTGAAGAGTTCATTAAATTTCACGGTAGCATTTCGTGACAGGAAACATTGATACGCACGCCACGATGAAAACGTTAGGTGACAATAACATAGGAATTGCATAAGTGAACGTCGGACGCCAACACGCTACTAAATTTATCGAGATTTAAGTACATTCTACGTAGCGAGTAAACAATCACACAAACCGAGTAAACAAGGGAACGCTCTCCGGAGTTGTGAAAGAGGTCGCTCTTTAAGGTGTTAAGAACACTTGGCAACTTCGTCAGTCGAGATAGGCATTTATTTGACACTTTACCATTTGAACCCCACTTGGGCACAGCTCTCTGTTTATAGTACACTCGGGTGCAAACGTGTTGAAATATATTTTTTTTCATTCATAACTCAAGGACTTTTTGAAAATTTGAGGGTTCTCTTCTGTACGCATTTGTACTACTTGTTTATTATTATTATTGACAAACCAACATAAGCTATTGACAAGCTGGTATACAAATTGATAAAATAATGAAATCATGCTCAGCTTTATTATGTATTGGCTTATTATGTATGTACAACTATGACAGATATACAACATTTTTAACATTGTGACTTTAATTTTTTTTATTGGTCATTTGACTATTTGCTTCATTCTTACAATATATGTTTCATTCTTACAGTATAAGTTATTTCAGAATAATTGGCTTATGTATGCGAGTAAATTTAGGGAATTAAAAGAGACTTAAAAAGAGAAATAATGTAATAAAACTACGCGACAGATAACATGTTATTATTATGTTTTTAAAAATAAACATTTCCTTTAAGTTTGCAGTTAATGTTCTATTCTTTAATATTTATTGACCGCCTCGATTGAAAAAATATCTTAAGCACATTATTATCCAGAACACTATTTTCTAATGAATAATAAAAAATTCGCAGCCAACCTTGTTAGAGAATCAGTTTTTTGAGGCTTAATTTTCAACTTTTTATTTGTAAAATATTTTAAAATTATCGCTTCACATGTAATTTATTTGTCCATTACGTAACGTTGAATTAAGAGAACCATAATAATGAACACATGTAGCTAAAACAGGAGTTGCAAATAAGCGAACGCCTACACGATAACAGTGACCTCAGCTTATTCCGCGCGCTTAGACTTTTGGCCTCGACTATACACCCACTATAGGCCGCGGCTCCATTCAGTCTTAGTTTCAACATTTGTTTTAAATGTTAACTAAGCTCACATTAAACACACGACTTAATTTGTCTATGATCGTATCGATTATTTCTGTTGAAACATTTAACGCTCATCCATACGCTCTACAATACTATACAATTTGATGTAGAATATTTAGGAATTTTTCACCATTAATTCTATTACACGTAAATAAAGTAACACCAACAGACCCGGAGTAAAGATTCCCTTGCCGAACAAGCGTTTAATGTTTTACTTTTTAATTCGAGTCTTAAATTAGGTTTTCCCTTAAGATAAATAACACTGGAGAAACTTTAACAGTTTGTAACATGTTTTATCAATACTGCCAAATCTAATGGTATAGATTTAAAACAGAAGAAATACGCACATTTTAGGTGTGTATTCGCGTGACTGGGGCATATTAATTTTGGATAATAACAAGTTATTTTTGTTGCCGATTGGGATGGGCGTTATAATTAATATATCGGCGTTTATATTGTTGAATCCATTGCCATTTTTATAAATTTTCTTAATGTTTTCTAATAATCCTCAATCTTACCTTAAAACTTACAGAGTTGATACAATATTGACCTTTAAACCAACGGATGCCGTCGGTCTTTAGTTGAATTTTTAGCATCTTCTTTGTTTTTGAACACATACTTTTTGGTAATATCGGTTGATATTGTTGTGGTTTCAGTATCTCTATACTTCTTTCATCTCTTTCAGTATCTCTGACATGAGAAGACCTATAATGGTGCTAGTACAAAACCAGTAATATAACGCATGTGCACCAGGGTGTACGGGTAAACTTGAAAGGTGGGGCGCTTGCTCGTTACCACCTTTATTCACAAGGAAAAAAATTCGTCATTAGTTTCGAAGGCTGGATTGTTTGGCTGCATTATGTCTAAAACCCCATTTTCATTTAAAAAGCTTTAAGCGCTACGCAAAACGAGGAGTAATCGAGCGAACGCTTTATTTGTGTTTCGACACTTGAACTCCGTCACCGATGATGTCTTTACTACTGTAAAAATACTGCGCACCCATAAAATGGACGACTTGTTATCGTAAATTATACAGCATAAAGAGCCCATTTTTAAATTTAGAATATAAAAGCAATCCTCAGTTGAACTTTTTTGTTTTGACACTGGGAACCATGCAATTGGTAAAACCATTAAATATAATTTCATTTCCAGTCTTTTATTTAAAACTTTTGTTTTCTAAAGCCGTGATAGCTCAGTGTCCGGGCGCTCGCCTTTAATTCGATAGACTCGAGCAACCTGAGTTCGATCCCCGGTGCTGGCACCAATGAAATTGTTACTTTCAAGTGCTGAATTATCACGTGCGGTGAAGGAAAACATCGTGAGGAAATCTGCATATTTTCGAAATAATAATAAAAAATAATTCGACGATATGTGAAGTCCGCCAATCCGCAGTGGGGCCGCCTGGTGGACTATGCCCTGATACCCTCTGTACAGAGGAGGCCTTTGCCCAGCAGTGGGGCATGTATAGGCTGATACTTTACTTTTTTTTCTAAAACAAGGTGAATCTCTTCAGTATATTAGGTATTATTCCGTATACATTGTCATTTTACTGTACCTGCCGATTAATTTACTGTATTTTTAATTTCTTTTCTTTTATTCTTTTCTTTTATTTTAAATAATATTAATAATTACGAATATTTCAAACTATAATTTGAAGTCTCTAAAACTAGTACTGTTCTTTTTGTATGGGTACACCAACAGACATCGAATCCGCGCAATCGCAAGGCATAAATCATTCGTTCGATGACATCATCAACTTGATTTAGTTTTATAATTCGTATCACCTTTCAAATCGATTGCGGGCTTTGAATTTTGGTTTCAGGACAAGTTATTTTTAAATTTTGTTTGCCTGAACATTATTTAATGGTCTTATGGGGCGCCAAACATTCTATTTTTCTTCTCTTTTGCTTTTATATGTATAACTAACTATCGAGTTATGTTCTAGATCATTGAGGAGATTTACGTATCTGAGAGCCAAATGCCCACGTTTGAAACGATGTTCCTTAGGGCATACACTTTCTGTAAGTGGGAATCGAACCAAGACTCTGGCTGCTGAATCTTGTACTGAGTAAGACGCATTACTTAGCAAAACCATTATGAACAGTAATCTTATTGTATTTATATTTATAGAGGTTTACTACAACGAATATCAAATATATTATAAAAACGTGAAAGAAACAATATGGAATGGCCATTTTCTAAATCAACCCAATACTTTTTACAAATTATTCAATAATTACCATATTAAATTCCTTTTTTTAGAATAAAAATTGTATTTGTTATTTCTTTTAAAAAATAAACACACCAAACAAATGATGAAAAAAGATAAAACAATTCAAAGATGATAACGAATCTTGGAGCTATTTTGTGAAGAAGATGACGACTTTCTCCCAATCGGGTCACGGAAATTAAGCAACTAACCTAATTAAATAAACGCGGAACCACTCACTGATAGCACTGAAACGTCGCCTTATCGTACGTCCGTACGGGCGAGGCGCGTCGCTTTGTACGTGAATTGCTGGCGCGAAGGTACGGTAACTTAGAAGTTCGGCAGATGTCGGCGCGTAGAGACGTAGGCGCGAGCGACCGCGCGTGGAGCGCGTTGCCCGCGCCGCCCTCCGTCGCCTTATCAGCCTTATCAGCCCTTATCACTTACGCATCGCGAACTGATCGCGCAACGCCAGTCGATTCGAACACGTGCGAATATCCTAGCCGCGTCTGACCCGCGTCCAGCCATGTCCGCGAGGTCCGTGTTTTTTCTCAATCTGTGCGTTTTCCTCGGATTTGCCTTCGCTCAAGGTGAGTTTCTCGTTTGGTCGCGGGGTTTTCTTTTTCAGGCGCGCTAATTGTTCAACACAGAACGGTAGGCGAAGGCGTCGAGTGCGTAAGTCATTATCAGTTGATACTGGCACGTTATTCCAGTACTAGTACAGTAGTAGTAGTTTAGTTAAAATGTAACCGTGAATACTTTTAATTTAGTATTACTGTGAAGGGTGCCATTACAGTTCCATTAGGGGTAATAGAATACATTTATATTCCATATCACAACACGAAGCATCAAAGGATAGATTCATTTTACATCTGCGTGTACATAAAACTAAAATGTGTAACCGAAATAACCGTAACATGCCCCGGAACCCACCTGTTACGAGCGCGGCTTTACAGAAATAGAATAAATCCCGAAACGGAATGACAGTTTTATTCCGAAGAAGGATACGAATGAATCTTTATTTCCTTTCTAACTGCAACGAATCCGCTCACAGATCTGATGTTGTAAATGTTCGTGAGTTACATTCAATAGGATGCCGAAGAGCATTTAAAACATTAGCACTTCAACGTTAGCTGGTCAATTTTTGCAAAGATAGAGCAAGGATATCATACAAGACATGTGCACGTTGCCATTGCTTTTGTAAGCACAAGACCGAAGAGAAATCTTCAGTATATACAGTTTGTTAGAATATTTTGAAACTGCGTCCTAAAATTTATTTATGTTTTGCTACAGTAACATACAACGTAACCGATGTAAATAGTATTTATGTTAGTATTATTTACATTTTCGTTCGCATTCGCTACTATGTTTGACGTTACAAAGTTCGTACGAAACAATTGTGTTTGAAAACAACTAAAGATTTTTATTTGATGTAGTTGATTTTTAGATTGAATGGGTATTAAAGTAAAAGTAAAGTAAAGTAAAATATACTTTATTGTACACCAAAAGAAATAAAGGATTTATAACTAAAAACAGATGGGTCACAACAGGCGGCCTTATCGCTAAAACAGCGATCTCTTCCAGGCAACCTTAGGGCAGAGAAGTCATTAAAAGAAGAAAGCGGTAGGGTGTAAATAAATAATAATAAAAGTAAATACACAGAAAAAAAAATATGATGGACGACAGATAGTATATTAAGAAAGGGTATTCAATGAAATTCCAAAACAGGCAACTGACATCAATACGTCAATCTCGTTATCGGTACCTCACGGGTCATGTATCGATCGTATTTTTCTAATATAACTACGATTTATTATATACATGTATATATTTTAGTTAGATTGATGCATAAAATGTATGCATACGGTATAAGCTTGGTGGGGTAGACAGCTAATGTTATTTTTTAAACATCTTTAGCGGTGAGTCACCGTAACTCGGCACTGAGCGTGAACGGTTGTTGGTGTTAAAAATCTGCAAAACAAATTCCCTAGCGCGAACAACTGAACCCGCGATCTCATATCGAAATCTTCTAACTACTTTTTTTAAAGATGTATGTGTTTTATATTTATTTTACAACAGGTGTGTATTTAAATTAAAATTTCGGTACAGAAGGAATTTTCATTGTTCATCTCAAAAGATCTGCAATTACTTTACACGTAGTTAATGTTTAAATCAAACTAAACCAGGTGTTTAATTGACTGAGAAATTAATTATTATAAAAATAGTGATGCCTAATTAAATTATAATTGTTTTCAATAATGTAATAATGAAGTATTAAAAAAAATCTACTTTTATATGCAATAAAAGTATATTCAACAAGTTAAAGTGAACTTTTGTATTCAAATATATATTCATAAAAATTCAAAGAGCATGATTATGATATAAAATATAGTGATGTCCATTACACCAATTTTAGTCCAGATGGCTTAATTTGTAAAACGATACCAAGCCATCTGTCTTGTATAATGTTTGTCCTAACAGGAGCTTTGATGTAGTAAAATTGATACATATTCGATTGAAGACATCCTTTTATAATAATTGATCAAAATTTTCACAGTTTGTGTGGTTAGTGTAACGAAAAACTAGTCTTGTGGTAATCATTCATTCAAAATTCTATAGTTACTTCCACATTGACCTACATATATAATTATAATATCAAAATCGGTAACAATAAAGTGCCATAATAGTTTTATCACATATTGAAAGCGCACAGTGAAACTCATAACATTTGTACCAAAGTAGAACTAAGAAGCATCTGCTGTCGTTACAAAAGTGGGCAAAACATTAAGTTAAAGTAGTTATACTTTTACTCTACGAATCTTGAGATAACTCGGTCCACCCTCTTGGAGACATGTTACGGAATGTAAATAAATCATGCAAAGTAAACCATGTTGAATGGCTTTTCTGAATGACCATGACCACAGCAACCTTTACTGAATTTGCCGAACCGATTGGCATAGTGAAACCTGTCTCGTACGCCAGAGTTCGATCCCCACCACTGGAAATGAATTGTACGATGACCGTAAGATTTTTCCGGTGTCTGGCTGTTTATATATTTATAATATCTGTTTATTTACAAAATAAAAGTATGTTTAAGTATTTTTAATTGCCTTATATCTATAGTACAAGCTTGGCTTAGTTAGATAACGTCGCGTAAAAATGTGTCCGGAAATATTTTCTATTATATCTGGGGGAAGGCCAGATCTTATAATGACAAAATATGATTTCGTTATTCAAATATCGTTTTTGGTTTTATTTTCACTTTTTAGGAAGGTAGCGTGCGTAGAATGTTTTTTACCATCAGTACATTGCCATTAACATAGATGTTTCTATTACTGAACAGATAACGTTTCACAGGCCCCGTAATTATTGGGTGTTGCCGATCGATACCATCAATTTGTTCCGGATTCGTTTCTCGGTTGCGTTGAGAGCAGCATCCGACACGTGCGCGCTACATTGGGATAATTTGTGTGTTCAGGCAACACCGGCGTTTATCGAACTTGTAGGAAGTGTATTCGCGTTGAACCTCTTAGTTATCTCATGTACCTATCATCAATGCATCGTCCAATTAATCTGTTATTTGTGGTATTACTTTCAATCCTGCAAAAAATGTTGCAATTCGTAAAGCCGATGGTTCTAAATATGTTGGATAGAACTGATTGATCTGTTTTCGCTTATTGCTTTCGTATAACACTAAATGTCAATTATGTTTGAACGTTGAATCAAATGAGACGGGAGAAAGTAGAACATTGGAAAAGCCCTACAATCCGAGTCATCTGATTAAGCTGCATTGTATCAAGATGGCGTGAACAAGCCAGCTTTTGATTAGATATCTGATTATTTCTAAAATTATTACTACAGTTTAGGCTTCATAATAAAACCAATTTCCGTATGTCGTTAATACGGTTGATTTGCTTTCAATACATTTTCTACTTTTTAACCGGCAGTTTTTAATCAAAGCAACGGCAAGTGATGGCTTCTTCTTGATAATCTGAAAATCGTTAAAGAATATAAAAACTGGCAAAACTCACTACCATTGAAAGACACGAGTGATTAAATAGGGGTTGAGTATTTTTGAAATGAAATGGAGTACTTCACTCTCTCTGATGAATTATAACGTAATTATAAGGAGTCTATTTGCGGATATATCTCATAAGATAAACATCTTGATGTCTAATTTTTTGACAGTGATGCTTCCAAATATACGACCAAAAGAATCTACAGGCTTGTATAGTGTAGGACGCTTAATACGCCTTTTGCTCGTTCCATAAAAGCCCATATTCACCACAATAAAACTAAAACCACTTGAGGTAGAACGCGTAAACGCGTTGGAATATCTATACGTATATTTTGTATTATTTGTGACGCGACCGATAATCTCGTTAACGCCTACATAAATTGTGTCAACACGAACTCCACACAGAAAAAGTGTTTGGCGATCTAATTCCCTTGTTACATATGACATACACGATTCTATTATGACGCACATAATGTTATGGACCTTAATGTTATAAACTCCTTTTTACATTACAGTCATTGTAGATATGTAAGTGAATATTCTAAGAGAATTCTAATATAATAAAATGTACACTACAACATTGCTATACTTTTATATTATTTTTGTATCCAATGATCTAAAAACTGTCATTAACTATTCGTAAAACTTTAGTATCTTTACATATATGAAGATATAACCATATATTTTGAAGATAAGGTTAAGATTAATTTATTTTTGATTCTTTAATTTTTATTGTTAGTTTATTCTTTGTATTTATTTTTTTATGAATTACTTAGTTTTTTTATTTATTATACTTTGTAACAAATATTAAATTGTGTAAATATGTTTACTGTTGGTGTGTCTATACCAATAAAAAAAGTGTGAAATAAAACAGAAAAATTATTGTGATCATATCGAGTAGTTTTTCCGTGATGCACGCACAATCTCTATCATTTTATTTGGAATTTAAAAATGGACTTAGCGAGATTAAACCAGTAAAGATTTCTATTTATGAAATGCCTTTTTTCCATAAGAAGTTTAATTCGTTTAATTACTTAAGGCGATCAGAGTATAAGGCACTAAGCTTCGTCGTCTATTCAGCTAAACTATTGCTTCATCATGCTTGATAAACTTAAAGCCCTGACCGATAATATGGTGGCCCGATCTAATTTGTAGCACGTATTCTTATTTAGAAATTTGTAAGAACTGATGACCAAACGAGAATGAAGGCGCAGCCCTCGCAGGCACGACAGGCTCGACAGCAGCAGTTGCCCTACGAGGTTGTCAGAACTTCGTATGACAAAGTCAATATAAGACCACCCCTGCGAGATGAATTTGGGCACAATGTAGGTAGTTGCGAGAGACCGATGAGTGCAGATGACCGAATCTTTGTCTTTGGAGGAGATGTATATTGCTGCATTGATAATGACACATTGCTTGTTTTCTAAAATTATTAATACCTATTGAAGTCTTCTGCAAACGACCAAAACTTGTTGCCATATGGATCATTCGTTCATTTATGGCGGTAGAGCCGTGAAGTAGTTGCTGTTGTGTGAAAAGGTTGTCTCGTACAGGATAACGTTACACCTTCGACACGAGACCGGTGTACAGCAGAAAGATTCGACTTTTGCATCTCATCAGGTGAGTGAGGTAATCGGATACCACCCTCTTAATGATAACCAATGCAACAATTACTCCGCCGGTGCTGTGGGTGTCTACGTATTACAGAGATTATATATGAGAGCGAACGGCCAGATAGTTTGTCCCGTTCATAAAAAGTCATGTTACAACAGTTTCAATATCGGTATCCATCCATATAAGTAAGCGGAGGTCCTCCATTTTAGAATTAATGCAAATTATTAACGGCACCGGTGCGTGCGCTCGGATATTTAAATAATAGTTTGGCTGCAGACCCACTTCCTTGCCCTTTCCGAATACTAATGCCGACTATAGCATTATTAATACTTCCAATTAAATTTAACGATGAGGTATTAAGCCCCCTGAAATATCGATCTTTAATGGCGCAATGTGTTTATTGTAAATATTTTATCTGTGCCATATGGAAAATATATTCATCATGACTGAAATAATATTGATTAGCAATTTTGATAGATCGATTGAAAATAGTATCTAATAAGCAAATAATATTAATTCGTTACCGACACGTAAGGGTCAGAATGTGGCATTAAAATGTTGTTCGCTTAGACAAAATTTCATATTTATAAATTTACATTAAAACGTTTTATTTTTTTCCTACAAGGCAGTGGTACTTCCCCAGATGACGCTGACTATATCCACTCGACAGTAGAAGCTGTGTCGAGATGCTACCACAGTTTTGTATTTTAAAATTTAATGAGAATTCGTTGTCTATGGATATTATATTTAAATTTGATAATATCTATATATTTTTTTTTTGTGCTAATCTCTGCACTTAAGATTAAACATTAAAACTTGTAGAAAAAGTACGAAAAGATTGTCGCCGCTGATATTCGAAATTGTATAATTGTAGGTAATGTTTAATACATTCAATTCATCATACAAGCCGGGGAGGGTCGCTAGTCATTAATATTTGGTGGCTAATTTTTTGAACCATTTTCTTAGTCAGAAAAAGTAAGACAACTGGATCAAGTCTGAGGAAAGCGAGCAGAAAAAACTTGCTAAAGAACCTGGTCAACTTTTGCCAAACGACACATAAATGTAAGACATATTGGCACTGTGTGTCGCACCCACTCATTCCGCTATTTGTAATCTCAAATTTGTGTCTTTGCCTTAAAATCGCGCTAGCATATAAACCCAATGAAGGGAGACGTGTGTACGCGATTTTCGTTTGATAAGTTTAATGGTCTATCTCAAAGCAATAAACGCCTAAAGCAGCAAAGAGCATTACATCCATGAACTGGTTCTTATCTGGCGCCCACACGTGCTGGGAAGCTTTGACAAAAGGCAGGTGGCTTGTGTAGGATTTAACTCTTACGTCATATTATCCATTAATTCACGTTCTCAATTGTTTATGAGATTGTTATATGTGAATAGGATTCAAAATCCGATTTCATTATTTCTACTTTTTTGAGGGAAATGTACTTAGGTGTAGTAGATATGTACGTTAGCTTCAAGTCCGTCGTAATGTAATTTAAGTATAAATTTGATATGAGTCATCATGATCATCATCATCATCATTTCAGTCCACTGCTGGATGTAGGGCACACCCACAGAATATGAAGTTTTCAATTATTTTAAGTTTTCTTCTTACATGACCTATCTGATATTTGTGATAACTATTAAAATATAATTTTAATAACACGATAATATATCAGTACTTTTTATTTTTTTAAGTGTTGTTTTAGTAGGGCTCAGAGCGTTTCATAAGGATCAGTTTTAATAAATGGTCTCTTTACCTTTAAGTTAATATGGATACCTAATATTTATTTACGACTTACAGTTAATGGGTCATAAATTAAAGAAGGTAATAAATGTAGAACGAGCGGAAATATGAATACTTTATAACTTCTTTATCTCCAATTAGTTACCCAACCAGCATATGCACGTCCTTTCAATTGTATGAACATAATTAGCCCTAAGTTTATTTCTTGCTATTAATAAATATTCAAAACAGGTAGTCGATTTTTGATTCAATCGGGCAATTCTATATTTTTTTTTCTTTACAAAAACATACTTTTCATACATACATTCATTTCATTTCATACTTACTTACATGAGTTTTCTCCAAGTAGACAGAGATTTTCGCGTTAAAAAGTTGTTAAGAAATCTATTTATCATGTAATCGAATTTTATTCTAGTCAAGCTAAATTGTGCGGTTTCGCAAGCAAGTGGATATTATTTTTTTTCTTTAATATTTTTTTTTATTTAGCCTCAGAACGCGAAGTATTATTTTGGTAATTAAAAAGTGAGGGAATAATAGTGAGTTGAATTTTAGCCGGTTTTTAAGTCCAGCAGCGCACCTCATCCATATTCTACACGCGCAGGGTTGTCGGCAAAAACTGTCAGTGAAAAAAAACGTGCGTCCCGAAACAAGTTACACTGAAAAGGATATTTTATTTGATATCGTTCATCGGTTAGGGTTTATAAACACATTCGTTCAACCCTAAACCTTTGCCTTTGTAACGTGTTCCCGCCCCTTGCTTGCAGTTCAACAGCAGCTACTGAACAAGCTGGTTTGCATCGAGCACCAGGAGTGCGGTGCTTGTCTGTCCGCTGCTGCGCACTGCCGCTGGTGCGCGGATCCGTACTACAGTTCCGCTGCTCCCAGATGCAACGATGATGAAAGGTGATCAATCAATACTCGTACTATGTGAAAAGTAAAGTGACAGCCTATAAGCCTATATATGTCCCAGTGCTGGATACAGGTCTCCTCTGTACAGAGGGTATTACGACATAGTCCACCACGCGACCCAACCGCGGATTGGCAGACTTCGCATATCTCTGAAATATTTTATTTTTTTAATTATTTATACCATTTTCATACCTTGTGAACACTGAACGATAAATGCAGATATAAATGCTGCGCGTTAACTTAACCGCTGCTTAACATTCTAAGATCAAGAACATATATAAGTAATTTTTTAAAATTTTAAACTATTCAAGTAACATAGTATTTAGCAAGGGAATATAGTTATGTAGTAGAGTTTAGTATATAAGTATTTCCTCTCGATTGATGCAATTCATTTCATCATTTCACTGAAAACTGACAAATAATGTTAACTACCCACGTACGTCTCTAAAAGGTTGATGGGATATAGATCTAAGGTCACGAGTTCGCGTACCGAATGTTTACTTTACAATTTCTTGAGTATAAATGGCATTCAATAAGCCATATTCGTGAAATATGGTGATAGAAAATAATGTTGTAAATTTTCTTAACCGACACTGTAGCAGACTTTAATGATCAAACAATTAAGATTTCGTGGCATTCAATTAAAAGAATTGACGAATTCACTCTTCACTATTACCATATAAACTAACGGTACGCTTAACCTACAGTCGACAAAAGGTATAAAGACGAATGCACTTTAATGAGATGCAGATGGGTTATATTTTATCATCAAGGCGTTAGAAAAGAAAGGTAACGTAACAAAAAAACATCATGACATCAAAGCATTCCACTTCGTGACTTACTTGACACGTTTTACGAAAGTACAAGTGAGCTACTTTCGTAAAACGTACATCAAAGATATACAAAGAATCGAATGAAAGAAGTTTGGAAGGTATAAATTTGAAGAAAAAGTCTTCGGGCCCCTTCGACTACTTTTGATGTGAAAACTATAGTCACGTTGGGCAAATTTGGATGGGAAAAATTTTATAGGTTCGCGTCACAGACATGCTAATGTCACGTGTTTTGTCATTGACGTTAGTGACGTTGTAAATTTGATATCAGACGTTTTTGATTAGTAAAATCAGACGTATTTGATTAGTAAAATGTTTTGTTTGTTGGTTTAAATTTTAGAAATAAAATAGGTCTGTTGCAATTTAAATAAAAAAAACACATTTATTCCAGTTCGTGGAATACGATTCTGTTGGAGTCCCCATGACTGATTATTTTTAACCAATTTCTCAATTCGACTCTATTTTTATTAATGATCTAAACTATTAATAAATTATTGGCGTGTATTTTACACTTTGTATATAATATTTAGTTGATGCAAAAATGCATGGTCTTTATCACTTAATTTTTTTTATTTATTTATTCTTTATTGAAAACACCTCAAAAGGGTTACAAAGGGCGGACTTAATGCCTATTGGCATTCTCTACCAGTCAACCCGGGGCGTGAGGAGAAATCGTGGTAGGTGCAATAAATAAAATTGCATAATAAATTTATGTGTATATTGTCTGGTGTCTTAATATATGTATATTTAATATTTTAAAATATCTGCATGCTATTTACCCTTAGCGAAAGTGATCCGTTGGTTCATGACGTTGGGATTCGAACTCGCGACCTTAAAACTTAAAGACCGAGGTCACCGGCACTAGTCCATCCCTGACATAACAAATTGAATCCTCTTAATAGTTACGTCAACCGAGTTATAAGGTTCTGTTAGAGCGACGGGTGTTCGGCAGATCCCACGTATTCAGACGGGGTCTCGCGAAGCCCTAAACGCGCAATAAAAGCGATCCGTCACGCGCCAAGACGAATTTCCACAGCGCGCCGTTTACAAACATCAAAGCGGTCGCAGCACATCGCATTCCCACGTTGCCCCGACGCGTTCACCCGCCCACGGAGTGATCAAGTCCCGTGATTGATCATGATCGTGATCATGGTCATGGAGATGTTTTTATTTCGACGCACGCCGAGTCGGCTAATGTTATCATTCGAATCGACAATCAACGGCGCTTCGGAACAAAGGGGATATTGTTCCCGGCACCGACGTCCGACTGCACAACGCGTTTTAATTGCGCGCATGTAGAAATCGCCTCTAACGCGTCACTGAGCTTTTTGTTAATGATGCTTTTAACGAAAGGATTGACATTTACGGAATGTTTGAATTGAGATGAGAGTCAAAGCTGCCCTCATTTCGCAATACTAAAAGAATGTAATAATGGATTTTCCTGAGTCTTACATAGAGTCATATATATACACTTACAAGGCAAATACTTCGGCAACGGGGTTGGACCGCTGCCAGGCAGGCGGCTGGTTATAAAAAACATAGCCAAAACCCCTTAAAACACGATTCACATGTGTTGCTGACTCCACCTATGTGGTATAAGGCAAGGAGTATGATAAATAAGCCTTCTTCTCCCTGAGATTGGTAAAATAGCGCGTCACTTTAATCTATCTCGATATAATCTTTCGCTTATCGCACATTCTCCAGGTTTTTCATACATGTTATTACACTTTTTCACATACCATACACACGGATATTTATATTGCATTTATTTTCTTCTTCTTCTAGTTTCCACCCGTAACGTTTGGCAGTGTAAGAAGAATAAGATATATATATATATATCATATAGATATATATATATATATATATATCTTATTCTATATCTTATTCTTCTTACACATAGCAGTATAGAATAAGATTGATGAAAAGTGCGACAACTTTAGCTTGCACCGTTATTCTCGCAACTATTAGAATTAATTCTTAGGTGTCTGTTTCTTGTCTTTATATTTCAATTACGGAATATTTCAAACTGTTCTTCACGAAACTTAAGACTTATACCACTAATGAACTTAATGATAAATTTTCGATGTTCACAGATGACGTTTAATATTTAAATTAAGCGCACAAATTGTAAAAAGAAATCTTTTTAATTTCATTAGATAAAGTATTTGGGTTGTGCGGTAGATAAGAATGGTTAATGTTCTTTCTCCAGCTTAGTGTCAACGGGATGCAGTCAGGGTATGATCCAACGTCCTGAGAAGCCGATTTGGCAAGTGGCCGAGAATGTTTCACTCCAAGACATGCAGCCGGGCAACCATGAGGCCGTCGTTCAAATACAACCGCAAAGAATCAAGCTCTCACTCAAACCGAGTAAGTAATTTAACGCATAATAATCTGGAATTTGTTACAAATAGAAAGCAGCTATTGCTCGGTCCTTTGTAGGGTTCTTATATTATTATATTACTATTTGTATGAGTAATGAAAAGGAATAAAATCTTGAACACTGCTTTAGAGTTACCACCCGCAACCTGCTCACAACCACCACAAGTATAACCGGAAGAAAATGCTATTAAGCATTAAGTTCACCTTTGTACAAACATTTTGGTGCAATAAAGAATTTTCAATCAATAAATTGGTGTGATTGGAAGACCCGACCTCAGTCTGCGACTCTCTTCTAGTAGCTCGCGAAACCAACTGATTTAGAGACCAATTATCTGTATATCGGTTTGAAAGCGAAATCACTCAGCTATGGTAGTTTGAATTCAATAATCAATATCAAATAATACTTTTCCGTTTTATTATTAACTAGTGACCCGCCCGTCTTCGCACGGGTGCTTTCCTCTTGAATCACTCTATCTAGTAACAAAAAACGCATCAAGATCCGTTGCGTAGTTTTAAAGATCGACTAAGCATACACAGGGGTCATAGGGAAAGACAGACTGCGGGACGACTTTGTTTTATACTATGTAGTGAAAGCAAATGTAAATATTGACTTCAAAATTGTTACAGGAGAGACTCAGAAAATTAAGTTTGCCTATAGACCCGCAAAGAATTATCCCTTAGATTTATATTACTTGATGGATCTGACATGGTCCATGAAAGATGACAAGGAAACTCTGGTGTCCCTACGTGATGATTTACCGGCTCTGTTAAAGAATCTTACGGATAATTTCAGGTACTTTTATTTTATTTATGCTGTATTTGGCATAAGAAAAGCAATAAATATCTGCATTTTTATCGCACATCTCCTTAAAATATGGAGCTTAGACTTAAACAAATGTTAATTCTATACGAACTTTTAATAGATGATCCTTCAAACTATATGTTTGTTTTTGATTTCGTTCGGCATTTCCAGACTCGGTTTTGGCAGTTTCGCGGAAAAGCCATTGATGCCGTACATTAGCGTAGATCCAAGGAGACTCGCCAATCCTTGTTCAGTTGAAGAGGAGGCGTGCGAAGCCACTTATAGTTACAGACATCATCTCTCACTAACTAACAAGGTATTACATTATTAGGTATTACATATTGTTTTTATTTTTTACAACGCATAACTTTCATTGTATACATTGGTACATGCTTCTATTTTATATTTTCATATTAATATAAATAACGGTGTTTAAATACGAACTGTGGAATAAACATAGCACGTAGACGTTTTACGAATAACTTCTTATGATTATGTAGTAATTTTACCTCATAATTATAACGTTCTAACGACTAACTACAGACTTACTTAATTCGTAGCTCCATCTAGCAATGACATACAGAACTGAATTCTCGCAATCGTTTGTGTGATGACAAAGATTATCTGCCTCATCTTAAGCCTCTTTTTCTTACGAGCGTAATTCATACTTACGTATTTCTCGTCACAACAAACCTTGCTCAGCGGTGAAGGAAAACATCGTGAGGAGACCTGCATATTTTCAAAATAAAAACAAAAAAACATATTTCGAAGATATGTGAAGTTCGTCAATCCGCAGTGGGGCCGCGTGGTGGACTATGCCCTGATACCTTCTGTACAGAGGAGGCCTTTGCCCAGCAGTGGGATATGTATAGGCTGTTACTTTACTTTACTTTTTTAAACCTGTATCGACGCATAAACTGTTTCAGGTAAACGAGTTCATTGAGCACGTGAACAGCAGCTCGGTGACGGCGAACCTGGACAACGCTGAAGCACAGCTTGAGGCGCTGGTGCAGGCAATCGCGTGCGGCGCGGAGGTGGGCTGGTCGGCGCAGAGTCGAAAGATTGTCATACTGCTCACCGACGGTCTGATGCACACCGCCGGTGATGGGAAACTGGGTATGTACTTATGAACCTTTGTGTTGTATGTAGTAACGAATGTATTTTGTGTGGAAGGTGTTGGTTGGCAAGTGACACCATCCACCACGATCTCGAAGATGTATTGTGGTCTTCATTTCGAAAACATTGCTCCTTTACTGTAAGGTAACATTATGTATGTGTTGTAAGGAAATTTTACGTACATAAATTTCACGTGGACAAACACCCAAATTAAATAGTGGTCTCGTGTGGGAATCGAACGCGTGACCAACGGCGCCGAAGGCAATACCTTGGCGTTATATGCGGAAAGAACAAAGAAAAAGTTATATTCTGCACAAAAATCTACCAAGTATTTTTATTTACACGACAGAAGAAAAAAAAAAGTCTTTTAATAAAAAAATTCAAACGTCAAATGTTTCAAGGCGAAAAAGTCTTTAAATTTGTTATTTGATATTGATATTTTTATATGGATGGAATTGTGTTCAGTTACGTTCAGCTATAAGTACAAGTACAATGAAGTCGCTTTTCCGAAGGCGGAGCGACGTTGAGGAACGACGAAAGCTGTCATCTCAATGAAGACGGCTACTACTCCGAGGCTGGCATCTATGATTACCCCTCCATCGCGCAAGTGTACCGGCTGCTGGATACGTACAAGGTAAATGTGATCTTTGTTTACGACGGGGTTAGAGTACGCGTGCTGCGTTTAGAATGTAAATAAACAAATCGTTGCTTAGCTACCAGACACCTGCTTTATTAGGTTACAGCTTTTATTAAACTCCTTTCTGCGTAATACTAAACACAGATTTACTTTTAATTTAGAGCATCTGAAGCCATTATCTAACGTAATCTCAAAGTAATTGTAGATTAAGGTTCAATTTTACAAATGCATATAGCAAGAGAACTAGGAATCTGTTTTAAAAAAACTCAACCTCATGATGATTGCATAAAAGCCGGGTCCTGTATCAAAAGAGAACACTATTTTATCAGCGTTTGATGAATGACCAAAAAGAAACAGAAAACGTTTCCATTGCTCGCATTTACAGACATAAATTAGAACCTAAGGAAAATTAAGTCTCCTAAAAGCTAATTTACGTTTATTAGTGAGCCAGAATAATTTTTAATTAAGATTGTAGAAAATCTGGATTTGGGTCGTGGCTAGCATTAGTATTACTCTATTTCGGAGTATTAGTGTATTAGTATTACTTGTCATTTACTTTTAAAGTACGATGCCAACATTTTAAGGAACTTCTGCCGGATGACGACAAGTGCATGGAGGTGTACACGTTTAAATATTTGTGTCGTACACACTGTTTTTTGCAAATTGGCAAAAACGATAAAAACTATTATTTTTATCGTTTAATTGGCACAAACGATAAAAATTATTATTTATACTTTGTTTAAACAAAGCACGATTGGTGCACTATCTGATTTCGTATTATTCCTACCTTGAGGCCTCATGAATGAAAGTCATGATGATGGAAGTCTAACAAAATGTTACCTTTATTTAGAACCAAATCTTTTTCCTTTGACAAAGATCAAAGAATATTCGACTATAAATAAGTCTAAAGTGAAAACGTTAGTATTATTATATTGTGTGCTGTTTTCATTCTCAGTTACCTATGGCTCGGTACATTTTAGGTGAACGTAATATTCGCGGTGACAGAGAGCGTCAAGTACCACTACGACAACCTGCATCGCTTGCTCGAGGACTACACTTACGTCGCGCGACTCGAGAGCGACAGTTCCAACATATTGAAACTGGTGAGAACGGGCTACGAAGACATCGTTAGCGTGGTCGACTTCGAAGACAACTCCGGATCGGGCCCCGTGAAGGTCAAATACTTCACCGACTGCGGAGTGAAAGGCGGGTCCATGGTGGCGGCGACACGTTGCGTCGGCGTCGAATACGGAATGACCCTGAACTATGAGGCGCACGTCAGCTTGGACTCATGTCCCGAGTACAAAAAGGTTTGTTGTGCCCGCATTTGTCGGTCTTGCGAGTAGGTATCGCGCTATATAAGACACATAAACACTAACATAAACATTGATGTATTTATCATGAAAGAAAACCCTTTGGAAGGCATTTACGAAAAAGTTAGAATATTATAATTAAGATAGAATAACAAATAATATTCGGAACAGTGGTTGATTGAAGTAGAACTTAGGAACTGAGTTCAATTTGTTTTTTTTATCGTTGAATCAATAGCACATAACTTAACTGTAATATAATATGCTTATTAAGATTATATTATAAACTATAATATAAACTGTTTATCATATTACCAATAACAGATACCCATTTTTTTCTTTTGCAATGGGAAACTAATAAAGATTCAAACATACAAGTAGATACATTATATAAGAAAGCGACAATTAAAATACATGCACAATTCATCGCCAGATGAGCCAAACGATAAAAATATCGGAGAGCCAGCTGGGACAAGACTCTTTGACCCTGGAAGTGGAGATACAGTGCGGCTGCGAGTGCGAGGGCGATCTTCAGAAGGACATATCCCTGACGTGCCCTTTCAATTCGCACATCGTATGCGGGGTTTGCCAATGCAACAAAGGGTGGTAAGTCTTTAAATAAACATCGTAACACGTGCTACGAACTACCGATAACTTGCACGGGAAAGCTAAATAGCAAGAAAAGCAATGCTCATTACACACTTCATAAAAGACTCGAAACGTTCAATGGTAAAAATTAAAATTAGCATGCAAGGCGACGACGGTCGATGGACGACATATGGCTCAGGATCGTGCTTCGTGGGATGGGATCGTGCTTTACGCGGAAAAGTTGACAAGCGAGCAGGCGGTTCACCTGATGTTAAGTGAATACCCCCGCCCATGGACATTTGCTACACCCGAGTGTTACAGATGCGTTGACAACCTTTTGAAAATTGGGCTCCGGCTCCCTCACTCACCAGACGAAACGCGAAAGTATTTGTCATACTTCCACTTTACGCCGGTCTTCTGTGAGGTCGTGGTATTTACCCGGAACTGCCCATTCGTGCAACAGCTGAGGCTGCTTTGTGGCCCTAGCACAGTGAAATTAATTTTAAGATCATTCTCGATTAGAGTAAAAGCGCTAATTAATGCGTGTTAACTGCTTGTTTATTTAATTATCGTCTAACAAAGGAATTATCCCAATTAACGTTTTGCCGAATCATTACAGAAATATAAAATAAACTGTACTGCCCCCTGAATCTCTTTCTTTATTCGCAAGTTTTCGTCAACCGTAACATCTTATCTACAAAAATTTTCAACGTTGCGTAAAGATTTGAATGCTTAATCTGAGTCCCGGAATGTAAATGATTGCTCAACGAGATAACATCTTGATGTTCAGTAAATGTTACCTTTGTGTATTCATTTTGGTGTAATTAATATTTAGTTGTAAGCGCCTGGTTTGGTCACAACCAGTTAAATGTAAGCTAACTCACAAGTTACCTTACATTTAACATAATATTTTTTATAGAAACAAACTTATAAAGGGTAATAATCGCTGTCAAAATTTACCCAACATACATATTATATGAATGAAATATACATATAATGCGGAAGTTTATGGCGTAAAAAATTGTAATTAATCTTTCAGACATGTTCCCAGACATGTTTGTATCTTGTAATTACTCTGTTGTAATTTACTCTTACATTCAAATTTCATTCAAAATATGGTCAGATTTTTTGAGCGTAACTTACGATACTATGATTCTGTGTAAAGAGAGCGGTTTGTTTTTCCATATTGACTGTTACAAGAATATAGGAGCATGTTATTACGGAAAGGTTTTTAAAAGCAGAACTATGAAACTAACGGTCTAACAATGTTTAACTTTGTTTAATTTCTGTAAGTAAGTACTTTATTATTTCGAATTACAATCATAGCGAGTTTTTTATCTTTACATATAATAACTAGCGGACCGGACAGACCGAACATACGTCTTATATTAGAAAATTTCAAACTTTTTTGAATAATTTTGTGAATCTAAACCATTCTCGAATCCACCTGAACACGCACAAAAAATTTCGGAAGAGAATTATTAAGAGAACAATCTTTATATATATAATTCTTCTGGACTGTGTGTATGTCACAGAACTCCACTTAAACTGCTGGACCGATTTTAATGAAATTTTTTGTGTATCTTCTGTTCGATTCGAGGATGGTTTAGATTCACGGGCCACTACATTTTTTTTTAATTTAGTCGTGTGTACAGGAAAACGTCTGTCTAGGCCGCTAGTATTATTGTTTATTTATAATCTGTGAACCGCAGGTCGGGGCCGTCTTGCGACTGTTCTATAGAGGACGAGGCGGCCTCGGCGCAGTTGATGGCGCAGTGCCGGGAGGCGAACTCGACGCACAGCATGGCGTGCTCGGGCGCGGGCGACTGCGTTTGCGGCGAGTGCCGTTGCGATCGCGGTTTCAACGGCCGTTTCTGCCAGTGCAAGGCCTGCGAGTTGAGCCTGTGAGCGTTTCAGATATTTCTCGTGATTAAAAAAAAAACTTCTCGTGGCCGTAGCTATATAGACTGGTACTGAGACACTGCGCTGACTAATAAGCTTTCACACACATTTACTTACCATCATGGGTGGTATTTTTGGTGAAAAAATAAATAAACCTATCAATAAATAATAGGTCCTATGAACTTGTTATAAAATAGATAAAAAAAATAAAGAATACTGAATACTGATGTAATAAAGTAAACACTAGGAACAAACACAAGCTTGTAACGCCAGTTACTAGACTCCATAGAGTCAGTAACTCGTTCATGGGACGGTGTATACGCTTCTACAACAAAATCCCAGTTAATGTGCAAAGCCTATCTATTAACAGGTTTAAGACATTTATTAAAGAAAAACTTTTTAAAAAGGGTTATCATAATATAAATGAATACAGTAACGATAATAACCCCTGTGAATGAGATGATCGCTCCTAAGCTATTTCTAAAAAAAAAATATATACTGTATAACTATGTATTTGTTGAGTAAAAAATCATGACAAAAAAGAGGATACCTACGGAGTTTCTTTCGCCTGTTTCTTCTCCGTTAGAGGAACCTCATTACGAAACGGTGGTAGATTTAAAAAATGACTATCGATAAATGAAATGTATATTTCTTATTTCGATGAATAAATGATTTGAATTTGAATTGCACTATTTAGAATTTCATTTATTTTTAAATATGGATTGGACGCTTAAAAAAGACCGAGTTGCCGTTATCAGATAGCGTCAGGGCGGTCACTCACCAAATGAGATTTACAAACTACTGTAAAATTTGAATGTGTCGAAAAGATTCGTTTATCCCTCCATCGAATATATGACAGGATTTACGATCCGACTGGGTATAACTCTAGCAGTTCACTAATTGATATTCTTGGGTATGTGCAGTGAGAACGGAATGGAGTGCGGCGGCGTGGAGAGAGGCGTGTGCGCGTGCGGGCAATGCGCGTGCGCACCCGGTTGGAGCGGCGACGCGTGTGACTGTTCGGACGCCATCGACGCCTGTCTACCCCCCGGCTCGGAGCTCGAGTGCTCCGGCCATGGCCGCTGTGTCTGCGGTGAGCGTCTCTTTACATTGACTGCTTGATTTTACGCGAATAAAAAATATTTAAGAACAATGGCAACATCTCTCGTTACACAAAATGTCGTACATCGTTGAATGTTCTTATGTATATGGTTGGTATCCTATATAGCTCACCTTGCAAAGAACAAATAGATAGCGCCATGTGTTGCTAAAAGTGGCTGCCAAAATAGTGGACGATAAACACCAAAAATATGATTGAAATCAGTCGTCGGTTTAAATAACAGTGTATTATTTTTTCTGTATAATATCTAATTAATCTATATTTGTAAAGAACCTAAACTAAAATCTAGGAAGCAGCGCTAGTATTTAAGGTAACTGTGGCCATGAATAATGCGATATATAAATGCGATGCTATGGACACATGCAGCACTAATGGAGTCACAAATGTGTTGCCAGCTTTTGAAATAGAAATAGGTTCCCTAAGACGTATCCTCAATTTACTCGTTCGTTTAGGTCCTATTAGTACCAAACCTTTGCATTTCTAAGAACAATCTTCGGTCAAAAACGTAAATCACATGTGAATTCAATGTATTTCAAGGGAATTGGTATACTTATATGCTTTTGTTATATAGTAGTTTTTGCCAAAAAGGTTAGTATGGTATTCTTTTGGCAAAAGCGATAAGATTTCAAATCGCGATTTTTTTGCTACTTTTATTTTTTTTTATTTTTAAACTTCATGCACGAAACAGTACATAGGCGGACTTAATGCTGACAGCATTTTCTACCAGTCAACCTTAGGGTGGTACTGAGAAGTTGAGGTAGGTGCACAAACACAGTTATAAACTAAAAAGAACAAAAAATAAATAGTTAATTATTAAATATAAAAATATAGCACATAATATAATTCTAGCATACAATACTTTTAAACGATACAATAAGTATTACCTTACATATACATATATACTTTAATATACATATATAAATAAACATATATATTATATACATATACATATACATACACATTTATATATGATGATGTCATGAAACTGCTGGCAATTTCCCCTGAATGTACTTGCGTGCCATTTTCTTAAAAGCAAAGCGATTCTTGGCCATTCTAATTTTGAGAGGGAGCTCATTCCAAAGAAGGATAGATTGGACAAAGAAAGAGGAATGGATAAAATCAGATTGATGAGGAGGACATAACACAAGACGATTGTGTTTAGAGCGAAGATTCTTCGTGTTGACTGTGTTAAGGTATTGGAAGTGAGGAGATAAATATGAAGGAGTAAATGGGGAATTAAGGTAAGAAAAAAGTGTGGTCAGGGCTCTTAGGGTGCGTCGTTGTCGAATGGTTAGCCAATTTAGTTGTGACCGATACGACCTTACATGGTCATATTTGCGGAGATTGAAGACGAATCGAATGCAGTTATTCAGAAGTCGGTCTAATTTGTTGAGGTGATCTGCATTCACTTTTACTGTGAAGCCTTGATAAACTTCACGATTCCATGTCAAGGTGAAGTACCCTATTAGGTTTTGATAGACTTTGAGAGTATACACATTAGCGGCATTAATCGTATCTTTGGATTGCATAGTTTCAAAAGCTTTCAGTACAATGGTAGTAGCTGGAGGTATTCAAAATAGATCTCAACTTGATTCCTCCACCCATTCCTTAGAAAGAGGTCTTAAAACACGAACAGACAGACCTGACTGATGACCTGAAAAGGGTTCCGATATCACCGATTTGGGTAGGGAACACTAAAACTTAACAAGTCATGATATTTGCGATCCAATTTTAGGGCAGTGTCAGTGCTCGGCAGCGGAGGAAGATGGCGGCAAGTACACGGGCGTTTTCTGCGAGACTTGCGCCACGTGCGAGAACCCACTGTGCGCCAGCGCCGAGCCTTGCGTCCTGTGCCATTTGAACAGCAGTTGCACGGATATATGCACCATCGGCAGCGTCAACTACACGGTCGGCGAGCGGATGAACGAACCAGGTAGTTGTCATGCAGATTGTTCATGCTTGGTTGACTGATGATAAAGCATAGCGCAACAGCTAACATATCTATAACTTAAGTCTTGCTTTGGTTGATGATCGTGGCATTTTTTTTATAAAAAACATTGCCCTTACTGTTATTAATTATTAATTAATGTTATCAGTTATTAGGATAACATTATCCTGTGTTGTAAGGACGTTTTACAAATATACATTCCACGCGGACAAACACCCAGATGCGAAAAAATTATCTGTGGGTCACAAAAATAGTTGTCCCGTGTGGAAAACGAACCCACGACCCCCGACGCCGAAGCCAATACCTTGGCAACTACGTCAGAGAGTGATCAAAAACATCATCATTGAAAATAGTGTGTGATATACTTATGTACGGCACCGTTTAACGGTGGTAGGGTAATGCAACAGTTTTCGCTTTTGCACGAATAGACAGGTCCGTCCAGGTGCCGTACACAAGTGCCGATCTTCTGTGTACAAAAAAAGATTTTACAAAACGCTGAAACGTGAAATATACACTCTATACATACCAGCCCAGACCCTCCCCGTTCCATAAGACCAAAATTAATAATAATCATAATTATTTTGGTTACATTTGCGCGCGCAATCCTTATTATCCCGCCTTTGATTTGAGGTATCACCGAAAAACAAAAAATAACAATTCTCTATTTCAACACTTGTTTGTTACATTTAAGTGTTTAATTGGTTGTTATTCTTTTATTACTGACCGAATTGTTAATTGTCAGCAACCTATATAATAACTTTGGTCCAGTACCTGCTCAACCTATGTATAATCAAAAGCAAAAACTATGGCTGTTTGGAGATGAAAATCTGCGACTAAATATAGGCACTGTACAATTTGCATTTCATTAACATAATATTTTTTTTAGTATACGTTGAAAAGAAAGTTGCTATCAAATATGTGTCGTATTTAAGGCTTCCGCCAAAATTGTCATAACCATATGACGGCAAAGGAGAAAGTCGTGTTTGATTTAAGAGCCGGGTTTATGACTTGCGAATGGCCAATCATTTATCACGGAGGTGAGAAAGTCTCAGACGCGGTACGTTCTAACACAGCCGAATTCTTGTTTCTAATTTTGAATGTTTCAAAACTTCCCATTTTTGTTCCATATCTAGGAAAATAAATTATTAAAAAATAAATTATACTAGTTTCTCCAGGGAATAGGGAGGGATAAAATATAACACAACCACTAAACACGTACTGTTTATAAAAATCGATGTTCCTAACTTTAATAACTTTATTTTTATCAAATTAAAATATCGAATTATTTTTTTTTTAAATAAGGGGCCAAGTGTCTTTCAAATATGATTATTTTTATCAGAATTTGTTTTGGGGTTTTTATCCTTATTTGTGTACGTCAACCCCATTGTGACCATCTCATTGCTATATTTACGAAAAATATAATGTTATAGAATCGCCTCTCACAGATATCATAAAATGGGGCATAAAAGACGCTATCTTAATCCTTACTAACATTATAAAGGCTAAAGTTTTTTTGTATGGGTGGATGTTTGATACTCTCACGCAAATACTACTGAATGGATTTTAATGAAACTTTACGATAATATAGCTTATACATCAGAATAAGACATAGGCTATAATTTATATACATATTTTATGTATTTCTGTCTGAATGTTACGCCTTCAGCCTATTTTACGCAGACGTAGTCGCGGGCAGCAGCTAGTATGACAATAAATATCAAATTGGTTTAAGGTGTTCAAAAAAAAACCCGCCGAGTTTCTTTCGCCGGTTCTTCTCAGTACAATTCTTTTGCGAACCGCTGGTAGTGTTTTGACTATCTAGAACTAGTATAATAAGCGAGTGTAATGCTCCTTCTATTTTGAATAAAGACATTTGATTTTGATTTTTGATTGAATAAAAATAGTTTTGGCAACTTCTACCTGTATCGCAACCTTTTTTTTTTTTCAACAAAGAACTTCATATTATTAAAGCTCAGTTTGAACGCAGTACTCGAGCCGAGGTTCAGGCTAGGGCCCCCGTGCGCCAGGCCACCTCAAGTTCGTCGGAACTGTGAAGGCCCCTAAGGCGAAAAGAGCAGTACTCGATCTTAATACGGCTCTACGGCTCTTACGGCTTGCTTAGGCCTTGTGCTCGTGCGACCGCTATCTTAAACGGGAGATATAGCGTCTATGGGCCGTAATCCGTGCTTGGGGGCATGATAACCGCCCAGGAATGCCTTTTGGCGATATTGCTTTAGGGCCAGGCAGCAGTCTTCGCTGTTGCGCCAATGGGCAGGTTCCTGTAGCAGCAGGACCTCGAAGAAGACCGGCGTGAAGTGGAAGTGTCACACTTCTGCGTCTCGTCTTTTGAATGAGGTATCCGGGGCCCACTTTACTGAAAGGTGGCAACGCATGTAACCCTACGGGGGTAAAAACTAAGAAATGGCTGCCATCTTCTAAATAAAAAAAATCAACGAAAGATAAACTGTTACAGTGATCGCCGACGAATCTGAAACGTCGTGCATCTTGCGGCGCGACGAGGAGGGACTCGAGTGCGAGTACCGGTACACATATTACGCCGGGGCGAAAGCGATGATCGCGATGGAGATCGTGATGAGATCGAAGGAGTGCTACCAGCCGACCAGCGCGAGGATAATGACGAGCGCGCTGGTCATAATGGCCTGCGTGGTGGCGGCCGGCGTGGTGGTCATCATGGCGATAAAGAGCGCCCAAATCGTGTCGGATCGCCGCGCGTACGCCAAGTTCGTGCAAGAGGCGCAGGAGAGCAGGAAGAACATGCAGGAGCTGAATCCGCTTTACATATCCCCAATTTCGGAGTTCCGAATGCCAGAATCCTTCCCGAGGGATAAGCACGATTAAGCGGATTTTTCAATGATAGTTGAACTAAAGACTGTATAGGTGCAACGAAAATATTCAAATGAAAATTTTTAGGCACTGTGTGCTGAAGTGTATGTTATTCGTTGTGTGTGTAATATTTGAGTACTTATATACTTTAAAATTGTTATGGTTGTTGAGTTTATATAATATGATTTACTTTTAATGTTCTGCTAGTCGTTTCTAACCATAGGACTGTGTAGTTACAAAATAGTTTTAGATGGTTCGTACTTAATAGTACTTACTTATTACCGTTGGAAATGTTTTGGTTAAATTTACTCTTTAAGCGCCTCTATGTTGTTTGTACAGAAATGAAAGCCGAATTGTTAATCTTTTTCTAATAATATAAAAATGTATTTGTAAAATGTTTGTGTTTTTGCGAATGTAATGTTAAACTTTCATAAAAGCAGTATTAAAACACTAGTTTGGTTCTTCGAACGGTGGTAAGAAAAATATGATTTTTTGTTCATTTAATAACTTCAAAGAGCGAATGAAATATGAGATATATATAATTATGAGATTACTGATAATGATTATAGCGTATATCTTTTTGTTATTCATATCATCATAATAAAAAAATATTACTTAAAATAAATAGAACCTTATTTGAGGAGGATTAGTATAGATACACCGAAAGGAATTTGGTTACTAAAACGAAATAACATATTAATTTGCCAGTAATAGAATATGTTTTTAAATGTCATACCGTCTTTTAGAAATTGATATAAAATTCAGGAGTTGGTATGGAATACGAACAATTATTACACCGATAGCATAAAAGGAAAGGGAGTTGTGTTTTTGATAATAAATTAGTTAAATAATATGTTTAAGTTGTAAGAAAAAAAGCAATAAGATAATAAAGTGTCATGGCCAAATATATTTTATTAGTCATGTCTCATACTGCTTCATATTTTTTATATTTATAAAGTGATAAAACTAGAATTGAAGATATTTTGCTTTTAGATGGATTAATTTAATAGGAAAATGTATATTTACTTATTCAATAATCTCGAGATAATTAGGATAATAAAATACACTTGCAAGGTAGGTAATGAATTGATATTAAGAAATATAAATGGAAAAAATTGATTTCCGTTTTAAGCAAATGTTTGAGAATCTATTCGAAGTTACGAAGAGGCATATTGAAATTGGGGATAGGTGCTTATACTTAGTTCTTAAATTAAACTAAAAAAAAAACTAGCAAAGTTCTATAAACATCACATCTTTAATCTCTTAATTCGACTAAATACCACAGTGTTTCTGAAATGTTACTTAACTCAAGTTAAAAAACAAAAACTAGGTAAGTAACTTATAATTAAGTTAGTTTGTTCTAAACTTAAATATATTACATTATACGCTTAAAACGATTGGAAGATAGTTCTAGAAAAATATGTAAGAATAACTCTTACTTAATATTCTGACCACCCATTCCAAATCTATACAACGTATTATTTTAATGCTTTCCCAATACAAAAATCTTATATTGAAGAATCCCATTCTTTTTAATATTTAGAAATCTATTCCCAAAGTAGATTTCGAAAAATTATCATAAGGGTATGATAAAGAATTCAATAACTAATTTATTTCTATCTCAAGGGAGATATTTTTTAAATATATTTAGTTATTACTCCTTTTTCGTTAAACAAACGTATAGTTTTATAAACGGATTTTTATACATATATAGTTCTATTTTCTATTAGCTGAACCCGGGCCACGCTTCGTTGTGGCTTTTATCTCTCCTTTCCTTTGAAACTTAATAAAAAGTGTATAAAACGCTTCCGTTTAACAGCTACGTTGTGAACAAATATCTAGTCAATGTCGACTAGTTTTTGAGTTTTATGGACACAAATATAAAAATGCTTAATTTTTATATAAAAAGATTTTCCCAAGGTAGACAAGACAATATAACAAATAACCTACACTTTATTAAAACAATTTTCATAAGGCGATTGACTACTAATTAATGTCTATCCATAACCAATAATTACATTTAAGTAGCATGCCCAAACCTAATAACTCGGAACTTTGTCAAACCTTGCAAACATTTTTAGAAATTAAATGTAAACATTACCTATTTCTATACAATAGTTGCTATCAGGAAGATTTAACTCGAGGTATCTGTAAAAATTACAAACTTTATACAAAAAATAAAACAAGTCTGTGTACTTATTTACGCACTTAAGAATTTATACTTCTTTGGCGTAATAAGAGAAAAATAACTATAAATTTTATCCCATCTGCTAGTACTCTTTGTTTGTGAGAAAAAAACCACTAAACGCGATTGAAACTTGGAATTTTAAGTAAATGTCAAAAAGTTGTTACGTGTCGCGCATAGTAAAAATCCACTCTCCTGACTTTTCCCAAACTCCAAAAGAAGTATAACTTCAAAAAGCCATCAACAGCAGCAGTCTTAATAAGGCGTTTTATCACAATAATTTACAACAGGCACTTTTTATTCGACTGGCAACACTTGACAAAGCCCCTTATTATCTGTGGCGGAGAGCGCGCGCGGTGACGTCACACGTGGCGGTCGTGCCGCGCGGGCGGCGCCAGCGGCATCGGGCGCGCGTCCAGTTTGCTCTTGTGCGCGGTCGGCACCAGGTCACCGTTGTCCAGGGCGGGTGCGGTGTGTGACGTCATGGGAACGGCGTCCGGCACCAGCCCCCGGATCAGCTCCGATATGCACGGCCATGGCACCAACCTTGAGTCGACCAAGGATATCAAACATCAGCGCGAAATGGATGAGGAATATTTGTATGGGGGCATGCCCTAACCATTTCAAAAATACTAAAATACGTTTAACATTGTCTACAGATTAAGAATAGCTAGAAATTATTCGTTTTTATCATCATCATTATTTTAGCCCGCAAAACCTGCTGCTGATCATAAGCACAGACTATCATAATATATCAGATTTTGCCACGCATGTCGAGCGGGTTGCCGCAGTTTTTCCAGACCGCCCGTTATTGGTCTGCGTATTTATGAACTGGATATATTTTTTTTATTTTATGAGTTATAAATGATGTGACTTGAAATTTAAATAAATAGACTTTTGATGACACAAATTCAGCATTTTCAGGTTGCGTTTTCACGAAGGCTAAGACAAGACTAGATAAACAGGAGATGACGAGTTCGCCAGACGAAGCGCGAAAGTGTAATACTTCCACTCTATGAGGCTGTGGTCCTTCCCGGAAGAGCCTACCCATTCGTCCAACAGAAGGTTTTACGTAGCCATAGCCCTCTTATCTGTATTTTTATAAAGTCTTCACAACAGAAACTACCTATGAGATTGAAAGATGACTTAAAATGGCATGGTTTCGTAACACTTCGTCGACTCTCCCATACTCTATAAACATCTACGTAGAGTCTTAGTCCGCACTTCTCGAGGTGTTGTTGTCTAAGCTGTATCAATTGCGCGTCAAACCAATGTGGATAGCAGATACTGGCATGTCTTCTCAAAAAAGCACCCTAGAGTTTACAAGAATTCGCTAAACGAAATGAAACTTTTTTGAACCTAATTTGAATTACGCTCAGAAATTAAAGATCTGGCTGAATTTCAAAACGAAACATTGACGTATGGTTTGACTTTGAGTCGTCTAATATTATTTGTCGTTTTTTTATGCGTAATTTAAGTATTGAAACGGGTATGTATTTTGCAAATACAATTTTTTTATGACTGTTTCCGTCGAAGTCGAACTGATTTGCCTTCTCTATAAAACTTATCAAAATTCTGACAGTCAAATTACATAAGTTAAAGGCTGTAGAAGGACACACAATATTATAATAATTGCGAAAAAACATGTTAACATTTAAAACCAGTTAAATATACCACATCGCAAAATTATTAATTATTAAAGTGACCTTGACAAAACCGTTGTTAAAAACGTGGACCGTTTTTGTTATAAAGACGTCATAATTTCGTGTTTGTAATTTTGAAGAGGAACATATATTATAATGAAATGTATGTTTTAATTAACAGACATTATTTTGTTTTATATACACTATTAAAACTATTATTTTTATTAAGTAACGTCTACGTAAAATGTAATTTTATATAGCAAATTAGATGCAGAAAGGTTAATGTAACAGTATATTCGCAAAAAATATTTCAACTATTGTAAAATAAGCAATGGTTATAAAACGCGTCAAACAACTCTGTGGCTCTGAAGTTAGTAGCGGTTCATGTCTCGCACAGCGCAGGGTAAAATTGCGTGCAAAATTGTTTTCGACAAGATTTAAACATTCGTAGAAGAAATATAAGAGATACTCAGCGATAACGAATAACAATGATAGTGATAATAAATATCAACATTGTAGTTTATTAAAGATAATAAAATAAGTATTTCATCAACATGTTGGAATGAGAAGTTTGAGAAGCACGACTAGCAATGTCACTGCGTGCTCCGGCTCAGAGCCGCAGACAGAGTTCTTTGACAGCTTGATTTCCAAATAATATTACAAAAAGCACTGATTCTTTTCCTTCATATTCAAGGTAAGTGGTTTATGTAACAGCAACCCTGTCTGATATGCAAGGTTTTTTTTTTCATATTATTCAGGTTAATAGACATTATGTCTGTTAACTAAAAATATAGGCCTGTTTCAGCTTTTTCACCAATAAAAAACGAAACCAGAGATCGTACTAAACAAAACGAGATTATTTAAATAGACCGTAATACAAACTTCAATTTCTAAAGTGTGTTTGTCTCTAACGTCTTGTCGTAACATTGACAAATTGTCGTAACAATGTCTTTGTCGTAACATTGACTCCGAAACAAGAATCCATAGTCATCCAAAGAGTTTGACAATATTTTTTTTCATAACATTTTTTTTTTAAATAAGCATCTGGCCAGTTCTCGGTTTCAGTTCGTATTTCGAATCGATCGTCGCGATTCGTTCGCGGAACGCGAAACGCATTCACGTCAGGATTACCATTTGAAAGGCAGCAGCAGTCGGAAGTAGCCCGGCATGACGGCGAGGTGCTCGTTGGTGCGGATCGCGAACACCACGCGGTCGGCTACCTCGTTCGAGTTCAGCTGCGGCACGAACCTGCAGTTATGCGGAGCGTTAATTTTCGCCTTCCCCGAAACGCGCCGGATCGAGTTGATAAACGAGTCTTGGAAATGGGTCGTTTGACAAAACCGTTGGTCGTTGGAAAACAACTGCGAACAGCCTCAATATTGGTTACTTTTACTTATGGTATATGTTTACTGTTACCATAGTCTGTATCGTTAATAAAAGTAAATTCAGGGTCGGGTTCAGTGGTGTTGGAAGAAAAGTAAGATTTTAAACAAATAATTTTTTTGACGTATACTCAAGGCATTTCACAGAATTAAATAATTAACAATATGTGCATTCAATCGAGTATTATAAAATCTTTCTTGAACGACGAAATAAAAAATTGATATAAAATTGGTAGAACCAAAGATTCTCACCTAGAATTCACTTCCTCGAACATCCCCGTCGAACGGATGAAGTAGGGGCAAATGAGCGACGTGTGCACCCCCTTCACCCCGCGCACTTCCAGCTCCAGCCTGAGGGCTTCGTCGAAGCCGCACGCGGCGGACTTCGACGAGCAGTAGTCGACCAGCTTGGCCACGCCCACGTGTCCGGCCATCGAGGCTATGGTCACTATGTGGCCGTTATTGTGCTCGATCATGGCGGGCAGGAAGGCTTTCGCGGTCTGAAAGTGATTAGTAAGAATTTATGGTTATAGTAATGCAAGGAAAAATAGATATTGGTTATTAGCGCCGGTCTATGAGATATTAATGTGAAGAGATAACCGCCGCCAATGGACATTTGCAACACCTATAGGGTTGCAAATGCGTTGCCACCTTTAATAAATTGGGCCTACCACACACACCAGACGAAACGCAGACCGGACGGACCTGCCAATTCGTGCAACAACCGATGCAGTATTATTTAGATAACAAAAAAAACAATATAAATCTGTGCTTCAAATTAAAGATAAAAATGGGTTCCAATTAACCACAGATGAAGTATTTATAGCTTTAAATTAATTGCTATCAAATTACACTATGTAGAGTCACGGACGTATGAATATATTTGCAGCATTCAAGGTCAGAGGACAGACTGGCACGATAAACGTACTAATATCGACGTTGATCTCGATATTTAAGCTATAAATCAACGCGATAAAATCCGTATAATAGTCCATTTTATAACACTACTGTGTTAGAATAAATTTTAGAAATTGTATTTTGTTGTTGAAGTGCCGTCTCCAATCCAGTATAATAAATATTTTATATACCTTGGACTTGGATATATTTTTTAAATGTAAATAAGTTATTAAATGACGCTAAGGGAATACTTTTAGAACATTATTTAATTATATTTCTCACTTTAGCGTGAAGATGTTCCTCTTGCTCGAATATAACTAAGGAATTTGTCTGTAATTGTGATTTGCGTTTGATTGTATATTTATGATACAGTAAAATGCAAATCCTTTAAAGCAAATTGTTTTTCAACCGCCTTTAAAGCAAATTATTTTTTCTTTTTTATGTGAAAAGTTGCCAAGCAAGCAGACGGTTCACCTGATGTTAAGTGAATACCACCGCCCATCGACATCTGCTACACCCGAGGGTTGCAGATGCGTTGACAACCTATTGGAAATTGGGGTCCGGTCACTCACCAGACGAAACGCGAAAGTATTATACTTCCCCTTTACGCCGGTCTTCTGTGAGGTCGTGGTACTTACCCGGACGAGTCTGCCCATTCGTGCAACAGCCGAGGCTGCTGCGTGGCCCTACCACCGTAAAAAATTAATGCAACGTACCCAGAAATGTGCCAAAATGTTGACGTCGAAGGTCCTCTTTATTAGGTGATCTGGTGTATCTAGTAAGTACTGTCCTGATACGACTCCGGCATTATTGATCAGCAAACTTACCTGGAATGAAGCAGTAGTTCATATTTATTTCGTGTATTTGTTAATTTGATTGCTTTCCTTTGTGCTGGCCTGTGAATTATGTTCATTGGCCATATGAGCCATTGGCTTCATGATATTTAACTTCTTTGTACTTACTTCATTAAAAGCAGAGCATCGAAAGTTTAAATAATGTAGATAGTATGGTCTTAAGTTTAAAACTCTTTCATTAACTGTTCTCCGTTTTCATATAACCAACTCCAAAATTGAGGTCAAGCTAACATAAATCGGGTCTCGTTGTAAATGTTATTTAATTTTAGTCAGAAGGTGTGACTTTATGAGCAAATAATAACAATAATGAATCATTTGAATGCTACGTGTATGAGACAAACTCAAAGGTTTTTGCTCTTCTGTCTGCGACTCACAAATTCAACAGTAATAAGTGTAGGTACGCTTGCTGTGTGAAATGCTAATGCAAAATAATAAAATTGTTATCGCTAAAAAAAACATATTTCATTTTGAAATAGCAACACTTATAGAAGAAACTGCGTATATGTACGAGAAATTAACTGAATGTATTGAAATTTACAGTGAATGGAAACTCTGCAGGCTTGTAAAAGTTCCCAACGAATTTCTTAAGGACAACCACTTTATTACTTCGTCAAACTCTTGCGTAACGTCTCCGAAATTTAATTTCATATAATCACACAGTCGACCAATAATTGTTTTTAATCAATGAATTTTGCCAGAAGGCCAAACAAAGTAGCTTTATAAGTAAAAAAAAATCAACCATGTAATGAATCAGTCGTTGTCTTTAATTGACTACCCGCCTTGAATCTCATTTAAGGGAGAATTAGAATATACTTTTACATAGTCTCCTACATGTTTTTTTTATTTTGAGCCGTATCATTAGGTGCCAAGGCGATGTTAACTACCAAATATGGAAGACACGTTTTTGCTTAAATTCTGCTTTTTTGATTAAAATAAATATCTAAAAGAAATACTTTATAAATAGAGAGCGACATATATAGTAAGCCATTGTAAGGAAATTAATAATTAGCAATTAAATGGCTATGATAATGAATTTGTATTGCATCCTGACTTAATAGGCAAATATGAAGATTCAAATCGAATGAGGTTAAACCTTAAGGATGCTACGTTGGGAACAAAATCTATTTCAAATATTTAACCGCGAATATTAATTTAAACAGTTTAAATCATTTTATTTTATGCGTAATTACCTTGAGCAATATGCAGAATATAAAAATGAGTCAGGAAATAGCTGACAGAAGAAATAAATGCAGTATATTTTTATCAAAAAATTAATTAAAAGTAATTATATAATACTGTCCATAGTAGAAGTTCTGCGAAACTGCGCAAACTGATAATTAATATTTAAAATAAGTATAACCTTAAAGGCCATTTTAAGCACATACTTAAATTATACGCGGATATTTACTGAGCTCAACATTTGCGTATGCCATCTGAAATATAAACATGTGACTCACTCTCCCGACTTCCTCGTGAACTGTCTTCGCTACCCTGTAGATGTCCTCTCGACTCGCCAGGTCCACGACGTACCCGTGGCATTTCCCCCCAATACCCTTGACTAGTTTGACAGTGTCCTCCAGACCTGAAAATAAAATAAAAACTTTGGGGGAAACTATTTTTTGAAATATTTCATCCTTTTGTGCCGTATCTGCCGCACCTTCTGTATTTATGTACATATATACGGCACAACGTGTTACGTTTACTACGTTTTATTCCACGTGTCATTTAATTCAAATAACTTTTTATTTTGTTGCCAATTCTGCAAGACAGTTGGAAGTTTGATACAAAACTGCTAGGGACAAATACAAAAACCATAGGTTGAAAGTAAAAAAAGTAAAAAAACATAGTAAGTATTTAAACTAATATACAAAATTCTCGTGTGACGGTGTTTGTAATTGAACTCCTCCGAAACGGCTCGACCGATTTTCGTGAAATTTGTGTACATATCGGCCAGAGTGGAGAATCGGACAACATCTATTTTTCATCCCCCTAAATGTCAAGGCTGGTCCACCCCTAAATTTTTTTTCTACCTTACAATTAATTTATATAGCAAAACAACGTTTGCCGGGTCAGCTAATATCCTATAAAGATGATTTAATTTTGGTGAAAATGGCACAATATTATAAATTCTACCAAGCAGAAATTCTACCATAACTGCATAATATTATAACAACGTGTATAATTAAAAATGTGTATTATTTTTTTCGATTATTCGTATCATTTATGATGTAGGATTGTAACGAATAATGTACATTTTATTGTTTTTTGATTTTAAATTTTATTCGAAAATAACTACTGAAGAAAAAAAACACAACTGATAAAATTGCAAGACGTATAAGTTCATTACGTGTCTTCAACAGCAAGACAACGACAGAACCGGTTATATTTTTAAAGTCTGTTAACCCTTTGTTGATCTCACAAGGTACAATGACTTTTTTTTTTTATTACTAAGACTCCGCTGCCTGTCTGTTCGTCTGTCACCAGATTGTATCTCATGAAGCATGATAGTTAAACAGTTGAAATTTTCACAAATGATGTATTTCTGTTGTCGCTATAACAAAAAATTCTAAAAAACAGAATTAAAAATACAACAGACATGATTTTTTTTTGCCGTTTTTAGATAATGGTACGGAACCCTTCGTGCGCGAGTCCGATTCGCACTTGGCCGGTTTTTAAAAATCTTCATATTCAAGTAGCAAAAACATTTTTCATTTAGATAATACATAGTATTATATATAGTTTAAATGTCGTATTCTGAGTGAATCAGAAAGTTAAATTAATTAAATAAATAGACACGCATATATTATAACTTGTTCTACCATGTGTTACATTTTAAAATGTTTGCGAGGAAAGCACAAAAAACGGTGACACCTTCAATCGCACTTCTATTATAAAAGGAGTTTTTTATGTGTAATGAGTATTTTCTATTTACGCTTGTGTAGACGGTGTTTTAGTCTATGTTTGTTATTAAAAAGGCTGTGCAACTACCGCTCCCATTCAAGTTCACGATTTATAAGTTATCGGAATTGGGATTTCTGATTTGCGAAGATAGATTTCTTATGTGAAATATAATAGATACCAAGATTAGGCTTAATGTTCCGACTTTACCAAGTCATGAGCCCATTCAAACAGTCAACAATAACATGCGTAAATTTCGCGAAGATAATTATAATTATTTAACGGTGGTAGGGCCACGCAGCAGCCTCGGCTGTTGCACGAATGGGCAGGCCCGTCCGGGTGGGTACCACGACCTCACAGAAGACCAGCGTAAAGTGGAAGTATAACAAATACTTTCGCGTTTCGTCTGGTGAGTGAGGTAGCCGGAGCCCAATTTTCAAAAGGTTGTCAACACATCTGTAACCCTCGGGTGTAGCAGATGCCCATGGGCGGTGGTATTCACTTACCATCAGGTGAACCGTCTGCTCGTTTGGCAACTTTTCACATAAAAAAAAAAAAAATTTAACTGATATTTTAGCTTATTAACTTAGCTTAATTAAAAATATGTGTATAAATGAACTTTTAAATTTCGAATACTATCCGATGCCGTTAAAATTTCTCCTAGATACTCGTATTATATTCCAAATATGACGGAGAAAGTTAGGTTTAAAATGCGAACGTACGTCAAGATGTCAGTGAAAAAAAATCACACGAATGTAGATTCCATGTATACTTCCGAAATGATGTAAAAAAATTCCTTAACATTCCTTTTTATGTATAAACAGTGCCGTAGTATCGTGAAAATATAAGAAAGTCATTCAAACGAAAGAGGTTTAGAATCGAAAAAGTTGGATATATAAAGATTTATAATCGAGAAAACTTTTGATAACTGTTAATGTTATTACTAAATATTAAGTAATTTTGGTGGTTGCGGGAATTCAGATATTTCTGAAATAATTTTTTAATCATTATTGTTGTAATTATATGACAGCTGGTTTTTCAGAAATATAAAAAAAATATACATCTATCAAACATTTAATTAAACGAATTGGTAAGAATGAGGTTTGAAATACTTTCGCCACTTTTTACAACACACAACAAGAGCCTGCGCAATGGAACGTAGGTTCAACATTTCGTAAGTTACGTGAGAAATGTAGAAGGGCGATGGTATTAAATCATCGTTTGTCTTACAATGACGAGGAACGATAAAGTTATCTATAAACATTATTACCTCAAATTGCCTGTTTCGTGCGTTTTGTTCTATGTTATTTGTGGAGTTGCGCTCTTGGCCGATTACACTTGAAATTGCCTGATTCAATTCAGTGGCCACGGCGTTTGAGTTGCGTAATACCTGAATCCAGTTTGCCTTGACAAGCAGCTATTATTCGGCACTTGCAAATCATAAAACATTGTAACACGTAAATTACAATATAGGCATTAGTGTTAAAACCGAATACCTAGTGTATCTTCCATAAGATGTTGTGATGTTTTGGATTCATTTAAGAACTCTCAATATAGAGCAATATCTTTTAAAAGTGATTGTTTAAAATAATTGTTAATTCTTGAGAATGAGCTGTTATTTTATGCGTGTTGCAACATTTGCCTTTTATTTTTTCCCGTCAGAGCGTGATTTCATTTAATTTAAACGATGAATAGTCTTTGTTTTTTGGTTAAGCAATAGAAGGCGCATAAATGTTTGGTTAGTTAACCACATTTGAATAAAAAACCGTGCCAAACTGTAAGTTGATAGATCGATAAATACAAGGTTGATAAATAAACGCAATAGCACCGATAAGATTTCTAACCTAACCTTTAATATTTATTTTAAAAGTTCATTGACGGAAAATACTTCTAATTTTAAACACTTGTTAGAGCGTTAAATGTTGAGTAGCACTCATGGACAGCTATAAAAAGGCGATATTTAGTATGAAAATGGGCATCTTTGAAAAGTTTTTCAACGGAAACTCATAATTAAGTTTATTCGTATTTAATACCGTACTTTTAGTGAAAATTAACAATTACATCATATCATCTGGGTTGACTGGGAGAGAATGTGAAACGGCATTAAGTTCGCCGTTTGAAATCCTTGTTTAAGGTTATTGCATTAAGGTATAAATAAATAAAAATATCATAGGACAACAAATTGAAAAATACCCAAACTGCTTATTTTATTTCCAATGTCAAGACTGTCTGCATACGTCTGACTGAGAATAAATCTGAGAGGTGCTCGGATTTTTCGCCCTTAGATCTAACATAAATCTTGGATTTGTTCCAATTAGTGGTCGAAATTCGACCATAATTAGAATACCTGGAAGTGTGTGTTTTTTTTAATGATTTAATTTTTTTAATGCATAATTTAAATTAAATATTAGCGTACAGAATCCATCTCTATATAACATTTAAATGTGGGAAAGTTCATACTCCTCCGTCCACGTAATTTCCTTAAAAGGTGGTACAAAGTTTTTGCTTCTTGTGTTAATATATACATACTACACATTATGAGTTAAATTTATTGGTTCTGTTTTCGTATTTTTGGTGTTTATATATTTTACATTTTTTACGTTTTTTTATCATTGAGCCGTGATAACTCAGTATCTGGGCGCTCGCCTTCAATTCAATATACTCGAGCAACCGGAATTCGATCCCTGGTGTCGGGAACAGTGAAACTGTTAATTTTAAGTGCTGAATTATGATGTGGTAACCTATATTTTCGAAATAATAATTTTAAAAAAATATTTCGAAGATATGTCTGGACTTTGCCCAGCAGTAGGACATGTATAGGCTGATACTTTATATTGCATTTAGCTTGTCCCGTGGTAAAGGACGCTAAAATCCCTCAAACCTAACTCTGGTAATCCTCAACTGTATTTATTTGTTTGTTTGCGTTTGAATTAAATTTTAACCTTAAAAATATAAACGTTAAAAAATCCATAACAAAAACTATTAAATAAGAAAGAAACAAAATTTGTAACATCCTATACAAATACAACTGACTGATCCATACATTCAGAGACTTTTCCATTCGTTGCCACAACGTCGCATTACAAATCTCTCCTTCTCACAGTATGTTTTGTCTCTTTAAAATTCATTCAACCCATTCATACACTTTGTGACCTTTACAAATGAACTTTGCGTTACAGTTTTATACGTAAGGGTGTTCTAAAATTCTTTGTTTTGGAAAATTTAATAACTCTGTAAATATTGATGTTTAAAGAATGTAAATTTTTGATACAATTTTAAAAAGTTATCCTCTATATGTGTGTTCATTTATCGCGTTGGTAACGACACGCTGTATAAAATATAACATAATAATATTAATATTATAAACGCGAAAGTTTGTATGTATGGATGGATGTTTGTTACCCTTCCACGCAAAAACTACTGAATGGATTTTAATGAAACTTTACAAGAATATAGCTTAAACATAAGAATAGCACATAGGATATTATTTATGAAGATATTGTGTGAATTTTCCAAAGTGGGAAAAATTCAGCCATCTGCGAAATATTCTGATGTATAATAAAAAACTCATTGTTCTTCCGAATTCCTAACTGAATATCTTTTTAAGGCAAAATATTTACAATTAATATAACAAATACTTACAATTAATATTACAAGTTCGTGAGAGAATATCGTGAAATATGT